CTAGGTCAAACCGATGACGTCACAGGTCAGGTCAAAGGTCCAATTTTCACCGTTTACAGGCATTTCAAGAAATGCGTTGTAAAATCGAGTAAAATGCATTTCATTGAAAATCATCGATGGGGAAATGTTCTTCAAACACATATTTTGCTAGTTGAGGTCACTGATACCAGGTCAGGTCACTGAGGTCAGGTCACTGGGGGGTCACAATATGAAAGTGTCGTGTGATACATGTTTTATGGTCCATTTTACATGACAAATGCGATTATGTGGGTCAGGCAGCCTTTGGGGCCAGCTTAGGTAACGTTTTTGTCAAGGTCAGGTCAAGGTCAGGTCAAGGTCAGGTCAAATAAGGTCAAATTTCAAAGTTGATATTTTTGCATAAAATGGGTATCGAATCGATGCAGCTCGTCACGGGGAGTTCGATGGTGGTCTTTGTTTTGCCGTACGAGGTCTAGAATCGCTAAAAATTGAGTTCAAAAATTTGACGTCATCATTTTTGAACAGTTTTTTCGCTATAACTTGGCCAAAAAACGAGATATCGATCTGAAATTTGGTATGTATATAGAAGAGCGCAGGGACTATCACATATATTCCGGTTTTTTTCGAAATTCGGAAAAAAATTTGGATTTTTTTTTAGTTTTTCTAAAAAAATCAATTTTTTGAATTTTTTTGGGTCAAAAACCCAAAATTTTGAAAATCCGAGATAGCAGTTTTGTAGCGCCGCTTTTTGTCTATTAGACCATATAAAGAACTTTGAAATTGCTTGATAACTGTAGATTTGGTGAGCGTTTCAAGATTGCATGTTTTTTGCTCATTTTTGCTCGAACATGACCTCAGTTTGACCTCAATAACTCCTGACCTAAGGTGACCTAAGACTTGAAATTTGGTGTGAAGGTGTCAAATTGATGCCCGGAAAGGTACTGAAAATTTGGCGGCGCTGCGCGCCGCCGTTTTCTTGCTATTCAGGAAAAACCACAGGGGGGGCCAAAATGGCCCCCCCCCAACGGGGCGAGGGTTAATAGCTCGACAAGTTTTCTACCACGGAAGAAATCATTTTGTCCTTCAGATAATCTGCAAATCACTTACAACTTGTGTAATCAACAAAGGAAAACAATTTCCTACCATTTTTATTCAGCAGAAACTAGCGCAGCTCAGTTTGGCTTTCGACAGCGGAGACAACAATGGCTTATCCGGCTCATCTTCCCCCAGGTGAAAATGGCTCATCTTGCCCCACCCGTGGCCATTTTCGATTAATGACACACGCTAAGGAAAATAACCATGCACCGCAGATAACAACCATCTCATTTTAAAGGCAAAACATGTCTTAGTTATCAGGGGCGATACCACATGTTACCCGTGCTGAGCGTGAGAACGTTGCCGTCTCACGTGAAAGACTGCAGCATGGTAAGCGAACGGCACATGGAAGCTCAAGTCAATTAGCGCCATAGGAGCTGAGAAACATGGGGTGGTTAAACTTGCCCCTTGGCTCATCTTACCTCACTCTCCCCTATTTGGGGCTCTCAACTTTGATTTGTTAAAGTTTTTTGTCTGTTCATTATAAAAGCTGTCAAATTTGCCGTATCATTAAACTTTTATTGAGTTTGTATTTCACACTTATCTACATAAAATGAACAATTTTATCACTGGCTTCTTTTATGAATGGAATTGGATGGTCGCATGAATGAACGAATGAATAGCTCCATTTGAGCATCAGCTGAAATCAATCCTAAAATTTAATCTACCAGTCTGCAACGAAAAGGTTTAAAAAGCAGTGCAGGTTAGGTGCAGTTTCTAATCTATGCCTTTTTTTATTAAGTGTCTTAGCTTCCTAATCTTGAGCCGCTTAGTCTTACGATTCATTTTATGTGGTGCTTACATGTGTTCAAGAAGTTATAGTATTCGAGCTCGTTGGTCTTAAAAACTGCTATCGAAGTAAATTAAAGTGCTTCGGGCTTCGGCACTTAAAAACCAATCGATATTTAACCCTCACCCACTTAGGCATTTCTTTTCAGCGTCTTACATGTAGCGGAGGGGCGTAGAAACCCTCAGCCATTCGGCCCTTGATAAAAATAGCCAGAGCTTCGCTGAAAAATACAAAAAGAGCGAGCTGCTCGTGACGAGAGAAATCCGATGATTTGAGGGTCCTGGTCATCGCTGACGAGAGAAAGCCAATTATTTTTATGTCCTGGTCAATGCTGAGATCCTAGGTCACTGGTTGACCTCCCAGATCAGGTTAATAACCCAAAAGCACGGAAAATTGGGTCCTGCTAGAATTTCTACAAGTGAAGTTTGCTGGGGCTTGGCTTGCTTCTGACTCCGAATTTGCACTTGCTTTGATCAAAGATGATGTATCAAAGCATTTGGGGTAGGACGGGTCACGCCAGATCACCCATTAGGCGTTCTGCCGGCTATCCATAGAATGTTAACCAGCACTTACACTTTACAGCCTTGCAGCATATTGCATAGGCACTATAACTGATACCTAAGTATGCCTAGTTTTCAAATGCTAAAATGAGTGCTAAATTTCAAACCAACACTTCCTAAAAGCCACAGTAAAAAGGTGTAAACTTAAGGAAGTTAACCGAGATTATTTCAAGTAAATGACCTTAACCTGAGTTTCACGTGACCTTGGCACCCACAGCAATCAATGAGACAAACATTATAAAGGTAGTATATTTCACATTTTGTCACGTTGCTAATCACGAAACGACTATGGAAACACACAGAAGATGTGCGCTGACTTTCAATTGTTATTCTGGCCTGACATGATCTTGAGAAAAATAATCACAGGTTAAAGGCAATTTGGTTCAGGGATTTAAAATTCTCAGACAAGATGCAAAAATGATAAGGGCTATTTAATTTTCCGGGAAGTTGTAAAATTGATTAACTCCAGGGCACCAAAGAATCGTCGCAATCCTTCGCTTTGCCGCGATTTATTGGTGAAAAACAGGGGGCGCGGTCTACTTACCTCTACTTATATGTGTGGTGAGGGCTGATATTCATTTAACTGTGTTGATGAATATGCAACAATTTCTAGTTTCTACATGAACTGAGACCAGTCCATATGAGTATGTTTTTCTCACGGACAATGACAATATAAAAACAATGCGAATAGAACCAAACGTTTCGGACAACAACGTGCCTTCGTCGGTGGAGAAAAATAAGTGTATAGGTTTAACATCGATGAGAATTATAGGTACCTATGCGGCACCGTCTCGGTCTGGCCAGCCGGGTTGCCGATAAAATACACAAATGTTTATAAGCTTCCATGATGTGCTTAAAAAACTGCTGAAAATATATCTTAAAAAATAAAGATAACTACTTCATCCATTTTATCGAAAGAAAATATGTATGCCTGATTACTTATTTCTTGCCACTGACGGAGGCACTTTTTTGTGCAAAACGTCTGGTTTTATTCGTATTGTTATTGTATTGTCATTCCCTGTGAGAAAAAAAGGATAACTCTTCAGTTAGTAACCATAACAGCGAAACGGCTTAATGTAACACAATTCACTGTGTAGGTATACGAAACCTATAAGTCCCTAAAAATAATCCTATCTACAACTTTTAAAAAGATACAGCTTATACAGCTTAGGCATACAATTTTTTTTCTGCATTAAGATAATATTCATTTATCTCCACAGAATATGGTAAATTAGTGCTGCTGAAGTTCGCTTTCGAAGCGTCTCCTCCAGGCATTCCACAGCTCTCGTGTCATTTTGGATCACGGAACATGGCTGGGCGCAGGACAGGCCGTCTGCGTGCTTGGACGGACCACGTGACCACCTCCTCCCCTCCCCCTCACTCCCGTCCCCTTCCCCAGCAGGGCGTCCGATCTAACCGCGCCCCAGGCAGTCGGCTCGGTCCGACCCTCCCCTGGTCGAGCCACGGCCCGGTGCCGCCTGAGTTTGTGCCGGGTGCAAAACTGGAGCAGTAACTAGCGCCGGAACTAGTAGTCAGCACGACCATCGTCAGATGGCAGGAGTAAATGGAATAAGCGGTTCCAGGTTTCAGAAGGAATGGGGCAGGAAAAAGCGCTGAAAACAATGTTTTGCTGATATAGCCATAAACAGTTCACTGAATTAGGAGAGCAGCACATCAGTTTAAAGCCCTTCAGATGGTGGTTTTAATAAGCACACAATCATTTCCCAATTCGCCTCCAACGGTGTCACAGGCAAAGAAAACGCTGAAATACTAGTGTGTACAGAAGCAACTGCGGGTCCCTGTACGGCAAGAGAGGTTGGGGATTGGAGAATGTCAAAGGTATGTATTACGAGACTAAAAAGTCGTGTGCATTCAGACATGAAGCTGTTGTAATACAGTGGTGAGGAGCTCAAACTCTCACCCTCGGCCGTTAGACGACAACAAAAAGTGAGGCGTTTGACGCCAGCACGATGGTTTCTATAAAGCGCCTATAAACAGCATGAGTTCTAGCGTAAATTTAGGCACTCCACACAAAAAACGCCGAATCTTACGTACTAAGCAAGAAGCCATTTCGACCACTACACTACAATAAGTTAGTTATGTCTAAACGGTCTTTGGTATCCCACACAACGCGCTCTCGCGCGACGCTGCTATAGTTCTTATTGTCCATTGTTTATGTGAGCTGTGTTGTAAGACAGTGCGATTTCACCAGCAGCTTTCGTTTATCAGATGGATGCAAAACAGACCAGTTTCCGACAGTTGGCCGTTCCAGATTCTCACCGTTCCCATGCGGACAACTGCAAAGAATCGCTTATCGGTCCGACGCCATCGCGTTTCGGGCAAATATCCTTGACTGTACCCCGGGTTTCCATGCTATCGGCTGTGTCGCTGTGCATCCTTTCCTCCACTGCTGTAACTGTTCTGGAACCATATCACCGATGCCTATGTGGCGCATGCTGAGCATATGTTTCATGGAAACGTGCGTCTGTTGAAGTAATGCGTATGCTCGTGCGTCGGGCGTCCACGTACACAGCTGTCACAGAATTCCAATGACACATGGACATCTCTTTCCGCAGATATCGACGAATGTCTGGACCCAGAGCTTGCAGCCCGGTGCGTCCCCAACGCCGAGTGCTGCAATCTCCCGGCCCACTACGTCTGCAAGTGCAAGGAGGGCTTCGAGGGCAAGGGCGACGAGGAATGTCGAGGTGAGTTACACCCGGTCCCCGCGGCAGACCCCGCTCGAGCCCGAACTGGGCCAGTCGCGTGTCAGTGACAATTTTTGCGCGCCGTCCGCCCCTGTCGCGACTTTTGCGGAGCCGTTCGGTTGCGGGACAGATCCGGGAGGGATGGGCGCCTGCCCCGCCTGCTTCCGCGCAGTGGATGCGCCTCTGTATTGGGAAGACTTGTGGTTGTCCGCCGTCCGTTGTCCATCGTCCACAGCCCACAGCCCGTCGTCCGCTGCCCTTGTTAGTCGGTAACAGCGCCGGGGACGACGTTTCACCTCGGCCGTAGTCGAATCAGCAAAGCGTGAAATTCAGAGCGCTATCGCCGTCGACCGCGGTCCACGCCGCGGCTAATCCAACAGAAACCGCTTTTAAGTGGCCATTGCATGTTCGTACTGGGTCCTCTGACGGGACAATCCCAGACATAGCCGTTCTAAGCGGCGTTTTCGCGAGGTGCGGCTAGACAATGCCGTCTGAATGGCGGCGAACTGGGCCGCCGCCCGCCGATCGCCCGCGGTGACCGCCACTGCTAATAATCCCATGCGAAAACACACGAACCGGCCGACCGACGGTACAAATCACTGAGAACGTTTTCACTTTTGTTTACTCGCGTGCGTCCTGCCCAGGGCTGTTTGTGCGCGCGGTGAGGCGCTGCCGTCCACGCGCGTGTAGCGCCCGAGGGCCGGTCGGCGGGCAGATATGGTCGGTCGGTCGACCACACTCTCCCCTGTCACCAGCAAGCGCCGTGTTCGATACATCAGGCCGGAGGGGAGGCGTGTCGTCCGACAGTTAGCTGTGAATGCCGGCGCCGCAATGTCGAGTGCAAATGCACGGCGGAAGGGTGAACGCACGGTGAGAATGGCGAGTGCGCTGCTTCAGTTGAGTTAATGGTCCCGACAGCCGGCCTCACGGTGACGAGGTCTTTGTCAGCGCTGTCGTTGGCAGCGGTGTCTTTGACCCCGGTCACGGCTTCACGCCGCTGTTAGGCGGCCACGGATCAGTGCTGCTCCTTTGAGGAGACAAAGCGGCGCTCCGCCAGGTCGGAACGGCGCCCACCACCATGAGGCCCGAGAGCGCCGCCGGCTGAAGGTCCGCGAAGTACGATGTTCTTGGGTGCTCAGCGCCCACTGATCGCCACTGCCTACCCGAGGTGTTATGAACAATGGCGAGCCTACCCACAAAAACGACACATGATATCCGTGATCGGCCGATACTGCGTCCCAATAACCGTCGTAGCCCGGGTTACGCGCCAGGTCGGCAGCTGAAAAAGCGGCCAGATGCATAACTCAACAAATGCGCTGTTTCAGTGAGTTATGACGGGGGTCCGGCCACCCAACACTTTACCGGCGGCCTTTTTGCGAGCCCCACACGCGGACACCATTCATTTTGGCGAGACGTGCCAGAGCCCAGTCATGAGACCGGCAAATAGACGCCGACACAAAAAGCGTCAAAGTGTAGCAGCTTTTTACTGCGGCGTTGTATGCGTCGGTACCGAAGCGTGCTTCCCTCGCCAGCCGGGGACTTGAGACAGTCTCGACAAATCTTGAAAGGTCAGTGCACGTTTGTGCCACTCCCGCCGTCGTCTGTGAGCGGGCCTTCGTTCGCTCGAGTACCCGCTGGGCGGCATGGGCAGCGCTGGTCCCGGCGGGAGGCCGCGCACCAGCCACGCTCGTCTCGCTCGACGGCGCGGCGGCGGCCATTGCCCGCCAGGCGGAAACCCACTCGGCCGAGACGAGACCGGCCTCGAGCCGGGGGCACAGCTGAGAGCCGGAGACTCACTACCGCCGCCGGCTGGCGGGCACCGCCACCTCAGACGCACTAATGGACGTGTGTAATTGCACTGTGGTAGTCGCATCAAATATCGGCCAGTTTTTGTCGATCCCGTCTCGTCCGACCGCGGTCGGCAGAGAGGATAACGACCTCCAGCCGGTGGTCGTGGTACACGGAACACCGCCGCTGCAGTGCCACCGCGTCCCGCCCGTCCGCGGCAGCTGCACGCACACCGCACACCGCACACCGGCGCCGGAGCCGCCTGACGACGCGCTTTTTGCCGCACCCGTGAGCGGCGGCGTCCACGGGCAGCGCACCTGAGGAGTCTATCTCGAGGGGCGGCCACGGGGCGGACAGGGGCGGGCTGCGGCGATCATCGCAGTCTAGCTGAATGCTATGTCACTGCCGAAATAGCTCGCTCCGTAAAAGGACTGCCAAACGACAGGCTATAGACGACAGATGACCGATGAATTGCGGGACTCTGCGCCGACACCCGCGCTCGCCCGTCGCCCGTCACGGAGATGCTCTGAGCGCGGTCCGTTTGTCTGTCAGCCGCCGTGTGTGTCCGGCCGTCAGCTGCCTGTGTGTCCGGCCGTCAGCTGCCTGTGTCGGGCTGTCCGCCCTGCCGGCTGTCTCCCCGTCACCGCCCGCCCGCCCCAACAGCCTGTCACGCCCATCCCGCCCGTCTCCGTCCGCAGATATCGACGAGTGTTCCAGGCCGGACGCCTGTGGAGCCAACGCCATCTGCCAGAACTACCCGGGAAACTACACCTGCACCTGTCCGGAGGGATACGTCGGCAACGCCTACGACGGGGTGAGTACGCACTCTCCCACCAATTTCACAGTCGGGGGCGACCCTCAATAGCAGCTCGGATGACCGGACTGTCATCGGCGATTGCTCCTCTTAGGGCTTACCCCGAGCCAACGAACCCGGTCGTTCCTCGCCACAACCTGTCAAACCCTCCAACTGTGACGCTTCCTCTCCAAACGCTATGCGTCAGTTAACTAGCTCTGGCAGGCTCGCGTGGGCAGAGCCGGTCAACACCGCGCATTCCGGCATCTGAGCCGGCCCGCCGCCCAGATAAAAACCTGTTTTCAAGAGGAGAAAAACGCCGTGGCCGAGCGCTGGCTCTGAGTTATCGCATGTGACCGAATCGGAGGGTCGCCGCTGTTCAGTTGGGGAGCAGCGGGGATCTTCTCCGTCGATTTTCCAGTCGCTCTCCCACGCACGGAACAAAACTGGCAAAGGAGACTTCGCGAAGGGATGGCCACCTCCCCATAAGACAGTGATCAGAACGCAGCAGCACGATGCATTCAGAGAAGGGAGGCATTACAGTTATCAATGCATAGCATTCGTCGAATGTTTGGCTTTCGCTGGCGTCCCTTCAAAACATTTCTTTGAAAGACAGACCGGTCTAGTCATCCGTCGTCGGGACTCGTTTATAAGTACCCAGCCCGTCTGCTCTGCACCATCCGATCACTTGCTAAGGAGAGTCCTGATTAATGGTTAACAAGTCACGACCTCCTCGTGTCAGTTCTGCAGCGTTCTGATCCGTGCCTGGTGAATGTGACCACTAATCCCCTGGTGTTCAATCTGCAGTGTGTCGACTACGACGAGTGTAACGAGCGAGGCATGTGCGGCCCGAACGCCCGCTGTCGGAACACGGTCGGCGGCCACGAGTGCTCCTGCGACGCCGGCTTCGTGGGCGATCCGTACTCGCGCAGCGGCTGCATTGACGTGAACGAGTGCACCCGGGATCCGTGCGGAGCCGGCGCGCTCTGCAAGAACACGCCGGGCAACTACACCTGCCAGTGCCCGCCCGGCTTCCGCGGCGACCCGCTCGTCCAATGTCAGGGTGAGTCCCGGCCCGACCGGCCGCCAAGGTCACTGCCCCGCGCCACTGTCATTAACCGGGCGAGTCCGGAACACCCATAACCCGGCAACTAATGTGAGCCCGCTGCAGTCGTTGCACGGGTCGACTAACGTTCGCCGCCGACCAGCCGTGACCCGTGTCGTGGGAGTGCAGAGGCGGACCACTCGACCGCCTCGCCCTCTGTGCATACTAGCCCCTAACTACCCGGCATTCTCACATCAGCCCGTAACGAGTGCAGTCTAATCATGTAGCCTCACCGGTCACTGTACATACAACATGCACTAAGCGCCCACTGCCCCCGCTAACCCGTAACTCGCTTGTTCACTAAGACCTGGACGAGTGCCTGGAGGGCACGCCGCTGGGCCCGGGCGGCGAGGCTCGGAACGCCAGCTCTCTGTGCGGTGCCGGCGCCATGTGCATGAACACGGCCGGCAGCTACAAGTGCGCCTGTCCGCCCGGCTACACGGGCGACCCCGCCGACGCCTGCTCGGACATCAACGAGTGCGGCCGGCCCATGACCTGCGGCGTGAACGCCGCCTGCCGCAACGAGCCTGGCGGCTTCGCCTGCTTCTGCCCGGAGGGCTTCAGCGGCGACGGCCGCGTCTTCTGCGAGAGTTAGTCACGTCACCGCGGAGGGACCGCGTCGGCCACCGACTGCCGACTCTCCTTCGACGTCCGCTGTCCGTCCGCTAACGCGGCTCTCGTAGGAACTCGACTCCTAAGCTTGCTATGCGCGCGGTGACACGTCCGCTGGCGAGGGGAGGACGGCTCGCTCCAGCCGACTCCCACGGCTTGCTTTCTCCTCCCGGCGGCGCCAACCACCGGGTCTCTTCCGCCAACTCCGCCGGGGCTACTCGAGCGCTACCTTCGCCATCGCCAGTCACTATATTCGCTGCCAAACAATTCCGTCTCCTCTTTCTTGTGCTTTTCTGTCTGATGCTTATGTTTTGACGTCTGCCTGCTCTTGTCTCTGACGCTGTCGTACGCGACGATCCTGTCACCTGGTACGAACTACGAAGCGCCGCTCAAGGACAGCGAAGCAGACCCGGACGTGCCACCGAGCTGCGCATGAACAGACGCCGCTAAGCTGACGATTGACGTGTCCTCTACCCCTTGAAGTATCATCTCGATGACCAGTATGCATGTCGACTGATAGGAACTTTTACTAACGTGTATGCTGAACGACTTTTTCAGACATCCTTCAGGAGTGATGTGTCATTTTCTTCACATTTAGATACCGCGCATGACATCTGTCTACTGTCGAATCGCTGACCTTTGACGTCGACAACCCTGATATTTTGTGTCGTTAATTCAAACATCCAGCTAATTAAAACGTTAAAGATCAGAGATCTCTCATTGAAGGCCGCATTTCCCGAAGGCCCTAGCTTCCTGGTGTAAAAGACGAATACGAGCGTTTTTTGAAGACAATGGCTCCAACAGGGCGAAACTGGGGCGGCTCGGTGACACAGTCTATTCCACAGACATTGACGAGTGTGCCAAGAACCCTTGTGGAGCCAACGCCCGCTGCATTGACACCGTGGGCGCCTTCACGTGCCAGTGTCTGCCCGACTACACCGGCAACCCGTACAAGGGCTGCACAGGTCAGTGTTGATCGTCTCCCGGTCACTTCAGCCGGAACGCACTCCGACAATAGGTACTGGCGGTGTCCCAACGCGTTCAGAGCCACCGACGACCAATCAAAACCGGATGCTGCGGTCGATTTGAATTTCAAATTGGCCCGAGCGAAACTCATTTAGTCTTCCGTCTCATTATTCAGCACCGCAGTGAAGGACGGCCTCATTCTCGTCCCTCGGGAGGCCGTTGTTTTTGGGATAGTCAGCTGATGCTGAGTAAAGACTCGTCACTCGATCGCTACAGTAGACAGCAATAGGCTTCCCACTTCCCAGTTCCCACACAGTGATTCACGCCACCCACTGGTCTCGGTAAAAGGAAACTAACGGGAAAAGAGAAAGGGACACGTCATGCAAAAATGTGACCAGCATAATTTATTGCGGCCTCCAATATTTTTGATTCTATATTCCTGTTTTTTCAATGCCTGTTTAATTACTAAAATTATGTGATTAGGTACGGGGCGGTGTTTCACGGGACGCTGCTACCACGCTGCTATCAAATTGCGCGAGCTGACGTCACACTTGTGGTAGTGTTGGAGCAATGGGCCTGTTGATGTTTCCATGGAAACCCAATTTGACACGTGTAAAAGCAGCGTGCTGCTATCACCGGTGAAACAGGGCCAAGGTGTAGTAAGTGTTTGTAGTTTACAGTTCATAAGCATTTTGCAAAGTATGTAAAATTTCACGACACCTGGCACATTCTGTAAGAAATGCTGTGAACAAACTTGCAAGCAATGCGATGTTAACACTGAACTCTATAATGGATGTTAACACAAAGCTATGCAAACTGATGCAAACAAGGCTATGGCTGTAAAGCCTGGAAAGTAAGTTTGCAATCAAGAACAATACTGTGCAACCGATATTGCATTTTTATAAAAATTTGTTTAGGTTTAATATTATAATATTCTTATATAAATTGAAAGATGATATTATTTTAATTTATTGAAAATATGAGCTCACTTTGTCTTATTATTGAAAGAAATTAGGGAAATTAGAAGCCAAACAGCAGAAAAGTGTGAAATGCAATTATGACGCGCGAATGACAAAACATCACCAAAACATGATAATATTGAAATATTGAAAACCATCATGCCTTTTAGCAGGGCCAGGGGCCATGTAAGACCTTTTTAGGGAATATGCTAAGTAAAAAAGAGCGTATAAATCCCCGGCATAGCTTAGTTGTTCTAAATAATTTACCGTTTTACATTATTGCACAAAGGTAAGGTAACTAAATTCCGAACGGCAAGGCCACTGGAATTTCATGCTTGTAATCGCAATGCTTTCTTTCAAGTCCCTGGTCTTGTGACAGAAAGTTTGCGCTTTCAACGGTTCTTACCTAACAAGCTTCTGAAAAAAAATAATTTTGCAACTTGTTAACCCGGCACCGCCTGGGCTATTTCCGTACCCACATCAGCCTGGGGGGGGGGTCGGATCCGACCCCCCCTGTTATCTCGAGAACCAATGGTCGTATCGAGCCCCGCGAGGCGGCGTTCGAAAGGTCTCTTCGAGACCTTCCCAAAGCACTCTTAAGATTTTAAGATTGAGGTCAACTTTCGGGTCAAGGTCAGGTCAAAGGTCAAATTCAGGGGTTTTGCATGATTAGGCTTACGGACAGCGGAATCGATAGCTGCTGCTCGAAACTCACCACAAATGACCTCAAAGACCTAGTGAAGGTACCATGTGCGTATGGGGGTCATACTAAGTACGGGTCAAGGTCAGGTCAGGTCACGAAAGGTCACGGTTTTCACTTTCTGCTACATGGGCGTGCAACACATGTTTTATGGCTTATTTTTCACGCCAAAACCGATGGTAATGGTTATATGTGACCCCAAGTCACTGTGCTGGTGATAAGTGTGCATTGAAAGCATAAAAAATCGTTTATACCATACATAACTAAACGAGGGCTAAGAAAAAAAGTCAATTTTTCAACTTTTTATTTTTGACATAAAAATGCACTTTTCTAGACGAGCTTTGTCCCAGGAATCTAGTGGTGCCATTTGTTTTCACATGCGATGTTCAGAAGTGCCTCTAATTCGCGAAAATGCTTATGACGTCACCATGCCCTATGCATGTTGGAGCTATTTTTTACAATTTGGGGGTCAAAAATCAAGATAGAAAGTTGAAATTTGGGACATCTAATGTTCTAATAGAGCTCTATAACATATATTCCTTTTTTTTGGAAATTCTCAAAATTTTGGATTTTATTAGCTGTTTTCCAAAAAATATAGTTTTTTGAATTTTTAGGGATGAAAAACGCATTTTATGGAAAATCCGAGATAGCCATTTTAAAGAACTCGTTGAGCTGCGTCTTTTCATGTCCTTAATTTGCAATTTGCTTAAAACCTCGATTTTTAGCGATTTTTTAAACATTTACCATTTTTTGACTGAAAACGCCATGTAGTTACATCACCAAAATCGATATATCTCAGAAATTTTTGAAAAATTTTTCTTAAAAATTGCACAGGAGACGTCAAATTGATGGGGGAGAAGGTATGCCAAGTTTCAAGTTGATAGCGCAAGCGGTTCATGAGTTATTCAAGAAAAACGGAGGGGGGGGGTCGGATCCGACCCCCCCCCCCAGGCGGTCGCGGGTTAACTCAAAATACGTGCTGGGAGGTTTCGTGAATTTCAAACACTGGTTATTATTTCTGGTAAAGTCAGGTTTTTTTCTTTGTAATTCAAATTACTAACTTAAACTTTTGTGACCTTATATGAACTCACTGCACATTTAGCCTAAGAACAAGGTGCAAGGACATAAGTGGAAGGTAAAGAACGCAACGTAAAGGTAGGGCATCTTCGACCCATATCAGCGATTTGCCAGGATAATGAATATCACCGCGTTGGCATCCCGCTGGCCTGGAGTGGGTGATGGGGTGGAGGGGGAGGGGAGGGAATCCGTTGGGGAGCGGTCCAGCCGCATTGGCACCCACGGCGCGGCCTCGCGCCACACCGTAATTGGTCCGATCCGGCCGGCCGCCCGCAGCCGGCCCTGTCACCTCCCGGAAAACTGACCGCCGCCCCCGACCGCAGACATCAACGAGTGCGTCGTGTACGGCAAGCCGTGCGGCGACTACGCCATCTGCAAGAACACCGAGCCGGGATACTCGTGCCGGTGCCCGCAGGGCTACCAGGCCAACCCGACCCCGGCCGTCGCCTGCGAACAGGTCAGTCAACGAGCACACAGACATCCAGAACATTCCGGACTGCAACTTCGGCAGACAGCACTGCAAAGCTAATGTTCATTGTTCAGTCAATGACGCTACGTTCACCGTTAAACTACAACAAGGTTATGTAATTAGATTTAGCTCTGAAAAGCTCTCTCTTGTGTCGCCCACGGCGACCTAAGACCGTTGATACTGGGCAGTGGGCAGCTGATGGACGGGTAGGTAGATGGAAGGCTCCGATGTTATCAGTCCCGGTGGCCAGCGGCCCCCGGGACGGGCGAGGTCAGCTGTCGGGTCACCTGCCAGCGACACGGGGCGCGGTTCAGAAAGGGAGGCCACACCACACAGGGAGGTCGGGTTACATGCAGTGCTGTGGCGCCATTAGTAACCCGTGCGGAGTCACGCAGGATAGTGTAATTCATCTGACCGTTATAATGAAGAGCACCGCACTGACACATGGCTTTAACGAGGTGGTTCCGATGAGCACGTAGAATAAAGGTGAATCACTAAAGCTTCAGATGGTTAGCTAAGCGTGTCATACCCACTTGCGACAACACGGAATCTCTTTAGATGCATGACATTTCATCATTTATCACAAGACCACAAAAACACCAGCCAGAAACTTATGGGCGCTCCTTATCCCCGAGTTTTACCGCCACTATAAAAACGTCAATCCCTCCATCAGTTATCGAGTGGGATTAACGGTACCTCGCTTGCTGACAGGTTGACGTCAAGATCCTCTGCAAATCCAACTTCGACTGTGTCAACAACGCCGAGTGCAAGGAGGGCCAGTGCTTCTGCAAGAGCGGCTTCGAGGAGCGCGGCACAACATGTGTGGACGTCGACGAATGCGCCAAGTCGCCGTGCGGGGCCAACTCGCACTGCGTCAACGTGCCGGGCAGCTACCGGTGCGAGTGCGACGCCGGCTTCATCGGCAATCCGCCGAGCACGCCGTGCAGAGGTGAGTTCCCGCTCCGGCGGCCCCAGCTGCGGACGGCCCTGACACCGAGAGCCGATCGCGGACCGGCATACACCACCGCGCCACGTCGACTTTCACGGCACGGATGCGGGTCGTCGGGCCACGGGGGCGGGGTGTGACGGGGCGGGGTGGGGAGGGAGGGATACGGAGGAGAGGGAGGGTAGCAACTGGCGATACGGAGGCGGCAGCATGCGAACTGCTTCTATTGAGCTGTCTCGGGTGTCTCGAGATGGCAAAACGGTAGTTGTATTCGGGTCAGCTGCCACCGAAATCTGACGGGATGACATCATAATTCCCGGACGGGGAGCCCTATCAATAGCCATGACGACGACGGCGGGATTGGCGCCCGATGACGCGGGCAGCACGGCGCGGCCGGCAACGGCACGTCCGCGCCGAGCCGCCTGTCGGCCAGTGAAAGTCGGCCGCGGCGCCTGACACAGTGCTCCAGAACGGGGTGGCCGGCGGCGCGGCGACCCTGACCGGCCGCCGGCCACCGGCAATGTCCCGCAGACCAGGACGAGTGCGCCGGCGAGCCGTTCCCGTGCGGCGGCGGCGCGCAGTGCGCCAACACGCCGGGCGGGTTCCGCTGCCAGTGTCCGGCGCACCTCGCCGGCGACCCGCTCGTGCTCTGCTCCTGTGAGTGTGGCGTCACCACAGTGCGTCACGACCGCACCCGCTCGTCACGAGCCGCGCCGCCCGGGCACGACACGCACCACCGGGCAGCGATAGTGTAGCGCGCACCCGCCACCGACCGGCCCGCCGCGAGCGCCTGATGCAGCGACGCCTCTTCGACCTTCTGTCCCCCTGGCTGGCAAAAACCAGCATCTGTCTTGACAATCGTGGCTCAGCTATCGATCAGGGCAGATAGTCATGTTGCACGAACTCTGCTAATGACGATGACGGAATCAGTACTGACGATGATTTGCAGGGACGAAGCGGCCGATCCACAGACAGTGTTTGACGTTGTGTTGGTGGTGGGTTTCTAACGTAGACAGATTTAATACTTGTGTGACCTTGGAGCTGCGGGTGCCGCATAAAACGTTATGTACCTGCACCCTTCTGACGATAAACTGTGTATGAATCTTTCGAGTTTGAAGGCCTGACGCCATCTAATCCGAACAGACGGATGTTTTTACCCGACGCTAGGCGATATAAATCTACCAGACATACCGCAGTTGCTAAGTCGGTGTCGGCTTCTTCCACCAAACGCGCCGGGTTTAAACATATCCGTCTGCTCTGCCTTACCGCTTCACTGAGCTTCTCTTACCGACCGTTAAACTGACTGTGACGTAACGTGACCTGAACTGACCCGAACTGACCTCAGCTGACCTAAACCGACCCGACTTGACCCGACGGCCAACTGCTTACAGCGCGTGACGGTAGATGCGCCTGTGACAGCATTCCGTGGAAGGCTATCCCGGCCCAGCCGCCCCGCGGCGGTCGAGGGTACGGTCGTGGTAAGACATCTACCTTCTACTGGCTATACCTATCTTACCTTCCTTCTATTACCTTCTCTGTGAATGCGCCATGTCAAAGACTGACTTGGCATCCAAAAGTCTAGACCATTTTCGACTTCTTCATTTTCGACTGGTCATTCTGTTCTCGACGTCAAAAACTTTCTGTTCATGCTCCCTGAAATTTTAAGCAATCTCACTTCATGCCTCAATCTGCATATCACTCTATCTAAACGTTTGTCCCGCACACCTTTCAATGTAGCGTGTTTGCGACACGCCGCACACGCCTTCTCGTCTCTCTGTCTCGCTATCCTATACGTCAGACGACCCACTGTGTGTTGCGGCTGGTCCGCATGTGTGACGCTCGACCCGACCTGCCGTGACGCTCCGGTGACGGACGCCGGATCCCCGGCCGTCACGCGACGTGACGATAGCGAGGATAGGAGCGGACGCTGCACGAGTCGAACTCCTCACGCACTCCGCACCTCCATATATAGACTGGCCGCCACGACCACGAATGACCTCACCATATCTAGAAATAAACGTGCCAGAGGTTCACTGTAGTCATACTTCACTCGTAGTCACTGGGACATCCCAACACTTTTTCAAGTCCCCTATAAATTCAAATGTGTAGGCAAAGACTAGCTCGATAAATAGGCATGAGACGCTTACCATAAACAACTCATGAAAATATCTCGACAGGGTTTGTCGATAAATAGAAGTCGAAACTTAACAAATACTTATCTACTCATGAAACTTATCCTCCCAATCGCTTTAAAAATTCTAACCTAAACCGCTGTTAACATACCCCTCCAAACTAGACTCTTTTCCCCGACCTTTGGCAAATATAGACCCGCCTGACCTGACCCCACCGCCCGCAGCGCCATGCGACGGTATGGAGTGTGGCCCGCACGCCAAGTGCAAGCCCGACGGCCTGGAGGCGCTGTGTATCTGCGACGACGGCTGGACGTACGACCCCGTCAACGTCAAGGCCGGCTGCGTGGGTGAGTGTGAGAGCGCGGCTGGGAGGTAGCCACTGTGCAGCGGCCACCCGCCGGCCGCTCCGCCGAGAGACCGGTGAAATCCAACCGGATTCCGACAGTTTTACGGGGGCCGTGAGAGAAACGGCGCCTACTTACCGATGAAATCAGTCAATTTGCAGGTGTGACATTCCGAGGATGGTGACGCTTCGAAATTGAACATTTATTCATCTAGAAAAAAAAACATTTTAAGGAAACTTAGCCAGGCTGGGCGATCACGTGTCTTACAAAGGATGTACTGAGATGACGCTCTGTTTTCGGCAGATGTGAACGAGTGTGACCCGGCGCTGGGGCCGTCCGGTATGTGCGGCGAGGGAGCCGTGTGCACCAACACTGCCGGCAGCTACAGCTGCGCCTGCAAGCCGGGCTACTCGGGCAACCCGCAGGTCAAGTGTGTCGGTGAGTACCGTACTTCATCGAGGATAAACCTCATCCGACAGGTGGTGATGACATCTGGCATACCCGGCTTCCTGTTCACTGAATGTTGAACAAGTGTGCGAGGCCTAACAAGGCGAAAACATTTACGTTAGTAGTTAAGCAAAGGTATAACGATCAGCGTGATGTAATTTACAGAATTCGCTTTTGTAACTTTTTAAAAGTTAATTCGATCCACCGTTGTCACTGGATGGTTCACAGCGGGAGCCCTAGGCCAATTACCATTGTGCCGCTCTCGTGAAATTTAGTGTCCTTGGGAACGGCCGAGCCGGCGACGTTCCGTATTGTTCGTGCTGGGAAGGCCATTTGGAAACAATAAGGTTCCATTCGACACCGGGACAATTACAGTCCTAATTGACATCCCAACTTCAAAATATTCCCGCCGGATGCTCCGAATAAAACCCAAGCAGTTTACATAAAAACAGTATCGACTCACGATGGCGTGCTCTTCGAGAGACTAGCTGCGTATCAAAATATCCGGCCCCTCTGGTGACCCATCGTTTGCACCATGGCTCGCGCCAGCGGCCGACCGTGGTCAGTTGCAGGGCAGGCCGGCCAACGGGGCCGCGGTGTCCGCCGGACACCTGAGAACCGGTCCATTACCAAGGTCACCGGCCACCATCGGGCCGATAAAAAGTGAAATGATCGCCGCATGCCCGGCCGGCGGACACCTGCATACATCGGCGCTGCTCAGCAGAGCTCATGACTCGGGCGACTCTCCCGGAGAGCTGGGCTGCACGCTCGAGGCTGCACGCATTCTACGCATACCTCTCTCACTGAGCACGACCCCACTCCCGCAGCTGTGTACACGCCCCTAACCAGCCGACATTTCACAGACGTGGACGAGTGTCGGCGGCCGGGCGCCTGCGGCACCGGCGCCCTCTGCACCAACACCCCTGGCGGCTACAAGTGCTCGTGCCCTGAGGGGACCGAGCCGGCGCCGGACGCGCAGACCCTCTGCGTGGCGCTCATCACCTGCACCGGCGACGATGAGTGTCCCGGAAACTCCATGTGCGACCCGGCCGGACAGTGTCTCTGCCCCGAGCCCAACGTTGGAAACGACTGCAGACGTGAGTGGCGTGCCCTGGGTCCCGGCTCGTGGGGCAATATGGCTGTTGTTGCTGGTTTTTGCCTTAGTGACGGCTGAAAGAATGTGGTTACAAGCCGATAATGGTACCGGATCATGCACGTTGTTTTTGTGCTCCTGTTACTTCATTCGACCTGTTAAACCAGTCGGTACTGCCGAAGAGCCATTCATATGTGACGTTACGTTCGACCTGACCTTCTACCGCTCCCACCCACAGACCCGTGCGAGGACGTCTTCTGCGGCCCGAACGCCGAGTGCATGCTCATCAACGGCCTGCCGAAGTGCATGTGCGCCTCGGGCTTCACTGGCGGCGCGCTGAGCGGCTGCGTGGACATTGACGAGTGCGCCGGCTCGCCGTGCGCGCCCGGCGCCGTCTGCCGCAACAGCCGCGGCAGCTTCGTCTGCGAGTGTCCCAGCGGCTCCGAGGGCGACCCGTACCGCCAGGGCTGCATCGAGTCCAAGGAGGGCTCGTGCGGCCCGCAGCACCCGTGCCCGCCCAACGAGGACTGTGTCCGCGACGAGGGCGTCGGCAGTGACGTCTGCGTCTGCATGCGCGGCTACCGACGCGACGGCGCCTTCGGCAAGTGCGTCGACATCGACGAGTGCACGGACACCGCCGCGTCGGCGGCCGGCGTGTGTGGCGCCAACGCCATCTGCACCAACAAGCCCGGCACCTACGACTGCACCTGTCCGCCCGGGTTCGCCGGAAACGCCTTCTCCAGCTGCGAGCCGCGTGAGTTGGGTGTGCAATGGCCGGGCCAATGGAGCCAGGTGTCTGAGCGCGGGACGGGACGGCTGGCAGTCGAGTGGAGTGACGGCGCACTCGACAGATGCCGCAAAAACTGGACGATGAGTAATCGTTGCAAAAGATGGCTTCGATGCGGACCGAGCACTTCGTACTATTGCACAATCAAAGCTCACAACTAATTGCTAGGTCACTGTCGAGATTTGATAAATCGTACGACAGATAACAATGAAAACCAGCCGTAACAAGGCAGTTTTTATCTACGTGCTACTAATGCGAGGCACACTTTGCGCAAACGACTAAAATATTTTGCTCATTCGCAAAATTTCACACCTGTTTCCCTTGCAAGTCTGTAAGACCACTTAGCTCGACATAGCTTTCCCCTGTAATCCTCACGAATGTCATGTAACGATTAATATCGTCTCTCGCAGAATCGAAGAGCGGCTGCCTGCCTCCGTTCAAGCTGATCGGCGGGGTGTGCGCACTGGGCCGGTGCTCGGGCGCCAAGGGCTGTGGACCTGGAGCGCGCTGCGTTCAGCTGGGCCGCCAGAGCTACTGCGTCTGCGACCAGGGCCACGTCGCTCAGCCCGACGGAACCTGCCAGGGTGAGTAGGGTTTACGTGGCGAGGAATATGTTGTAAGGCACGTGAATGGCCTCCGGTGACACCTATACTCGAACGAGCTAACCTGTCGTATTATCGGGTGGAGGAGCATTGCATGCACGATTTATGGTTCGCCTTTGAATTATGACGAAATACCGTAGGCTATTGGCTTCGGTTAGGTATTTTCATCATAAAACCAACGAGTTGGTAATTATGCATCACCCTGACGATTAGAAGCACGTAGGCGGGTGTTTTTTAGGCTTATCAAGGAGCCGAGGGCAAGCTGAGTGGTGGTATTTCCAAAGACGTTCATCCACTGACGTCACTCGCGTCGTTTCGTGTTACAGACGTAGACGAGTGCTCGGAGCCGACCTCGGACGGACGCCCGCCATGCGGTGTCGGCGCCGACTGTATCAACCTGGTCGGCTCGTTCGAGTGCGCGTGCCCCGAGGGCAGCTCGGGTAACCCCTACAGCGGCTGCACGGCCAACAAGGTCCAGTGCGGCCGCGACAGCGACTGCGGCCAGAACGAGAAGTGCGTGCAGCCGGGCCAGTGCGTCTGCCCGCCGCCCTACTACTCCGATACAGAGGACGGCAACAGGTGCAAGAGTGAGTATTCCACACTGTTCTGCACTGTCATTCAGCCATGTTTACTGTCATGCATCACAGCTGAGTTATTCCTGGAGTTGAAAGGTTGTTGAACTATCGAGGTAGTTATCCCGAGAATCGTGAATGAGGCATTACGATAACGCACGACTGATAGCGATCGGTGCATTACACTGCAGCAGCACTGGAGGCCGCGCTGACGGGCGTTTTCGGCGTTCACAGGTCCGTGCCAGCGGTTCCCGTGCGGCGTGAACGCGCGCTGCACTCCGTCTGACCCACCAAAGTGTCTCTGCGACGCCGGCTACTCGGGCAACCCGTACGAGGGCTGCCGGGACCAGGACGAGTGCCGCGACAACCCGTGCGCTCCCGGCGCCAGCTGCATCAACGAGAAGGGAAACTTCAAGTGTATCTGCCCGGCCGGAACACAGGGCGACCCCTTCGTGGGCGGCTGCACGGGCGCCGCCTCTGGCTGCGCGTCCGACAACGACTGCGACGGAAAGCTGGCCTGCGTGAGCGGAGAGTGCCGCAACCCGTGCGAGCAGCTGCCGTGCGGTGCCAACGCCGTCTGCGAGCCCGAGGGCCACGCCGCCTGGTGTCGCTGCCTGCCCGGCTTCAAGAAGGCCGACGGCTCCAACGACTGCGTCTCAGGTGAGGGATCGGTGACACCATCGCCTCGCTCTTTTGTCAAAATGGAATATGCATAATGGGTTAATTTGTAAAGAAATGCCATTAGGAAAAGTTGCATCGCATAATGCTCGGCATAAAAGATCGCCCCTTTCTCACATATCGTTTCTTCTTTCCAGAGTGTGACGGCTACTTGTGCGGTGACAATGCCGAGTGCATCGTCTCCGCTGACGGCCCCACCTGCAAGTGTCTGGAGGGGTACAACGGCAACCCGTTCCCGGGTGGCGCCTGCTCGCCGGACGTCTGCTCGCCGCGCAACCCGTGCCAGGGCTCAGAGGTGTGCGTCTCCTCGCGCTGCAAGGTGCGCTGTGAGGGTGTCACCTGCGGCATCGGCGCCAAGTGTGACAAGAACACCAACAAGTGCGCCTGCCTGCCGTTCCACGTCGGCAACCCTGATCTGCTCTGCGTGCCACGTGAGTCAGGGGACGTGACTGCGAGTGGGGACCGATGAGGAATGATGGTCTATTGTGGTATATGACATATGAAGGAACATGCTGTAGTTGCCATAATGTAAATGAATCGAACTTGATGACAGATAGCTTACGGTAAGCCTAGAGATATATGAATGGCCATTGTCTCGACGAACGCTTGTCCTCAGATCACCGTTAACAATGTCTATGCTGTTCCATCATGCCCATTGTCTGACTGATGCGATCATTGTGCGTGTGGCGGTGCACGCTGACGTTCATCGACCCTCCCTTTCTATCCGCAGCCACCCTTCCGCCAATGTGCGAGCCCGCCTGCGCCAAGAACGCCCACTGCGAGTACGGCCAGCCCAACAAGTGTGTCTGCAACCAAGGCACTTCCGGCAACCCGTACGAGGGCTGCGGCGCCTCGGCGCGCACCTGCAGCACTGCCTCGTGCGGAAAGGGCGCCACGTGCAAGGAGGGCGGCGGCCGCGTGGACTGCGTGTGCCCGGCTGGCTACCGCGGAAACCCGTACGTCGAGTGCACAGATGTCGACGAGTGCATGGGCAACTCGTGCGGCATGAACGCCCTCTGCATCAACACACCCGGCTCGTACGACTGCCGCTGCAAGCAGGGCTTCCAGGGCAATCCGTTCCTGATGTGCATGCCGCCGAGCTCGACCAGAACCGACTGCGCCAGCAACCCGGATAACTGCCAGTGCTCCGGCTCCAACGCCTGCCCCACCGGGTGAGTAGCGTGCCAGAGCTGGTAGAGTAAATGCCGGATCAGAATTCAGATGCGTTTAGCATCAGTCATACATCACATACCTAGCCAGCGGCATAGTCCGTCTGCAGCATCATAATAGGCACAGTTGGTAGGGAAGCTGAATTAGCATAGACATGGGCATTCACAACCTTTTCATGACTCTTTCGCTCGCTTTTGCAGATACAAGTGCAGCTCAGGCAAGTGCGTGAACCTGTGCGCTGGCGTGGCGTGCGGACCGAACGCTGTGTGTAGTGGAGGCAAGTGCTCGTGCCGCGCTGGCTACGAAGGAGACGCGTCCGACCCCAAGGTGGGCTGCTCCACTGGCGGCTGCCTGAACGACCTCTACTGCCGCGACGACGAGATCTGTCTGCCGGCGGCCGGCGGCCAGCGCCGTTGCGTCAGCGCCTGCTCCAAGCTCTCCTGCGGCTCCAACGCCTACTGCGTCACCGAAAACCACCGGTCGAGTTGTCTCTGCAAGGACGGCTTCAGCGGCGACCCGAGCAACCCGCGCGTCGGCTGCCAGCCCACCACGCCTGTCGACCAGTGCAAGACGTCCCGGGACTGCCCCAAGGATCGGTCCGTCTGCACCCTGGGAGAGAGCGGTCAGAAGCAGTGTCTCGACCCGTGCAGCACCTTCTTCTGCGACCAGAACGAGGTGTGCTCGGTGCGCAGATCGCGTCCTGTCTGCCTCTGCCGTGACGGCTTCAAGAAGAACCCGCGCACCAACCGCTGCGAGAGTCCCGGAGTGCCTGAGTGCGCCAGCTCCGACGACTGTCCGGTCACGCACGCCTGCCTGGCGGACGCCCTCAAGGTGAAGAAGTGTGCTCCGGTGTGCGAGCGCACCCAGTGCTCGCCCAACTCGCAGTGCGTGGCGGTCAACCACCGCGCCTCCTGCCAGTGCGTCAGCGGCTTCTACGGCAACCCTAACGACCGGGCCGGCTGCAAGCCGCTGTCCCGCAACACCTGCTCCTCGGACGCCGAGTGTCCCGAGACGGAAGCCTGTCGGGACGCCGACGGCGGCCGCCAGTGCGTCTCCGTCTGTGCCAGCCTGCGCTGCGGCCCTGGCGCTGTGTGCGTGACCAACAATCACGTGGCACAGTGTCAGTGCCCGCCGGGCAAGTATGTGGGCAACCCGAACGACCTGGAGGAGGGCTGCCGCGCCGTCGGCTGCCTGGGCAACTCGGACTGTCTGGCCACGCAGGCTTGCAACCAGCTCGACTACCAGTGCTACGACGTGTGCCGCGACGCCTGCGGAGCGCACGCCGTCTGTCTGGCGGCCAACCACGCGCCAGTCTGCTCGTGCCGGCCCGGCTACAGCCCGAATCCGACCGCCGAGACTGACTGCGCGTCCGTCGACCTGTGCGCCGACAAGCCGTGTCACTCGTCCGCCAAGTGCATCAACAAGCCCGGCTCGTACTCGTGCTTCTGCCCGCCGCGTCAGATCGGTGACCCGTACACCACGGGCTGCCACCCGGAGGGCCAGTGCCCCGGCGGAGACGCCGACTGTCCGCCCGACTCGGTGTGCCGCCGCGGCCGCTGCGCCGACCCGTGCCAGGGCGCCTGCGGCCAGAACGCCCAGTGCAACGTGGTGCAGCGGAAGGCGCAGTGCAGCTGCCCGGCCGGCTTCCAGGGCAACCCGGAGCCGGAGCAGGGCTGCGTGCGCGCCGTGGTCCGCTGCAGCGGCGACGCCCAGTGTCCGGACGGAGTCTGCATCAGCGGGCAGTGCAGAGGTGAGCCACACATAAATCGCCCTGAGCACCGGGGAGACGGGTGAGGGGGAGGGATACGCTAATTACGCTGGTTTCATATTTGTCACCAATGTCACACATATTTCTTGCGCTTATCCTCAGTTGGAAAACTCACTAGCAGTGCCACATCCGAGGAGTGACGAGAGTCTGACCGACCGTTATGTTTTCAGCCGTGTGCTCTCGCAGCAGCGAGTGTGCCAGTGGCGAGCGTTGCGTGAGGAACCGCTGCGTTCTGCCCTGCCTGTCGAGCACTCAGTGCCCCAAGGACCAGACCTGTGACGGTGGCTTCTGCTCACTGGGATGCAGCACCAACGGAGACTGTCCCGCGGCGGATGCTTGTGTCAACAGCAAGTGCCAAGGTGCGTATAATAGACGTTACATATAGCAACATGGCATGAAAAGCAAAGAGGCTACGCTTGCAGTATCGATTTTCTGTATGATCAAACTGACATTCGAAGTGAATATCGTTGACCTTTATAAGGTGCGAATAACATACGAATAATTTATCGTCTTATGAGCCACCACTTCTAACCAATTTTACCTGGGATATTGCAGACCCGTGCAAGACTGACGGTGCTTGTGGCGCGAACGCCCTTTGCACAGTCAAGGAGCACCGGCCGCAGTGCACCTGCCCGGAGGGATTCACCCCGAACCCGACACCGCAGCAGGGTTGTATGCGCACCCCGACCGTCTGCCAGAGCGCGAGGGACTGCCCAAGCGGCCTGCGCTGCCGCGACGGCGCCTGTCGCAAGGGCTGCCGCGGAAGCGCCGACTGCGCCCAGGGTGAGCGGTGCACCAGCTTCATGTGTGCCACCGTCTGCTACCAGGACAACAACTGTCTGTTCGGCGAGGTGTGCGTGGACGGCGCGTGCCGGTCCGGCTGCCGCTCGGCCGCCGACTGCGGCACCGGGCAGACCTGCACCAACGGACAGTGTGCCTGCGCGCCCGGCTACGTCGCCGACGACGACGACTGCGAGGACGTCGACGAATGCGAGAACCGACCCTGCCACCCGACCGCCACCTGCCTCAACCTGCCCGGCTCGTTCAAGTGCGTCTGCCCTGAGGGTACGGCCGGTAACCCGCTGGCTAGTCCCGGCTGCGGCTCGCCGAGCGAGTGCGACTCCAACACCAACTGCGCCGGGAACCTGGCCTGCACGGAGGCGGGCGGCCGACGCCGCTGCACCGATCCGTGCACGGACGCCGTCTGTGGCGCCGGCGCCGAGTGCCGCGTGGTGAACCACGAGCCCGTGTGCCGGTGCCCGTCTGGCTACCAGGGCGACCCGACCGACCGCGCCGTCGGCTGTTTCCGGCCGCAGTGCAGCAAGGACACCGACTGCCCGGCCGACCGGCTCTGCGACGACTTCCGCTGCGTCAACCCGTGTGACTTCGTCCGCTCCTGCGGCCGTGGCAACTGCCAGGTGCAGGACCACCAGGCTGTCTGCTTCTGCAGCCCCGGCTTCGAGCAGGGCGCCGACGGACTCTGCGTGGACATCGACGAATGTCGCGCCAGCCCGTGCCACCGCTCGGCCGAGTGTCGCAACACGCTCAGCTCCTTCACCTGTGTCTGCCCGCCCGGAACGGTCGGAGATCCCATCACCGACGGCTGCAGGCGGCCCGGAGAATGTCAGGCCGACTCGGATTGCCCACCTGCGGCAGCCTGCAAGCAGGGCCGCTGCCAGAACCCGTGCGAGTCGGCTCGGGCGTGCGGCAAGGGCGCTGAGTGCACCACAGTCGCACACCGCCCCGTCTGCTCCTGCCCGCCGCAAACCACCGGTAACCCGCGCACTGGCTGCACTCCGTTCGAGTGCATCGACAGCGCCGACTGCGCCGCTGCGCAGACCTGCGTGCGCAACAAGTGCGTGGACCCGTGCAGCCAGCTGAACGTGTGCGGCGCTAACGCTGACTGCACCGTGGTCGACCACCAGTCCATCTGCAGCTGCCAGCCGGGCTACACCGGCGAGGCTCGGCTGGGCTGCACGAGGGTGCTGCGCTGCAGCAGTGACGACCAGTGCCCTCAGGCGCAGCGGTGCACAGGCGGCGTGTGCGCTGACCAGTGCCGCTCGCGGAGGGACTGCCTGCAGGGCCAGCTCTGCCTGGAGGGCACGTGCCGACCGACCTGCGCCGCCGACACCGAGTGTCCCCAGTACCACAGCTGCGTCAACCAGATCTGCGTGCAGGAGGTGCGCTGTCGCGCCGACACTGACTGCGGAGCCGAGGAGCGCTGTCGCACCAACGCCTACGGCCAGGCCGAGTGTCAGGGCGTGTGCAGCGGTCTCGTGCTCTGCGGACGCAATGCCGAGTGCCAGGCCAAGAACCGCGAGGTGGTCTGCGTCTGCAAGCCCGGCTTCCGCGGTGATCCACAAGACGAAAAGACCGGATGCAGCCCTGTTGAGTGCGAGAAGAACACCGACTGCCAGCAGAACCAAGTCTGCGACAACTACAAATGTGTTGGTGAGTATATTCTGGTATTCGGATAAAATGTGTAGATGTTTCTGCATACTTCGTTTATCGTACTTGATATTATTCAATAATTTATTCTAATTCCTACGCATGGCAACGATGAGCCTAACCGAGAGTACTCTATTTACAGTTGCGTGCAAGGCCAACAACCCGTGCGGTGAGAACGCTCTCTGTTTGTCGGAGGACTACCGTTCCGTGTGCTTCTGCCGCGAGGGCTTCGTGGGCGACCCGCTCACGCGCTGCAAGCCGGTCGACTTCTGTCGGTCGAGCCCGTGCGCCGGCGGAGCCAAATGCCAGAACGGCGCCGGCTCGTTCAAGTGTCTGTGCCCGCTGGGTACGATCGGCGACCCGTACGAGCTCGGCTGTCAGCCGGCCGTGGAGTGCAAGGTGAACGACGACTGTCCCTCGACGGCCGTCTGCCGCACCCAGGACGGCGAGCCCAAGTGCGTGGACGTCTGCGAGACCACGCAGTGCGGCGCCAACGCCGACTGCAAGGCCACCAACCACAAGGCGTTCTGCGTGTGCCGCCAGGGCTACGACGGCGATGCCAGCGACGTGCTCCAGGGCTGCCGACCGAGTGAGTAGAATTCCATTCAATATCCGTAGTCAGGTGTTTGGGTTGTGAAATAGTAAGCTAATGTATACTCTTATATCTCACAGACATTAACTTTAAAATCGGGACATGAACGACAAGTGTTAAAACATTGCTCCTATGTCCACAGTTCCGGTGAAGTGCACCTACAACCAGGACTGTCCGCGCAACACGGTGTGCGACGGAGGCCTGTGCCGACCGCCCTGTGCTACCAACGACGAGTGCGCACTCACGGAGTCGTGCGCGCGCGGCCAGTGCACCAACCCGTGCAGCTCGGACGCCGCCTGCGGCCTGAACGCCGTCTGCCAGATGGTCCGCCACGAGAAGCGGTGCTCGTGCCCGCCCGGCTACACCGGCTCGCCTGAGGTGGAGTGTGTTCGCATCCCGGTGCCCTGTCAGAGCAGCCTGGACTGCGGCCGCGGCTACAGCTGCCAGGAGAGCGTCTGCATGAGCGCCTGCTCGTCTGACGCCGACTGCGCCCTCAACGAGAAGTGCGCCGACGGCTCCTGCATGCGTGAGTAATCGACTTATCTTGAATGGCAACTCGTGTCTGCCAGCGACTCATGGTAATCGCATTCCAAATGCATTATTTATTACGTGATTTTTATAGAAATGCGCATTCTAGCTCTTTTCTTGCAACCAATGTTAACGCACCCTCTTCATCCCACAGTGACTTGCCGCGTGGACAACGACTGCTTCCTGGGCCATGTTTGCCCCAACAACCTGTGCATCATCGGCTGCCGCGCCAACAGCGACTGCAACGCTGGCGAGGCGTGCCTCAACAGCCGCTGCACGGACCCGTGCGACGCCAGCGCCGTCTGCGGCCCCAACGCCAAGTGCGGGGTGCTCAACCACCGCGCCCAGTGCAGCTGCAGCGCCGGCTTTATCCCCAACCCGACTGCCAACGTGGCGTGCGTGCGCGAGCCGGTGCCGTGCAGCATCAACTCGGAGTGCGGCGCCGGCGCCGTCTGCCAGGCGGGCCAGTGTCGGCCCATCTGCAGCGACGACCGCGGCTGCCTCTCCAACGAGCGCTGCGACCAGGGCCTCTGCATGCCCGGCTGCCGCCTGGACGACGACTGTGCCAGCGGCGAGATCTGCCGCGAGCTCGTCTGCGTGGCCGGCTGCCGCGCCGACACCGACTGTGCCGCCGCCACCAGCTGCGTCAACAACAAGTGCATCGGTAAGGGAGTCGCAATACCGGAGGCTCGTAACATCCGTTACTGACCTGCTTTCCTGAATCTGAATCATGATTTAATAGCACTGAATCGCAGCCTTTGATTAATTGAAACAATATTTTCGGACTTGTCAATGACATTGCTGACTGATCATGCATCTCGACATCTACCTTCTCTTGCAGACCCGTGCGCCTCCCCCACCGCCTGCGGCACCAACGCGCAGTGCTCGGTGGTGAGCCACCGCGTGCAGTGCACGTGTCCTGCCGGCACCACTGGTGACGCCTACAGCAGCTGCCGCGCCCCGCCCAAGGTCTGCGAGAAGGATGAACAGTGCGACGACGGCACCTGCTACGGCGGTGTCTGCGTCGCCAAGTGCTCAAGGCAAGTGAAGACCACATATTATCGCATTGTTTCAAAGATACATTGAGTGAGGTTTATTTAACTGAGCTCGATGTATGTGATTTTTTATCATCTCTTTGATTAAAGCCTGTTTGGCACCACTCCACTCTAACACATTCCAACCCCGCAGCGACACGGCCTGTCTGAACGACGAGCGGTGCGTCGGCGGTATCTGCAAGTCTATCTGCAGCTCGGACACGCAGTGCCGCTCCGGCCAGATCTGCCAGGGCCGGCTGTGTCTGTCCGGCTGCCGCTCGGACGACCACTGCTCCGCCGACCAAGCCTGCATCAACCGGCGCTGCCGCGACCCCTGCCAGGGCACCGCCGCCTGCGGCACGTGCGCCCAGTGCGACGTGGCCAACCACCGCGCCCAGTGCACGTGCCCGGCCGGCACACTCGGCAACCCGCAGGTCGCCTGCCAGCCGGTGGCCACGCGCTGCTCCAGCAGCAAACAGTGCAAGTGAGTAGCATAAATCAAAGAAACTGAAACATTTCGCTTGCGTGATACGAGTGAATCCCAGGGAGCATCTTCAATGCTGTTTGCTAAATAATACCATTCTGTCCTTTGACCGACTCACCCGTTCTGTTTCAGCGGCGGTAAGTGCGAGTCCGGCCTGTGCCTGTCGCAGTGCTCCACGTCGAGCGACTGCGGCTGCGGCCACACCTGTGCCGACGGCGTGTGCCGTCAGCAGTGCTCGGCCGACGCCGGCTGTCCGGAGGGTGTGCTCTGCGCCGATGGCCTGTGCGTGGCCGGCTGCCGCGCCAACGCCGACTGCCCGGCGCGGCTGGCCTGCTCCGGCGGCCAGTGCGTCGACCCGTGCTCCGCCGGCTCTCCGTGCGGCAGCGGCGCCGAGTGCAAGGTCTCCGACCACCGCGCCGTCTGCCTCTGCCCCGACGGCTTCAACGGCAACCCCAAGGAGGCGTGCACAAAGGCCGGCTGCAAGCGCGACGACGACTGCGTGGACCGCACCATGGCCTGCATCGACTCGCAGTGCGTCAACCCGTGCCTGCAGCCGAACGCGTGCGGCGTCAACGCCCAGTGCAAATCGATCCGGCGCCGCGCCTTCTGTCTCTGCCCGCCCGGCTACTACGGCGAGGCCACCGTCCAGTGTCTCAAGGGTACGTTATCTGTTTTTTTTTTTATCCCAACGATATAGATCTCGATTCATCTGACATTTGACAACGTAGAACAATGGTCGAGGTGCTCTTCGACTTTCAAATGTCTCGTGTGTACCGGCTACTTGGTATGACCATTCACGCCACTTCCACAGAGGCCAACGAGTGCGTGAGCAAGCCGTGCGGCGAGAACGCCTATTGCACCGACACACCGGACTCGTTCACGTGCACATGCGAGAAGGGCTGCTTCGGCGACCCCCTGCGCGGCTGCGTCTGCGTCGGCAACCAGTGTGACAGGCTGCAGTGCGGCGTCAACGCCGAGTGCCGCGTCAAGGACGACGATGACGACGATGACGACGACGACGATGATGATGGCAGCAGCGGAGCCGAGTGCTACTGTCCGCCGGCGTTCCCCATCGGAAACCCCAACATCAGATGTGAGTGACCGTTTGGATATTGGCATCATTAGCTATCTGTATACATGAATATTATTGCCCATTAGGCTGGTGAAAAGTAAACGTAAATAGCACGCAGTTGCTTTTTTGGCCACCGTTGGCCCGGCACATTGCGTGATGAGCTCCTGTGCCACATCCAGCTGATTATACGCCTTTCCTTGCGCGCAGGCTCGACATCGGGCCGGGTCAACTGTCGTAGCACGGGCTGCGGCCTGAACGCTGACTGCGCGCGCCAGGGCCTCGGCTACGCGTGTCGCTGCCGCGCCGGCTACGTAGGAAACCCGGAGACCGGCTGCTCGCCAGGTGAGTGCCGCCGCTCGGCCGCGGGACGGGTCGGATGGGAGAGGGGTTAGATGGGAAGGAGACAGGGTGGGAGGGGAGGACAACGACGGAAGAGGTTCCGACTTCCGAGACATCGCGGGAAGGGGAGAGACGAAAACGGGAAAGGGGTCCACGACTTGTGCCATAAGGGGGTGACGATTGCATGGGGAATGTGTATGTCCGTGACTAGACTGAGATCTTCCCTCAAGATGTACATTACGAAGACGGATACCATGGGCGAAACCCCACTCGACAAGCTGTGAATAAGGTCGGATTGCTGATTTGTCCTTCCCAACAGAGCCAAACGCGGGAATGATATTGAGAAAATAAGTATATTGAGTAAAAAAGGAAAGTTTAGCAATAAGCCCTTGACAAAAGTGGCATCAACTTGCTTATCCACTACCTCTGTCTACCGAAGCACGATTTCACGAAAACGATTGTCCCATACAGAACCAAACCTCTGTTTGGGTAGCATTATGGAAACTCACTTTTCACTTTCGTCAGGAAACGATGTAAATCAACAAAAGTTTGTATGGCAGATTTTTAGTTTTAGTCTCAAGCTTGATTAAAAGCAATTTAGTCATTGAGAATCATATCCATACCAAGAGACAAAAGCGACTCATTTCATTTTTGACTCTGCTACACATCCACTTCTTCCGGCACTATTGTTCTAAAGTCATGCCTTTCGAGCATAGCCATGAACAGACTTCTTACTCTGAGACCCTGTCGAGTTGTAGAGTGCATGTGACATTCCCTTCCCGACTGTGTGCTGCCTGATGACTGTACCCCGTCCAGTGGACGGCGGGCCCGGACTGTACCGCCCCGGGCCGCGGCTGGCGGCGGCCGGACTGCGAGCTCCCTCCTCTGCTTTCCCGTCCACCATCCCTCCGAAAACCCGTCAGCTGGCTTAGCATGCCGCTTGTCGTCCCGCGCCGCGTCCGGGACCTCGCGCGGGCCGCCGCCGTGCCGCTGCCCGCGCCGCCGCATGCGTCTAACCCGACCCATCTCCGCCCGGACGACAGAATCTGCATGCACGCGCGACTCAGACTGTGGCACGTCGGCCGCCTGCCAGAACGGCGAGTGCGTCGACCCGTGCGCCGTGCGCGGCGTCTGCGGCCAGAACGCCCTCTGCCAGGTGGTGTTCAGCAAGGCGCGCTGCTCGTGCCCGCAATGCTACGTCGGCCAGCCTTCGGAGGTGTGCCGGCCCGACCCGACCTGCGGCCGCGTGCCGGAGAGGCCCCCCGGCCCGCGGACCCGCTGCAGCGGAGACGACGACTGCGCCGACAGTCTGGCCTGCCAGAGCGGCGAATGCGTCGACCCGTGCTTCGGCTACACACTCTGTCCCGAGGAGAAGAAGTGCATGGCACGCGACCACGTGGCTGCCTGTGTCTGCAAGTACGGCATCAGCGTCAACGAGAAGTTCGAGTTCGTCTGCGCCGGGCCGCGCATCGAGTGCCGCTCGGATGATGACTGCGCTTCCAACCTGGCCTGCTTCACCGGCAAGTGTCAGAACCCGTGCATTCTGCAGAACCCGTGCCCGACCAACAAACGCTGCGACGCCGTCAACCACCAGCCCATCTGCATGTGCTCCAAGGACTGCCAGTCGTCCGTCTCGCTGTGCCTGAACGACCGCGGCTGCTCCGACAACCTGGCCTGTCGCAGCTACCAGTGCATCGACCCCTGCGAGGGCTTCAACTGCCCACAGGACCGACCCTGCTATGTCGAAGACCACAAGCCTGTCTGCAAGTTCTGTCCAGAGGGCTTCAGCGTCGATCCGATCTACGGCTGTATGAAAGGTATGCGCGCCGGCTGCGCGTTCGGCTAGCTGGCTGCGCCCTGGGAGCGGGATCGCAAGCTAACCTGACCGCCATGCCGCGCACTAATGCCTGTCGCACGTGCTACCGACGCTGAGGGACTGGTACCACCTCTGCTGAGGGCCGGTGCCACCTGCTCTGCGACTGTGGCAACGGAACCAAACGATGTAACCGATGCTGCCGCGCTTGCACTAACGCCAACCCACCGGCGATTTAGAGGCCGTCGTCTTCCCGTGGTGTCTATCGCCGTTTTTTAGGCATCACGAATCTAACTTGTCTCCCTCTTTTACAACGACGTAGAGACACCACGGGATAAGACGATGTCGCCTCATGTCCCCGCTCACGCTTGCTTGTGCTTTCTAAAGCCCTTAGCTTCATCGGCTCAATAAACCGGCTGACACAGGGAGCTCCAGCGTCGTCCACCTTCCAACGGAACTGTACTTCGGAGGGGCTTCTTCTTCGCGCCGCGATCTGAACTATGACAGACGGGCACCTGCTCAGACTCAGACATCACCAGACTCTTTAACCCGCCAGCAGGCGGAACGACACACGCATGGACAGACTTAAACACTTCGAGACGACTTCATACTCACCAGAGGCAGATGTTTCCAAATCTGCATGCTGCATGTGCATGAAACGCATGATCATATGATGTGCATGATATGCATGTTATTAGCCCTCTTCCTCCAGGGATTGGTGTCTCAAAATGCATGCTCGCTTTACGCATTACATCTCCAGCCGTAACATCATCAGCAATTAACCCTCGCCGGCCGAGGGGGGGGGGCGGGTGCCGCCCCCCCCCCCCCATAGGGTTTTTTTCGCGATAGCTCCGAACACGCTGGCGATAGAGAGCTGAAACTTGGCATACCTGACCTTTGATCCAAGCCGCATCTTTTGACACCAACCGCATTTTTGGGTCAGGTCAGGTCACTGACCTATGACGTCATAAGTGAACCTCTGCACGGTCTTCAGATGTCGCAACTTCGCAACGCCCTCACTGCCAGAGGAGATGTCACAGGGAAATGAAACTTGCAGGATCTAGTATCCATTATGAGTCTCACAACTTGTATATCTCGGATTTTTCCTAAAGGTCATATGAGGTCAGGTCATTTTCGTGACCTCACCATTATAAGTCAATGGGGAAAAATTCAAACTGCTATTCTGGCGCCGGGAACGATCTCCAACTATCTCAAGCACACAGAATCGTGATTTGATGCACTCCTTGCAAGGTTAGATGCGTCACTTTTGCAATGTTGACCTTCCGTGACGTCATTTATGACGTCATCAAGGTCATATTAGTTTTTCGTCAATAACTCCCGATCAAATTGAGCTAGCGAGTCGAGAAAGCCACCAATGGACTCAGGAAGACCTGCCGAATCGAATGATATGCGACATGACCTCTTTCGACCAACTTCGTGACCTGGGGGTGCTGACCTGACCTTGACCTGAGGTCAACACCCTAAGTTGACCTGACCCGAACAAAAAGTATATCATTCGACGCGCCTGAGCGAGGCGAACACGATGCTGCCAAAATCGCGGCTCTGCGGCCGTTTTTTGCGAAGTTATTCACCAAAAACTGAACCGTACCCTGGGGCACTTGACCTGACCTCAGAGGTCACCGGTTGACCTAGGACCTTAAAACCGGGTACCAATCTCTGCGTCTCGTAACGGCGCACACGCTCGTTTTTTCCGCGACGCGCTAGCTCCACCAGGGGCGAAACGGCGAGGGGGAGGTCGTACCCGCCCCCCCCCCCCCTCGGCCGGCGCGTATGTAGAAAACCAATAGGTCCGGCGAGGGTTAAACATATAAATTATGCATTAACTATACTCAAATCGCCTGCAATTAAAATGCCTCACCAGAATAATCCATCACGCTGCGCGAATTTAGTGTTCGTTTCAATCACTCACCAACTTTAACTGCCTTTGTCAAGGCCCAAAGGACGACTAACTTATTAACTGTGGCTGCCCAGCCACGGATATTGGAGATATATCAGGCATGTCAGGCCTCGAGCGAGGTCAGCCCCGCCTCCGATAATCACCCAGCCTTGAATCATAACGTAACTGCTTCGCCGACGCCGCTCTGACGTCACTGCCCCCCACCGTGACGTCACTGGCCGCCCGTCCACAGTGATTGGCTGCCGGGAGAACGGCAACTGCCCGTCCAACCAGGCCTGTATCAACGGCGAGTGCAAGAACCCGTGCATGCTCGTTGATCCGTGCCAGGCCCCTGAGGTGTGCCGCGTGCAGGACCACAACAGCGTCTGCGTCGACGGTACGACACCGTTTGTAACATGCTGCGCTCAATGACGGGATGTAACATAGTTACCGTGTACATATGCATGAGGGAGTAACTGGGGTGGGGGGTGGGGGACGGCTGATAAGGGAATCCAAGACTTTATTGGAGGGTCGTAAGGGTAACTTTTTATATGGGAAGCTAATGATGTTTATTAAAATGGCAAAGTTGGCAAAAGACGATGTCCTCGAAACCAAGTGAAAGGGAGGGGGTGAATACATTGCGATGCAAATATGGTGTACAGGAGCAGAAAAGTGTAGGCCGAATGGAGATGCTATAAAACTCGCGAGCCTGGTTTCAGAGTGGTGATAGGTAATGAAGTGGATGTTTTAGAGCACACAAAAATGCAAATTTTAAGTGATGTATTCCGTTTAAATCAAAAACTTTAGATTTTACTTTTCTCTGACAGGTTTTACCTGGATGTACACACGTAAATACCTACTTCGGAGGAATTTATCAAAAAAGAAAAGAAAAAAGAACGTAGTCCGGTAGTTTTCACGGGATATGTTCGTTAGGTATATAGTATACATCCACTCGTCTTAGAAGTGCCATAGCAAGAGGCTCATTTGGTAAGCTGCGCAAATTTTCCCCCTTTTCAAAGAAGGGTTGGAAAAATGGTGCAGGGTCTGCCTTCTCTTACTTACCGAGCAGCGTTACTGATCGAGCCCCGCACCCGCACGTCCACAGGCTGCCGGTGCAGCTCCAACGCCGACTGCGGCATCGGCGAACAATGCGACGGCTGCGAGTGCCAGAAGAGCAGAGGTGAGCACTGGAACTGCAGGAAGGGTGCTGTTTCTTAAAAACGGGTTAGATGCGAGAAAGTGTCATGTAAACGATTACGATCCAGACATCGAAATGCAAAGATGCGGCTGGATATTCAGCATTAAAATACGTAAAAGAACAAACTTACCAATCAAGGCCATCACGGCACGGATCCGTTGGACGATTTCCTCTGCTCTGCTGATCTGCGCTGACCGATGTTGCGTCGCCCCCGCAGTACCCAACATCGGCTGCGTACCGGGCAGCTGCGACGACGGCCAGTACTGCGACGAAGGCACCGGCGAGTGCGTCGATGACGATGACGATGATGATGACGACGACGACGACCCGACAGGTAGGTCCCCGTGCCCTTGCCGGCCGGGTGTACCGTATGAGTCGTGTGAGTGCGAGTGCGAATCGTTAAACTGCCTCGTGGCTCTGCGCTTTGGTAACCGCTACCGGCGCAGGTTGTGACCGCTGAGCTATAACGAGCAGCCGCAGCTAGCGCGCACTGCAGTCTAGATCAGCATCGTGGCTAACTAAAGCGTAACCGCTCGCCGTGGCATGTTGTTAACTCCTCTAACCTGCATCGCCTGACCGCCTGCCCCGAGTCCTGCCCTGGCTCGCCCTCACCATTTCGACCCTGCCAGCCTGACCCCGCAGCTGAGCCTAACGCCGCCGGTCGCGGAGGTGCCCGGCGCTAACAGGACCGCCTGCGGCGCTGGTGCGACTCGCCTGGGACGCTGCCACCGACCACCGGCTTCAGCGCTTCCTAATCTATACTCTCTGGCTTTTGCTCTGATCTCGTAACCCGACCAGCTTCTTGGGTCAAGTATTTAGAGCATGGTAGTATGGGAGATTGGGCCTTGCATCGCGAGCTGGTTTTGGGTCACACTTTCAGTCTGCATCCAGCACCTGCCTGCATTCATAAACAAACACACATTGCATCAAGTTAATCAAACTTACGCCCACATGCCAATCAGAATACAGCTCAGCATGCATTGTTTATGGCACTTTTAGGCATGTATTGCGCAGCATGCCGCAAACTACAATCCAATAAAGAGGAATGTATGAGTGCGTGAGCGTTTGGACTGTGTGTGCGCGCGTGCTTACCTGTGTATGCATTTGCTTCACATGTACCATTTCAGACGATAGACTGGCGTTAGAGCGGAGCTGACCTTTGTCAGTAGTATGTAAATAAGCTGTACGTTCGGTTTCGCCTTGCCGTTCGCCTTCTTCAACCATGCATTGTCCGTTCCGGCCGGACCCTTCTCTCGACACACAAACACACACACACACATACTTCTTCCACGTGCCGCAATTTCGGCGGCGCGATAGCTGTCCGTCTCGGCGTCTCCGCTCTGTCTCTCTCGGTCTCCGTTCGTCTCTGTGGCGTTTCTGCCGTCGTCTGACCCGGCGCGCCGCCCAGCAGTGCCGCCCGCTCCGGCCGGCGCACAGCCCACCGTCCGGCCGACCGCCTCGGGCGCGGCCTGCGGCAACAACTCGGACTGCCCAATGGCCGAGACGTGCCTGCAGGGCCGCTGCTCGGACCCGTGCCGCTGCGGCGTGGGCGCCGAGTGCCGCGTGCGCCGACACCGGCCCGTCTGCCGGTGCCCAGAGGGCCACGTCGGGGATCCGGCCGTGCGCTGCACACCCGCCGGTACGTCGGAGTGGTCAGACGATCAGCAGGTCCAGAGAGACGTCCACTTGAGTTAGGCTTTTGTCGAGCCCAGAAGTTGATGATACTAGAGTTGAATCGGCCAGGCCAGGCGCATACGGCGCCAATAACGTAACAAACCAATTAACAGTCCCGTCTATGGCACTCACAACACTCGTTAATGTTTAACCCGGTCAATGGACACCTAACTATGTAACGTTTACGGATAACAATAATCCCAGCACTGGTGTGTTACATCTCACATATCGTGACGTCCCGTTGGTTTTGTCACATCCCTAACCACGGCGGGAAATGGTAGCCGCTGGCGAGCCGTCACCGGTGGACCGGGCTTCCTCTGCCCGTCTGGCGGTGACGGGTCGGTGGAACCATGCCCGCCACTCACACGAACCCATGTCTAACACAGTGTCTCTGTCCCCTAACAAGGCGGCACCACCCCGGCGCAAGACGGCACTGGGAGCGGCACCACACCCCGCCCCCGGCCTGGGCTGACCCCCTCCGTTCCTGAGGCAGCCGGTACCCCCGGCACCCCTGCTCCCCCGGGCGCTACCCCTGGCAGCCAGGTCACGGCCCGACCCGGAACATCCACTGCTCCCGGAGCCCTCCGACCCGGCCAGGTCACCGACAGGCCGGGAACGCCCTCTGGGACCACAGACGGACCCTACGTGCCCGGTCAGAACAGGGAAACCGTCTACACGACCCCCGCTCCTCAGCGAGGGGCCGACGGACCGCCTGGCGGACCCAGCGTCCCCGCCCGTCCCAGCGGGCCGACCTCCTCGGTATCCGGGGAAACCACTCCTCGTCCAGACTCCGAGGTATCCGCGACGCCCAGTCCCTCCGCCACCCCCGGTTCCTCCGAGACGCCCGATCCCGCGGCCACCCCGGTCCCCAGCGGCTCCGGGTCGCCGTGCGCGGCCACGGCTGAGTGTGCTGACACGGAGGCGTGCCGGGGCGGGGTGTGTGTGAGCCCGTGCCAGTGCGGCGCCGGCGCCACCTGTCTGGTGACCGGCCACCGACCCGTCTGCCGCTGCCCGCCCGGATACGAGGGCGACTCCTATGTCCAGTGCCGACCGCGGGGTACGTGCTAACACCGTCCGATCACCACTAACCGACCGCACTCTGTGTGTTCATAGTGAAAATACGACCGCTGTCTGTACAACGCTTGGGTTCATGGTTCGGTGGAATTGTTATTAACTCTGGTGCACCGTCCAACATGATCAGTGATGGTTAATATTTGCTAACTGTTGGTGTTTAATCTCCGTGAATGGTTCATTCAGATATGGTTTTGCTCCGCTTACACGGTAACATTGGTATGACATTAACGTTAACAATTCACTACTCAGTAACGATTTTTCGTCATTACTACATGCTCGTTTCACAAAGTAACCTCTAATCAACCTGTGTCTAACCAACAACATACATCATTCCACGAGCTCGCCAGATTCAGTGGCTGGTTTATCCCGCATGACTAAAGATTCACAATATGATTCGAAAAAGGACACATATTTGCCACTGGAATTTTGGTGCCACAACTCCGATTCGAAGCCAGCCCTGTCTCTGCCGAGCTCGCGGCCCTCTCACCGACCCCGTCCCGCACTGACCACTAACGGCCTGCAGGCGAGACGGGCGTGCCGACGCGCCGTCCGCCGACGCCCACTCTGCGGCCCGTGGTGCCCGTGGCGCCGACGGCCGCCTGCCGACGCCAGGACGACTGCGCCGCCAGCCTGGCGTGCGTGGCCGGCCGCTGCGTGGACCCGTGCCGCTGCGGGCCGGGCGCCACGTGCCGCGTGATCCGGCACCGGCCGCTCTGCCTGTGTCCGCCGGGCACGCGCGGCGACCCGATGACCGGCTGCCGCAGGCCCGCCGCCGGCCTCGGTAGGTACCGCGCCGCCTTCTCCGCAGGCACAGCGCTGTGCACCTGCAGCTAGATAGATGTCGATGCTTTGTAGTGTGACAGAATCGGCTTTACGTGTAGATGGTTGGTAGAGGTTTAAACGGTCAGACCACCTGATTGGGGATGAACAGAAGTCGCTCGGAGCATAGAAAGGTCTAGCTTTGAGGTGTTGCTCCATCACTGGTCTCAGCAGAGTCACTGTATTTCAGACGACTCGAGTTCTACAGAGGCGCCGCTCGGCTCCACTACCGTCGACTCCCCTGCATATACGCCGTCCGTCCCAACCCCGACCAACTTCGACCCGTCCCCGAGTCCCGGGCCCGCTCAGCCGGTCACCGTTCCGCCGGCGTCCAGCCGGTCCACGCCCAGTGTCGGGGGGCAGACGGCTCCCGGCCCTGAGACAGACGTCACTCAGACCACAGCAGCCACAGACGCGCCTGCAGAGGTCCTGAAGAGTCAGACGGAGACCCCTCAGGTCGCCACCACGGAAGCACCTACAGAGGTCGAGAAGAGTAAAACGGAGACCTCAAAGGTCACTACCACGACCACGCCTGTAGAGAACACTCAGACTGAGACACCTCAGGATACAGTAAAGATTGTGGAGGAACAGCAGACCCAAACAGGCGTCACTCAGGCAACGATCACAGTGGCCCCTAAGGAAGATCAAAAGAGCAAAACGGAGACCCCTCAGGTCACGGTCACCAAGGCGCCTAATGAAGATCAAAAGAGCAAAACAGAGACCCCTCAGGTCACGACCACAGAGGCGCCTAATGAAGATCAAAAGAGCAAAACGGAGACCCCTCAGGTCACGACGACAGAGGCCCCTGCAGAGGTCCAGAAGACTCAAACGGAGACCCCTCAGGCCACGGTTACAGAGGCGCCTGCAGAGGTCCAGACGACTCAAACGGAGACCTCTCAGTCCACCACTAAGGCGCCTGCAGAGGTCCAGAAGACTCAAACGAGGATCCCTGCCACTCAGGTCCCAGAGCAGCCAGACGGCGGGAGTACTGCCTCCCCGTCGACGGCGGTGCCTTCACAGGAAACCAAGACAGCTTCGCCCACGAGCTCACCAACTTTCACCGGAACTTCGCCGGTTACATCCGAGGGTTCTCCAGAAAACAGGACACCTCCCGATGGCATTCCTGTGATCGGTACAACTGGCGTGGAGAGCAGCTCTGCACCGACCGTGTCTGGTGCGGAGGAAGAGGCCATCGCTTTCACCCTCCCCACTCCTGCAGGCACAGAACGGTCACCTACCGACACTGCCTACCAGGAGGAGGGCAGTGCCACGCCGGTACCAGAGGGCACGGGAACCATCGCTCAGACGAGCGGGGATGTCGTCAGGGATGGTGACGATGGCTTTGAGAGCTCCAGCGATCCCACTAGTGAGGCACCACCGGCATACACGTACACCGTCCCGTCAACAGCGACAGATCCTCAAAGTGACGGCAGCACATCCACGGTACCTTTCGATGTGACATCACAGACACCTATCCCTGGGACAGAGAGCGTCACCACTGAATCAACTGCTTCTGATGTACCTCAAACCACTGCTGCTGGAACAAGTGGCGATTCCACGCCGTCTATAAGTGTGACAACCCCGATCACCGCCACGGGAATCGATGCAGTAACTTCTGCACCACCCGCTAGAGTTACCTCGGAGACCACTGCTAGTGGAACCGATGATGGTACGTCTGCACAAACAACTGACATGACATTACAGACCACCAGTGCTGGCACTGTCGGCGGCACTCCTACGACCTTGCCTGACTTGGCATCAGCGACCACTGGAACTGCAGCTGATGGTGTCACCCCAAAGCCCTCTTCTGCCCTGCCATCAGTGACTACTGATACCAACATTGAGGAGACATCTACAACAGCAATTGGTGTAACATCAGAGACCACTGATGTGGAGACCAGCAGCGCAACGCCTGTGCCTCCTGCTCCTGTAACGTCTCTGACCACAGGGATTGAAACTGACATTGTCACCTCCACACCATCAACTGGTGTCATACCGCAGACGGCTGATGGCAGTGAATCGTCTACAGCATCACCCGGCGAAACCACTAGTACTTACGAGAACAACATAACTTCTACATCGCGACCTGCCGCGACATCACAAACCACAGAAACTGCCACTGATGCCACTCTTACAACGATTAATGGTGAGACATCACCGAGTACTGTTGTTGGAATAGATGCCATTTCTTCTACGCAATCTACAACAGTGGTATCGCAAGCCAATGTAACTGAAACAGGTGGTGTGACTTCAACGCCATCCACTAGTGCAACAGCAACTAGCACTGATGTTGGCATTGAGCAAACGACATCAACATCTCCAGGCCGTGTGACGCCAGAGTCCACCACTGGAGGTGCCACTTCCACACCACCTACTGACGTAACATCACAGACAACCAGTACTAGCATCGGCGGCAGCACGTCCACGTCACTACCTGACGTTACGTCAGGAACCACCATTTCTGGCACTGATAGCGTCACGACGTCTAAGCCGGCGCCTGAAGTGACATCAACGACCACGGGAACTGCAACTGACGGTGTCACTTCTACACCCTCCTCTCCCGTACCATCACAGACCACTGACACTAACATAAATGTCGTCACGTCCACATCATCGACTGGTGTAGTATCAAAGACCACTGGTGACGGAATCAATAGCGTCACGCCTGCGCCTCCTGCTCGAGTAACATCACAGACCACTGATGCGGTAGTTGACAGCGAATCGTCCACATCATTCCCTAGCGTGACATCAGAAACTACTGATGCTGTCATCGCTGGTGTTACTTCTACATCGCCATCAATCACATCACAGACGACTGATGTTGAAACTAGTGGCGACTCGTACACCCCAACACCTGGAGGAGCATCACAGAGCACTGCAACTGATGACTTGACTCCGACACCACCTTCAGTCAATTCACCGATCTCCAACACTGGCATTGACGGTGTGCCGTCTACAGGGGCACCCGGCATTGATGGCGTGCCGTCTGCAGTATCACCGGGCATTGGTGTCGTGTCGTCTACAGTATCGCCCGGCATTGATGGCGTACCGTCTACAAAAACACCCGGCATTGATGGCGTGCCGTCTACTGTATCACCCGACATTGATGGCGTGTCGTCCACAAAAGCACCCGGCATTGATGGCGTGCCGTCTACAACATTGTCGAGCGTTGAGGGCGTGTCGTTTACAAAAGCACCCGACATTGATGGCGTGCCTTATACATCACCTGATATTGATGGCGTGCCTTCTACATCACCTGTTATTGATGGCGTGCCGTCTACAAAAGCACCCGGCATTGATGGCGTGTCAACTACTGCATCACCTGGTATTGATGGCGTGCCGTCTACTGCATCACCGGGCATTGATGGCCAAGCGTCTACAAGAGCACCGGGCATTGATGACGCATCGTCTACAGTATCGCCTGATGTGACATCACAGACCACAATTATTGGAATTACTGGCGTCACTTCTACCCAATCACCCGGAGTGGAATCACAGCCCACTTCTTCAGGCATTGATGGCATCACCACGCCTACATCATCGCCTGGTGTGCCATCACAGACCACCAGTGATGGCATTGATGGCGACATGTCTACCACATCACCGGCGGTAACATCACAGATCACTACCACTGACGCCACCCCAAAACCACCCGTTAGCGTTACGTCGCAGACAACCCCGACAGAAACTGACGCCGGTACGTCCATATCATCCACTGACGTTACATCACAGACCACAGCTACTGCCACTGAGACTGTAACGTCTACGACGCCTGCAGGTGCGACGTCTCAGACTACAGCCAACGCAACTGGTGTCACATCTGAAACCTCTGATTCCGTCACTGGAGGCACCACATCACCAACAACCGTTGGCCAGACTCCGACAAGTCAACCAGGAACATCCGCCACAGTCACTAGCCCGTCCTCGGACGGTTCGACGCCACTGCCTGGTCTCACCACACCCCTGTCTGGTGCTGGTGGTGAGCCTGCCTACACCCTCCGACCGACCGCCCCAGGCAGCAGTGGCGGTGAAGATGGTAGTGTTGTCACCAACGTGGTGCTTGTGGTCCCCGAGAGAGATGAGGTGCTCGCTCCGCAGGATCTGGTGAATGAGACAGCTGCTGTGGCGGTGACACTGCCCACGATCGTGGAGGAAAACACGACTGAAAGTGTGACATCCACTAAAGGAGAATATGTAACGGTCTCCCCTGTCACGCAACAGACCCAGGCAGGGACTGAAGCAACGACGGAGGCAACAACGCCAGCTCCGATCATCCCAACGAATGACACACGCGCTCCAATCGAGATAATTGTCGAAGTAGGATACGGAACAAACACAACGTCCACGGGGGTTGTCGAGAGCCGTGAGCCTCCCGACGAGGGACGCCCGACGGTCGTCGACGGTCCGGTGACCACCACTGACGGGCCCAGCATCCTGAGCACCCCCGCCCCCGCCACGGCAGCCCCGGCCGCTGCCGGCGACGCGTGTCGCTCCGACTCGGAGTGTGCCGCCTCGCTGGCGTGTCTGTCTGCCGTCTGCCGGGAGCCGTGCCGCGAGCTGCGCCCCTGCGGCCCGGCCGCCGTCTGTTCCGTGCACCGGCACCGGCCGCTCTGTAGGTGCCCGCCCGGTCACATGGGTGACCCGAGCGTCGGGTGCACCCCACAAGGTAGCTACAGCGCCCCACCCGACCTAACCCACCTGCAGTCCTCTGACAGCTTCTACCATACTAACAGCACGCCTCTTCAGCCGCCCCAGTCCGTCTTCGTCTTGAGCAGAGCTGCCGTCTTCTTCCGCATCTGACGCCGGCGAGTTTCAGAGAACCTCTCCAGAGGCGGCGTCTTTCGCCGGCTCTGGGTCGTCCGTGTGTGCCTGCCCGTGTCGCCGTCGCTCTCTTACGCTCGCTGTCTTGCTGTCTGACCCGACAGAGCGGCCTGTGACGCCCACCGCGCGGCCCACCGCGCCGCCCTCGTGCGCCTCGGACCTCGACTGTCCCGACAACCAAGTCTGCTACGACACGCTCTGTAAAAACCCGTGCGACTTCGATAACATGTGCGCCCCGAACGCGCTCTGCGACACGAGGGCGCACCGCCCTCAGTGTCGCTGCCCGCCGGGCTCCCACGGAGACGCGAGGAGGGAGTGCCTCCTGGACGAACGTAAGACCTGGCTCCGCCGCCGCAGAAGCGGCCCGGCGACCGGCCGACAGCCCGACCTCAACCGCTCCATTCACACATGTTTGACATTTGACTGCTTTGTAACAAAACCATTGACGGGAGACTGAAATGGTTGCACGGACACTAGAGGGGAGGACAATCGGCCGGTCGCCGGACACTGACAACTCGCTAACGGACTTTTACAGACAGTACTTGATGCTATCAAATAACATCAGCTGCTTATTACATGACCTTAACGTTGATCGATATTTAACAATTGCTGGAAGGTAACTTACATCATTTTAGCAACGATTGCGCTAACCTGTAACCACGCTGCCTGTTACATGACATGACATCATTGACTGCTGACCTGACCTGACCTGACCCGTTGACCGCTCGCCCAGTTGGCTGTCTGGCCGACTTGGACTGCCCAGACGCGCAGTTCTGCGTGGATGCCGACTGCCAGTTTCCTTGCGACGTTGGTAACCCGTGCGGAACCAACGCCGTATGCTACAACCAGAACCACGTGGCGCAGTGCCGCTGCAAGGAGGGTTACCACGGGAATCCGCTGCTACTCTGCCTGCCAGGTGCGCTCGCTAACGCCAACACGCTAACCGAACAAACGGTATAACCACTCCAGTCCAGTAGCGCAAGCTCGCTTTTATTTCGAGTAAGTTTTTGTTTTAATGCGCAACGCATCATTTAAGCAAAGTCAGGATGCTAGAAAGTCACACTTTTGAAACCGGTGGCGCAAAATTCGGGACCGATCATGTCTAGTTTCTAATGACCAAATTTTTAATTGTCACAGTAGAAGGCATTTCATCGTAGCAGAAACTGCTGTTTTGAGTCCACCGGGACTCACCGGCTCACACGTCATTCCGCCGCAGCCGGCTGTATGCGCAACACCGACTGCGCCTTCGACGAGGAGTGCGTCAGTGGCGACTGCGTGAGCGCGTGCCGCGCCTCGGCCAACCCGTGCCACCGGACGGCCGTGTGCCGCGGCGTCGACCACGTGGCCACGTGCCGGTGCCGGCCGGGCTACGGCGGCGACGCGGCCACCGGGTGCTCGCCGCTGCCCAGCTGCCGGCGCAGCGCCGACTGCCCGCCCGACCTGTCATGCATCGAGCGCGTCTGCGCCAACCCGTGCACGGAGGACGCGTGCCCGGCGTCGGCGGTGTGCCGCGTGCAGCAGCGGCGGCCCGTGTGCGCCTGTCCGGCCGGCTTCACCGGCGACCCGGCGCGCGGCTGCGTGCAGCTCCAGTGCCGCTCGGACCGCGACTGTGCGGCCGGCACGCGCTGCGTCGGCCAGATGTGCCGCCAGCCGTGCAACGTGTGCGGGCTGGACGCCGTCTGTCGCGACGACCGCTGCGTCTGTCCCGACGGGTACACCGGCGACCCGGAGCGACAGTGCACGCGCAGTAAGCAACGCTCTCAGAATTCCTCTATTCGCGCGCGGTTGAATCACGAGACGTTTTATGAAGTCTCCATTTTTTTTCCCGATTCCGAAAATAACACGTTCATAAAAATGTTCCAGAATTTGCAAGCGGAATTTCAGTTCTTAAAACGTTGCAATTTCTTTTATAAAATAGTTTGAATATGTAATGCGATGCGAGATCACGCGACACTGGACTGGATCCCTCTAATCGATTTTGGCTGGCCGACCGGCAGTTCCTGGACTGTGTAGCGGAGACGATCAGTGTCGGCTGAGCGAGGCCTGCCTCGACAGCCGGTGCCGCAGTCCCTGCTTCGCAGTGCCAGCGCCGTGTGGCCTGCGGGCCAGCTGCGACGTCATCAACCACCGGGCCATATGCTCGTGCCCCGACGGATTCGATGGCGAGCCCTCTAAACAGTGTGACCCAGGTACGCCGCACGACAATGCCCGTCCGCTAACCGCCTGCGGTGACGGTCTGACGCACTGACGCACCCGACGCCTGACGCACCACCCCGACGCCACCTTCCTTCACTATCGAGACGCTGTGTCTCGCCAGGACTGGGTTTCTATTTCTCCTTCTAGCCACTGTAGCACGGTGTGCTCTACGTCTGTGGTCTGCCGCTGAGGAGCGTGCATTCTGGACCTACGGTCAGTCCGGCACGGAATGCTTGGGTGTGCTGTCCGATCGCGTCTGGGCATGCGTTTTGCCTGCTGCCTGGACGGGAGCCTGACTGTCGTGAGCGTCAGGCGGCTGTCGATGTCGTTACGGCCGCGGTAGCTCCAGCTAGCTAGGCAGGTTTCTCTTCAGCTTGTCGTGATCCATTCAGCATCGTGGTTTGCTATTCGAGTCTCAGCTCTTCTCGAGGAATGCAGGACGCATGGTTTTAGACGGCGTCGCTTTGCTGGAGACGCTGTGGCGTTTCAGACACGCACGCCACTTTGGCAGCATAAATCCAACTGTAAATCGTGCTCACTCGCATGTGTGAGCACATAAATTGGCACACGCCGCAGTACAGATCACATGAGATGCCCGACCGCGTTACCTTATCGTTCATTTCGTTTATTCAGCAGTATTTAAACATTAAATCACTTTCACGACATGCAACATCATAATTTTCTTTGTTGACATTTATGCAGTGTTGTTCCCGGTGTTCCAATACCACATTTACCATGCCTGCTGTGAAGGTGACCCTCGGGCGCAGCATGTGGCACGCGCCTGTCGTCTGTTCGGGTCAGCCCGCTGACCTCAGCCCGTGCCGTGCAGTGCCGTCGCCGCGGCCCCGCTGCGGCACCGACCGCGACTGCGACCGCTCCGAGACGTGTCACCAGGGCGTCTGCGTGGACCCGTGCAGCCTGCGTCCGTGCGGCGCCAACGCCTTCTGCCGGCCGACCAACCACAAGGCGTTCTGCGTCTGCGAGCTCGGCTTCACCGGCAACGCCCAGATCGAGTGTGTCAAGCGTGAGTAACCAAAGGCGACGAAACTTGTGCCAGAATAGAGAGCGACAAGTTCTTCCTTCCCATACTGTGCTTCAACGCTTTTTCAGCAGGGCTTCAAAGTAGCATTGGCTCTGGGTGCTGCTCCATCATCGTCGAGCGGCAATGTGCTGATTCAGCAGACGGAGATGCCGGGCTATGCTTCAGCTTATGATTATTTGTGTGATGTTGTTTATCCCGTACTTCTGTTACTATAAGCTTCGACGATCAACGATAAGACGCTGATGCAAAGCGATAAGCCAGTGGTAAAACGAACGTTGTACCGCTTTGGTGGATAAAATTCCCTTACGTCTCTCTTCATGCAACTATTCATCCGATCTCCGAAACGTTTCATGTTGTGTTAGATGACAGCTTACAAGTATAGGTAGGCATCCACCTTCAAACGTATGTGCCTCAGCTTGAACGCCCCTGACCTGACCTGACCTGTGCCTCCACACCAGCCGGTCCTCGCGACTTCTGTAAGACCATGTACGACTGCGAAAACACAAAGACGTGCATGTACGGCCGGTGCGTGGACCCGTGCCCGTTGGCCCAGTGTGGCCGCGGCGCCCAGTGCCGCGCCGAGTACCACGAGCCCATCTGCTACTGTCCCGCGGGCCTCAGGGGCGACCCCAAGGTGGAATGCGCCAATAGTAAGCACATCTGTCGACGTCTTCTTCTGTCTCTGCCTGTGTCTCTATGGTCTATCGTTTTCCTCGCTCTCAGCAGTATTGCAGCCATACAAAGTTGCACTGTTTCATTTGGTCTTCTTTTCATTGGACATACAGAACGCATAAACAAAAGACAAAGCATCTTGCATTACATTTTATTTGCGAATCGCATAGTGTTTAAATGTATTGCAAAGCCTTGCTGTCTCTCTTTCTTTTCAATGATGCTCTTAGTTCCGAGAATGCTACTTTTCTTTGCCGCGTTTCGAGCCCGGAGCCAGTTGAATTGCTGTGGTTGGTGATATTGCGTGCTGGAGTGGCGCTTTGCATGCTATTCGTACGGGGACCCGCAGTTGCTACTGTACAGCGACCCTGAGTAAATTGTCCCAGCACACTCACAGGGAACAAAAATAAGCTGTCAGGAGGGCACGCACAGAAAATCTCAGCTGCTCTTATACAGGGACCGGCAGTCGATATCAATGTTATCGGTTGTTACTGGACAGGACAGACGGCTAGAGTTGGGGTTCGTGTACAGTAGCAACTGCGGGTCCCCGTACAAAATTTAGAGATGACATCCGGGTTGCCTGCGGTATGGAGGTGAAGGTCCCGACTGACTAGAGCAACGACAGCAAAACAGACATAGCCTCGTCCCGTATCTTCCCACTCACAACTCTAACCAGTCCTAACGCCTCCTGGAGCTCACCAACTGTGGAACTGAACAGGTGTTAACTACTCACCAACTGGCGGTGTGCCCTCACCTGGCCGGTTCGTCGTGTTTGAGGTAGCGGGGCTGACCACTAACCCCTGCCGTCCAGTGAGCTGCCGCGGTAACACCACGTGTCCGTCTAACCTGCGCTGCGCCGGCGTCTACTGCGTCGACCCCTGTCCGGAGGTGCGCTGCGAGGGCAACCGGCGCTGTGTCACCGAGAATAACTCACCGCGCTGCGTCTGTTCAGAGGGTTACGGCGGGCCCGACTGCCTAAAACGTGAGCAGGGTAAACGACGCCCAGACGCTGGGAACCCACAGTGGGAGACGAGTCGGCGCTTCGACGATTCCCAACTGAGCTCAACGCTCCCTTCACGCGTCTGTCTTCTTCTAATTTACTAATCTCACCGCCCTTTTTTGTGTAATTTTGTTTCTCTGAATAATTTCCATGTGGTGGATGAAACATTTATCTTTATCCGTGACGTTCTAATTGCCTCAGACTGCTGTAGATATATGCTTATGGTATAACCTAACTGTATATAGCTCTCTTTGCCGCGGCTTTCTCTTTTCCGACGTATGTGAAACCTAACAATGTTTGCAAAGAAGTTTACCTAACTTTCCAGTTGCAATTGTTCTATAACCACTTTTCACCTTACCGTTTCTTCTGTATGAAGTCTGTCAATCTCTATTACAAGAGGCCAAGAATCCTGAGCAGAGCTGACGGGATAAATAACGAAACATTTCTTTCTTCGCATGAAAAATCTAACAAATGGCATTCTCTACATCACATTACGAAATATGCATTGGATCGCCATTCATACGGTTCTCATATATAGAACCACACGCCCACAATATAGGGCGCTCTGAACTCTAAAGATCCCTCGCTCAGCTCTGCTCGGGAGGGTGGAGGGACCGAGAGCTGACCGAGCGGCCGGCCCCTTCCAGTGGACGACGGCGGACAGTGCGTGGCCGCCAACGACTGCCCGGCCGACAGGGCCTGCATTAACCGACAGTGCATGGACCCGTGTCTCGTGGAGAACCCGTGCAGCCCCACGGCGCGGTGCGCCACGAGGCAGCACGTGGCCACGTGCACGTGCCCCGCCGGACAGACTGGGGACCCCAAGAGCAGTTGTTACGCCCCTAATAGTAAGCAGACGGAAGGGCCAGGAAGGTTGATGCTCGTCGAGAGGAACTCCTTTTAGTATCTGTCAGACGATGCTCGATATTTTCCTTGAATGTTCGAGATGGCAGCGCCTTGGACATGCTCGGTACTGATGATACTTGCAAAACGAAATTAAGCTAACATTTAACACTGGTCACTGACGCTAATATTTTAATGAGAGAATGATCTTCATAGGTGTAACTATTGTGAATGGTCTGACTGAAAAAATGATCCTAATGTATCTATTGACCTAACAAAAATGATAACAAAAACCTACTTCTTCATTACTAGCAATGCATATGATCGGATGTCTTAAGGCCATAACAATGTAACCAGAATCCAGGCGTGTTACTGACCCTGCTCGTTGAGTAACTCGGCACCAGTTTATAACTGCATAATCCGGCTCCGGTGGCTCTGCGGCGCGCCCCTCCCCGTGCTAAGCGCCCTGTTCCCGCAGCGCTCGGCTGCCGCGCCGACCGCGAGTGTCCCAGCACCAAGGCCTGCATCAACGGACGCTGCGAGGACCCGTGCAAGTGCGGCACCAACGCCATGTGCGATGTGATCGCCCACCGCGCCGTCTGCAAGTGCCCGTCCGGCTATCAGGGCAACCCAGAAATCAGCTGCCAGGGTGAGCACGCCAGTCTTTTGCTGGCAATGTGCGCTAAAGGACCTTGACAACTGGTGATGACGTGTAGATTTGCTTTCATCAGAGACCTGTTTGATTATGCTGGTGACATTACAGATGACACTTCACGTGTCCTTACTTGTCAGTAATAAATCTGCTGTCGATAAAACCAACTGACTTGTCATGCTTTACCTCCGCACAGTTCCGTACAAGCCGTGCGACCCTAGCCCGTGCGGACTGGGAGCCATCTGCGAGGTCGATCAGGGCAATCCCATCTGCTCCTGCCCCAGAGGACAGACTGGAAACCCCTTCGTCAAGTGCAGTAAGTAGCGTGGGCCAACAATAGCAAGACCACACTAACACTATGCAATGTACAACATACATCAACCATAATGCTGTAAAAATTGCATGTCACTGTTCCTTTATATGCCTGAATGATGGTCCCGATATTGGTTAACATTCACTGTTTCATCCAACAGTGCCCGACGGTAACGAGTGCGACGACTACGAGTGCGGCGCCAACACCGGCTGTCGCGAAGTCGACGACGAGCCCGTGTGCTTCTGTCTGCCGGGCTTCACTGGCAGCCCTCCGAGCACGAGTTGCACCCCGATCCGCAGTCCATGCGAGCCCTCGCCCTGCGGACCCAACACCAACTGCAACGTGGTGTACGGCTTCCATCGCTGCACCTGCAAGGAAGGTTTCTTCGGAGACCCGAACACGATTCGCGGCTGTTCGCCACCGCGTGACCCGTGCAACCCGAACCCTTGCGGGGGAGGGGCTCGCTGCGACGCCTCTCGTAACCCGACCTGCTACTGTCCCGATGGCACTGTGGGCGATCCTTACCAGCGCTGCGAGGCGCTGGTGGTCGCCGAGTGCGGTCCCGGAGACTGCGGAGCCAACGCTCGGTGCGACGTGGTCAACAACCGGCCACTCTGCTCGTGCCTTCCGGGCTACACGGGCGACCCGGTGACCGGGTGCCGTCCGCGCGACCCGTGCCAGCCGAACCCGTGCGGCCCGCGAGCCGTCTGCACCGCGCGGCCCGGCGGGGAGTACAGCTGCGCCTGCGAGCCAGGCCTGATCGGCAACCCGACCAGCCAGCTCGGCTGCCGGAGCGAGTGCGAAGTCAACCAGGACTGCTCCGCCACGCATATGTGCGTCGCACAGAAGTGCGTCGACGCGTGCGCTGGCGCTTGCGGCATCAATGCTGAGTGTAAGGTGGTGAACCACAGCCCGATCTGCACCTGCGCCCGTGGCTACACCGGCGACGCCGTCACTCTCTGCCAGGAGGTGGCCACAAGTAAGTGGGACACCTTAGTGTCATACCCCTCGGCCCTCACCCAGTGAAAACAGTTGTTGTGTGTTCCTGTGTACGATTGATTGTGTCATCCCAAACCTACTCTTCCCAACCACCTTGCCAACCCTCAAACCAACACCGATGTCGGGCCAAACACCACGGCTCTGGAGCCGACATCATTTCTGCAACGTGAACACCGAGCGTCGAGACGACTCCTCGACGGCCGGGAGAGCTGTGCTGTGCGGTGAGGCACATCACAACACCGTAGGCGGACCAGCGCACCAGGCGGAGATCGCAGGTAACGACAGTCAGTGGTTTGGCATGCGGACTGAGGTCGGGCGGCTCGGGAGGAGGAGCAGGAGACGATGATCAGAGAAGATGAGCCCCACTGCACCGGGCACCGGCACCCAGCGGCAGTGAGCATGGTCCGCCCACTCCCACTCCCTTCTCCCCCGACTGCTCCCCCTTGGGGCACCCTAGTGTGCCTGCCATGTCGGTAGCACTGTCAGGAGGGCTGCAGTCAGCGTAGGGGCAGGATCTTGCCTTTGTGTGTCGCTGACCTGTATTGTGGAATCTGCCGGGCGTGGGTCCGCGGCTTTACCGCGAGGCCCGCTCCAGCATGCCTGTGATGCGCATGGTTGTGCCGCCGCCATATCTTCGGCGAGTGGACTTCGTCACACGTGCACTGTTAGCTCTTCTGCTTTCTATTCGATGTCGTGTTTCCAGAGTGGTTTCTTCCAAGTGTCTGCGTGCTAGGGTGCGGTCTGGAACTGCGGCCCTTTGAAAGCTATCTTGCACATTTAGCAATGGGTTAAAAGCGAACCTTGCCACAACTATAAATCGGTTTGAGAGCCTCTTGCGGCTGGGTTGGCATCACAAGTTCTGGATCTGTCTCTGCCACGGCACCTCACTCCCCGCATCGGCCCAGACCGCACCCGGGCGCCTGCCTGCCCGTCTGTCTGTCCGTCGCCTGTATCAGTATGCCTGACGCCGGGTAGCGGCGCCGCATGGGCCGGCCGCACGGTCGCCGTACGCGCATGGGTCAGCATGGCGCGCATGTTTCAGTTCGGCCTCCGTCTGGCACGCCGGACCCGTGCGTGCCGAACCCGTGCGGCGACCAGACGGTGTGCACCTCGGTGAACGGTCGGCCACTCTGCACCTGCCTGCCGGGCCTGCTCGGCTCGCCGCAGACCGGCTGCCGCGAGGAGTGCCGCGTCAGCACCGACTGCGCCGAGGACCTCGCCTGCATCGGCAACAAGTGCCGAGACCCGTGCCAGGGCGCCTGCGGCGTAGCGGCTGTCTGCGACGTGGACGACCACCGCGCTGTCTGCGCCTGCCCGGCCGGCTACACCGGCAACCCGTACCAGCAGTGCTTCTTGAGACGTGAGTCAACGAAGGAGGGGCACGACTATACTCTTAGCTCCTTCCATTTTCAAGTGACAATATTTTGACATGCTTATCATGCATATTTTTTTAATGAAAAGTACGCTACAAAATCAAGGATGCTTAAAATAATGTCCAATATGTTGCTAAAGCCAAACGTACAACGAGCTCACCGTAAACAATGATTGGATTTCAGGAAATCAAGCAAAAGAGTAAAACACGCAAAAGGTGCGCTCCATTTTCAACCAAAGAAGCTAGTTGTCTGACAGCGCCCTTGTCTCTCACCCACAGCGGTGCCCGGCCCGACAGACCCGCCGGAGCCGCGTCCCCTGCCGGACTCGTGTCCGCTGGGCCAGTTCTACACGGAGCGGGACGGCTGCCGTCCCGAGTGTCTGGTCAGCTCCGAGTGCTCCTCCAACCTGGCCTGCATCCGCAACAGCTGCGGCAACCCATGCGTCGGCTCGTGCGGCGTCGGAGCCGACTGTGAGGTGGTCAACCACAACCCGATCTGCAGCTGCCCGCGCGGCTACACGGGCGACCCGTTCACCCAGTGTCGACCGTTCCCAGTCACCGAGCGACCGACCCAGCCGAGCAACCCGTGTTCGCCGAGCCCGTGCGGCCAGGGCGCCGACTGCCAGTACAACGGCCAGCGGCCCGTCTGCTCGTGCCCGCCCGGCTACCGCGGCAACCCGCTGGTGCTGTGCCAGCCCGAGTGCACCAACGACGCCGGCTGTCCGCTGCAGCAGGCCTGCATCGGCCAGAAGTGCCGCGACCCGTGCCCGGGCAGTTGCGGCGTCGGCGCCGAGTGTTTCGTGGTGAACCACGCGCCAATCTGCACGTGCCCGGTCGGCTACACTGGCGACCCGATGACGCAGTGCGCGCCGGAGCCAATCACCAGACCACCAGGTGAGGCAGGCTCCCATCCTTTTCTGATGGACGAATCTCTTGTGTGTGTTGCATAGCTAGCTCATTCAACTTTAGGATGTTGCCAGGGCTAATGGTGTTGGCATGCCGCTATGCGCAGGCAAACAACCCAACCACAATCTGACGCGCCCGCCTTTCTCGTTGCAGTCATCCCCGACCAGCAAGTGGAGCCTTGTGTGCCTTCGCCGTGCGGCCCGAACTCGCAGTGTCGCAGCGACGGTTTCCGCGCCGTCTGCTCGTGCGTGGCTGGCTTCCAGGGCAGCCCTCCGCTGACGCCATGCTACTCAGTCGGCTGCACCAGCAACTCGGAGTGTCCGCCGCAGCAGGCGTGCATCAACCGCGACTGCCGCGACCCGTGCGCGGGCGCCTGCGGAGTGGGCGCCGACTGCCAGGTGGTTAGCCACCGGCCCGTCTGCTCCTGTCCGGAGGGGTACAGCGGAGACCCAACAACCATCTGCAAACTGCGCCGTAAGTATCGCCATCGGGGGCGTTCCAGTCAGAGAAAATCAAAAGCCATGAGAAAACTATTGATCATTCTTCCATTGCCTGTACTTGTTTGTGAGAATCGCTGAAACAGTAACTTTTTGTATAAATACTGTCTCAATATTGTTTGATGCTCAAATTTATTCAAGCTTTCCACCTCCCAATGCTTAAAAGTTAATTTAAAGTCATTACCAGTTATCCATGTCGGCACTCAGCTGACCAGACTCTCCGTCTCCGACAGCGGTGACGCCTGCGCCTCCGCTGACGCCTGTCAACCCCTGCCAACCGTCGCCGTGCGGCCTGAACGCCGAGTGCAAGGTCTCCAACGGCTACCCGATCTGCTCCTGCATCACAAACTACTTCGGCAACCCGCTGGTGAGCTGCCGTCCCGAGTGCGTCGTCTCGTCCGAGTGTCCGTCGAACCGGGTCTGTTCTGACAAGCTGACCTGCGTCGACCCGTGCCCGGGCCTGTGCGGCGTGGACGCCGTGTGCAACACCATCAACCACCAGCCGCTGTGCCGGTGTCCGGACGGCAGCACGGGCGACCCGTACTCGTACTGTCGCCCGGTGCCGGTCACGCCGGCCGTGCCCGTCTACCCGTGCCAGCCGTCGCCCTGCGGACCGTTCTCCGAGTGCAGGGAGGTCGGCTCGCGGGCCGTCTGCTCGTGCAGGCCTGGCTTCTTCGGATCCCCACCCAACTGCAAGCCCGAGTGCGTCATCAACTCCGAGTGTCTCACGCACCAGGCCTGTCTTGGCCAGCGCTGCGGCGATCCGTGCCAGGGCGTGTGCGGTGTCGGCGCCAACTGTGAGGTGGTCAACCACAACCCGATCTGCAGCTGCCCGAGCACACACACGGGTGACCCGTTCGTGCAGTGCCGACCGTTCCCGGTCACCGAGCGGCCCAAGCCGCGCGACCCGTGCTCGCCGAACCCGTGCGGCGCCAACGCCGACTGCCAGAACGGCGTCTGCACCTGCCGCGACGACTACTTCGGCAACCCGTACGTTCAGTGCAAGCCCGAGTGCGTCATCAACTCAGAGTGCCCGCGCGACAAGGCCTGCTTCCGCAACAAGTGCCGAGACCCGTGTGTGGGCGTGTGCGGCCCCAACGCTCAGTGCAACGTGGTCAACCACGTGCCCAACTGCTACTGCCCGGCGGACTACCAGGGAGATGCCTTCGTGTCCTGCGAGCTGAAACCAGTTACAAGTGAGTCCACATGATGCCTCTGGTTTGGTGGTTGAGCACTTAATGCAATTATCTATTTAAAAAAAACTCGACACCTTGAGCACGTTTTGAATATAGACTATAGTAATTTTATCACAAAGCATGGAGCTGTTTATTACAAAGCTGTTGTTTTGACCTCGCATTCCGCCGTTGCAGCGCCGTATACCCCGGACAAGGAGCCACCGGTCGCTGTCATCAACCCGTGCTACCCGAACCCGTGCGGTCGGAACACGGAGTGCAGGGAGGCCGGCGAGCGGGCCGTCTGCTCCTGCCTGCCCGGATACCAGGTCAGTGGCGAAAACGCCGACTAATATAAACCCAAAGCTTGTGGTTGACAGGGAGTACTGAGAAACGTGGAAGCTAGATGGCTCTTTCATTGACTTGTACCAGAATCTTTTTCTTTTTTCATAGCTAGCGCATGTAGGTATATTATTAATCGGGTTTTGTAACTGGCACTAGCTATAGTTGCTCTCTTGAGTCGTTGTGCATTTCTGAGAAAAACAATAGTGAACAATAAATAACGAGTGCGTTTCCGCTGGCGCAGGGTGACCCGAGTCTCGGCTGCCGGCGCGAGTGCGAGACGTCGTACGAGTGCGCGCCTCAGCTGGCCTGCATCCGTTTCAAGTGTATTGACCCCTGCCCGGGCACGTGCGGAATTAACGCCAATTGCCGTGTGCAAAACCACGTGCCGGAATGCTACTGCGTCGATGGCTACGAGGGCAATCCCTACATGGCCTGTCAACTACAGCCGGGTAAGTCAGTGCAACAGTTAAGTTACCATCATTTATGTTCGGTGATAAAGTTTGTATTGAAGCCTTAAAATGGTTATTATCGTTCACTGCTTTATTTACTTATCAGCATTTTATAGTTTCTTAGGCCATGCCGGGCTCAATTGCCTAACCTTGGGTTGTGCAGGATCGACGGTTTGTCTCCGTTTGCCCATAATGACGCGGATCCCGTATGGTGTGCACAGTGACACCTGCCGAGCCGGTCGACCCGTGCCGACCAAGTCCGTGCGGCGCCAACGCCCAGTGCAACGTGGTCGGCGACCGGGCCGCCTGCTCGTGCCTGCCTGGCTTCATCGACCGGCCTCCCAACTGCCGTCCCGAGTGTGTGGTCCACCAGGACTGCCGCGCCGACCAGGCCTGTATCGGTCAGAAGTGCCGCGACCCGTGCCCGGGCAGCTGCGGCGTCGGCGCCGACTGTCTGGTGCGCAACCACAACCCGATCTGCAGCTGCCCCAGCGGCTACACGGGCGACCCGTTCACGCAGTGCACGCCGCGGCCCCAGAGTGAGTACCGCACCGCCGTCAATGGCGGGGTAGATAATAGACCCGTCGCCAACCACCAGTCACACAGCAGGAATTGCGATCATTTATATTTGAAGTAATGCCTTGGATTATTGACATAAACCCTTTGCAGACTTCGCTGCCTGATCAGTGAACAGAAAGTAAATTCTAAGAGGATTTTCTGGAAAAGCTAATGACAGCTCCCATTGCCTTCAAGCAGGGAGAACGTGGTGATATGGTGGTTGGTTACGTGGTTCTAAGGTGAAGGGACGCTCGCAGCGCTTGCCCTACTGGCAGCGTAAAGTGATCACTGAGTCATAGCGATAGTTTCTGCTCAACGTGGTACAAAGTCATGGTTATACTAGCACTGGTCTTGTTCACTCGAGGAAGTTTGCACAGTTCTGATACTGGCGACCAGATCCGTGAAAAGGGCATGGGCGATCTCTCGCGTATGTATGTATGTAGCAACCATCATGTTAGAGATAGTTTCGGCGTACTTACCAGAAGGCAGGGTGCCGAAAGAGTCGGCTCCAATCCAAATTAAGACGGAATTTGTCTTAGTCGAATGCCTCCGGCTTGGCATCTAGCGCACCTGTAACAAATGTAAGGCGAGTCGGTATCAGGTCGTGTGAGACTGGAAGGACGTTCTTAGATAGAATCGGTAATGCTGGTGCCTCGACCTCCGCAAAGTCGCGAAGTTAGGTCCTTCAGCAGCCCTGGTTTGTCGTACCCGTTGCAGCGCTGCCGCCACCGCCTCAGGCAGTCTGCTACCCGGGCGTGTGCGCCTACAACGCACGCTGCACGGAAAGGGACGGCATTGCTATTTGCAAATGTCTGACTGGCTACTTCGGCAATCCATACGTGCAATGCAAGCCCGAATGTGTTTCGCACGCTGAATGCCCGCGCAACAAGGGCTGCGAGAACCAGAAGTGCATCGATCCGTGCGAGGGCATCTGCGCTCCGTCGGCACTGTGCCGCGTCCACGACCACGTGGCCATGTGCTACTGCCCGGAAGGCTACCAGGGCGATCCCTTCACCGCCTGCACGCCAAGACCTATTACCCGTGAGCATGACCTTCGGCCTGCTGGGCCTGAGTTCGCATTTCAGTATGCTTCTATGAACTGTCTTTCTGCCTTGTCAATACTATCGGTCTCGAATATGTTTCCATATCTGTAATCTCTTGAAAATGTAAGAATATCTCAATCTTTCAATTCATCAAGGTGAAGAGTGGTAAAGGTATGCATGCTGCACTCTCACCGTAGAACGGTCTTTGCATCAAAAGCACTGGTAATGCACCGCTCTGTGTACTTTTGCATGCCCAATGTCCATGCCGTGTTTTCAGCTCGTCCGACGGCTCCAGTTGAGGTAGAGCGCGATCCGTGCGAGCCCACGCCGTGCGGTCCGAACACGAAGTGCACCAGCAACAATGGGGTGGGAGTCTGCAGCTGCCTGCCCAACTACCAGGGCAACCCCATCGTCGGCTGTCGTCCCGAGTGTACCTCCAACGACGACTGCCCGCTGGACAAGGCGTGTGGTCTGCAGAAGTGCATCGACCCGTGCCCTGGAGTGTGCGGACCCAACGCAGAGTGCAAGATCATGAACCACAACCCGATCTGCTACTGCGTCTCAGGCTACACCGGCAACCCCAACCAAGGATGTCGTCCCATCCCTAGTACGTATGGGTTGCGATGAGCAATTAATTGGCACACTTGTATGAACAGGCTCACGGTAAAAGTGCATGGTTCCGTAGATATTTTTAATGCGCCGTACAACACATAAGTTACCAGGATAGATATGAAAAAATAAGCATACATTTATATCAATTCAAACGTAACTACCGCCTAGACTCAAATAACATTGTGCAAAAGCTGCTCCACGATTTTTTTGGAAAGCAAAATAGTTAAAAACAGAATTTTTCTAATAACTTTTCTCCACTTCACGTCACCCATAGAGACCACACCGAAGCCTGCCATCGATGTGAACCCGTGCCTTCCGAGCCCGTGCGGCCCCAACTCGCAGTGTCGCGAGCTGCACGGACAGGCCGTGTGCTCCTGCGTCGAGGGCTACTTCGGCTCGCCGCCCAACTGTCGGCCCGAGTGTCTGGTGGCGTCGGACTGCGCCAACTACCTCACCTGCATCGACCAGCGCTGCACGGATCCGTGCAAGGGCTCGTGTGGCCTCAACACCAAGTGTCAGGTGTACAACCACAACGCGGTGTGCACCTGCGTCGCCGGCTACGAGGGAGACCCGTTCACCGGCTGCGTCCTCAGGCCAAGTACGAACATCAATATTATCCCACGCTTTACATGTAAAACATATCATTTGATATTATTACTTTTTGATATGATTACTTAGCATCAACACCACCCTGACAATATCGTTCACTTTTAGCGCTGCCGCCACCGCCACGAAACCCATGCTACCCATCTCCGTGCGGAGCCAACGCCGAATGCACCAGTGACGACGACGACCGCGCCGACTGCAAGTGCCTGCCGGAGTACTTCGGAAACCCATGGGTCTCTTGCAAGCCGGAGTGTGTGGTAGACACAGACTGCTCCCGTGACAAGAACTGCTACCGCAACAAGTGCAACAACCCGTGCCCGGCCCCTTGCGGTCAGGGTGCCGAATGCCGAGTGGTCAACCACGTCACATCATGCACGTGTCCCGAGGGATACATGGGGGATCCGTTCGACATGTGCAAGCCGAAGCCCATTACGCGTAAGGATGCCTTATCTTTCTGTAACATTCTATGCACCGCATGTTGCTTGACAAATGCATGCTGATATGTTACATCACTTTTCTTTCAGTTTTCATAGCCAGTGGTCTTACCTTACGAACCCCGCCCCACAGAGGCACCGACTGAAACGCCCCAAATCGACATCAGCCCGTGCCAGCCGTCACCCTGTGGCGACAACGCCCAGTGCGCAGACCGCCAGGGTGTGCCCGTGTGCACCTGTCTGCCGGGCTACTTCGGAAACGCGCTGTACAGCTGTCGGCCGGAGTGTGTTACGCACACCGACTGCGCGCTCAACAAGGCCTGCAGCAACCAGAAGTGCATCGACCCATGCCCGGGCTCGTGCGGTGCCAATGCCGAATGTCGTGTGGTTAACCACGCGCCAGAGTGCTCGTGCCTGCTCGGCTACACTGGAGACCCCTACGTGCGCTGTTCGCCACAGCCCGGTATGCACGCAACCTGTCTTATCTTGTGTATCTTCTTATTCTTTCAATCTATAGAAACTGAAATTGAATGATTAGAAAAGTGCACTGAACAGTGAACAACCTGTTCACTTGACCATTCATCTTCTTCCGTTGTACTATGCACCTTCTTTATCATTCTTTCGATGTCTGTTTTGCATGACGATGAATGACAGCATTGCGGCATGACCCTCATTGCATGTGCACTGTGACCCTGTGTTTTAGTTACGGAGGCTGTAACCAGTCCGTGCACACCGAGCCCGTGCGGACCGAACGCCCAGTGCCGGGAGCATAACGGTGGCGCTGCCTGCACGTGCCTTGAGGGCTACCAGGGCAGCCCGCCCAACTGCCGGCCCGAGTGCGTCGTCAGCGCAGACTGCGCCAGCCACCTGGCCTGCGTCGGAAACAAGTGCCGAGACCCGTGCGACGACCAGTGCGGCGTCAACGCAGAGTGTCGCGTTAGGAGTCACGTTCCAATTTGCTCGTGCCTCTCTGGATTCCAGGGTGATCCCTTCCAGGGCTGCACAGCTATTCCAATCAGTGAGTCTTCGCATCTGGTCGACGGTTTTGGAACATCGACATAGTTTTCGCGACTTCGAGGGTATTTCAGGGCTGCGTTATGTCCACCTAATTCATATTCATCATTTCCTTTATAGGGAAGCATAAGAAAGGTTATCGTGTTGTGAGGACCAAATAGGTGTGATATATGTATGTCCAACATATTGTCTAAGTCGTCTATATACTCACCGGTATTCTGCTCACCAAGAGGTAGGTGAAACTGACGCTAATGCGTCGCGTCTCTTTTTAGCAACTCCGGCGCCTGAAAAGGCCATCTGCTACCCTGGAGTGTGTGGCTCGAACGCCAGGTGTCGCGAGCACAACGGCATCGCCGTCTGCTCGTGTCTCTCCAACTTCTTCGGAAATCCATACACGGGCTGTCGGCCTGAGTGCGTCTCAAACGCCGAGTGTCCGCGCAACAAGGGCTGTGAGAACCAGAAGTGCATTGACCCGTGCGAGGGCATCTGCGCTCCGTCGGCACTGTGCCGCGTCCACAGCCACGTGGCCATGTGCTACTGCCCGGAAGGCTACCAGGGTGACCCCTTCACCGCCTGCACGCCGCAACCCATCACGCGTAAGCTCTTTTCCACCCCGCCCGAAGCCTATCTGAACTATTACCTTTTTTATTTCAAGCACGTCTTGGTCCTGAATTCATTGTTGATTATTCAGTTACTTTCTGCTGGCGAGACGTATGATTACCATTCCATCAAATTGCTTGCATGTACTCTTGTCTTCAACACGTCCTTGTGTGTTGCACCGATGCACTTAAGATATTTATCAGTCACGCCCTCCAAGCAATCTTAAAACTGTCTTTCTGTCGCTTCTATCTCTGCCTAGTGCCTGTCTACGGTAGACTGATGTTGGGATTATGCGGGTGCCTGTTGCAGCGCGACCCACAGCTCCGGCGGTATTCGTACCCGAGCGTGAGCCCTGCGAACCTTCGCCGTGCGGCCCCAACACTCAGTGCCGTGACAACGCCGGAGTGCCAGTGTGCAGCTGCCTGCCCGGATACAAGGGCAATGCCATCGTCGGCTGTCGGCCCGAGTGTACTTCCAACGACGACTGCCCGCTGGACAAGGCGTGTGCGCTGCAGAAGTGCATCGACCCGTGCCCTGGAGTGTGCGGACCCAACGCAGAGTGCAAGATCATGAACCACAACCCTGTCTGCCACTGCGTCCCAGGCTACACCGGCAACCCCAACCAAGGATGTCGACTTATCCCACGTACGTTATCGCTTAGCGCGATGGAAGCGCGCCAGCTTTTTACATTGTTTCAAATCAAATGTAACGACCAAAAGCCCATATAATGATACAAACTAGGTTCTGTTTCAGTTAACCTCATATTAAATAAAATAGAAAAATAGAAAAATATAAAGACAAGCTTTACACCCTTCCTGTTTTCCCCTCCAGAGACCACACCGAAACCTGCCATCGAGGTAGACCCGTGTCTGCCGAACCCCTGCGGACCGTACTCGCAGTGCCAAAAACACAACGGCCAGGCGGTGTGCTCGTGCGAGAGTGGCTACTTCGGGGTGCCACCCAACTGCAGACCAGAGTGTCTGGTGCCCTCTGACTGCGCCAAGACGCTGACCTGCATGGACCAGCACTGCGTGGACCCCTGCGAAGGCTCATGCGGCGTCAACACCCACTGCAAAGTGCGGAATCACAGCCCAGTCTGCAGCTGTCGCACCGGATATGAGGGCGATCCGTTCACCGGATGTGCCATCAGGCGCAGTACGTCCACATTTTATTTTTGATAATTCATTTTCACTGTTCTTTTCGATGACGGCGCTAACTTTACATTTAAAGTGACGCCGTCTTTCTCTGGCATACATTTTTCAATTGTCGATATGTCTGATTACAATCTCTCAATGATGCATAATTCCTAAATTAAAAATAGCAAGTAGGGATGACATTCTGAGCGAACCTCCCACCCGCAGCCACTCCGCCCCCTCCGTCGGACCCGTGCTTCCCGACGCCGTGCGGCGCCAACACCCAGTGTCGCAACAACAACGGCCTGCCGGTCTGCACCTGCCTGACCAACTACTTCGGCAATCCGTACGAGGGCTGCAAGCCCGAGTGTGTGCTCGATGGCGACTGCCCGCTCGACAAGAACTGCGCGCGCATGAAGTGCGTTAACCCATGTCCGGGCCCGTGCGGCAGCGGCGCCGACTGCTCGGTGGTCAACCACATCACCATGTGCTCCTGCCCAGAAGGATACACCGGAGACCCATTCTCGCTCTGCCGACCAGTGCCCGTAACCAGTAAGCAAACAAGCTGTCCCTACTTCATAAAAATTTCATCAATAATCGTTTAAAGTTGTAATTGTTGATTGATAGTTGTGACGGACGGAACACTGTTGACGGAAACGCTGTATCAAGGGAAAAGTTATGTCGCTCTGAAAGTGTTTACCTATGTTATTCTTACCATTAGCGTAACGTTTGAAAAAAGAACTAAGTGTACTTTCACAATGATATAAAACTTTTGGCGAATGCAAGCGCCACCATAATGCTAAAACTCGTCATTTCCTTAGGACCAACGCCCCAAGAAGAGAGGCCGAGAAATCCGTGCATCCCGTCGCCCTGCGGATCGAACGCCCAGTGCTCGGAGCGCCAGGGGGCGGCCGTGTGCTCGTGCCTGCCCGGCTATCACGGAGATGCCACCCAGGGCTGCCGGCCCGAATGTGTCACCGACTCCGAGTGCAGTCTCAGCAAGGCCTGCGCGCGCCAGAAGTGCGTCGACCCGTGCGAAGGCGTGTGCAGTATCAACGCTGACTGTCGCGTCGTCAACCACAAGCCTGTCTGCACATGTCAGACCAGATACGAGGGCAACCCCTACTTCGCTCGCTGTGTCATCAAGCCACGTAAGATGAACACGCGAAACGGGCTTAATTGAAGTTGCCATGGACATGTTTTACAGTTTGCCGTTTCATGACCATGTAAAGACCTGGAATCACTTCTCAGTCACTTTCAGCTTTTTTTTTGCGGTCTCTTTTAGGTTTTTATGCATGTTGTATGCACCTGTGTACTGTTCCCACACGCTTTTTGCTTCGGAATCCCGCATGCTATGCACACCCTTCCAGAAACGGAGCTGGTCGTCACAGATCCCTGCCAGCCGAACCCATGCGGCCCGTATTCCACCTGCAAAGACATCAACGGTCGGCCGACCTGCTCGTGTCTGCCCGAGTACCTGGGCAGCCCGCCCAACTGCCGGCCAGAGTGTGTGGTCAGCTCCGACTGCGCCAGCTACCTGGCCTGCGTGGGCGAGAAGTGTGTCGACCCGTGCCCGGGACACTGCGGCGCCAACGCCGACTGCCGTGTCTCCAGTCACACGCCTGTGTGCACATGTCGCGCCGGCTACACGGGCGATCCATTCGTCGAATGCCGTCTTAGGCCACAGAGTAAGGCGATAACGAGGGCCACTTGAACATCTCCAGCTATTTTACTTGTGGCAAGGCGTCCTTAGATGGTTGCAGGGCCGCTTCAGCGAGTTGTTGAGGCACTATGGGAAACATCTGACATTGAACCTAGTCGTACTATCATGTCATCGAATTTTAGAGACTCGTTAAATAGTGGAGCATTAGCCACGAATGAACATTTTTACTACGTTTTTACGCCTAGCTGGGCTATTTTGCTAACGCTGATGATCCCTTTCACAGCGACCCTGCCGCCGGCCACCCCGCAGAACCCTTGTTATGAGGGTCGCTGCGGTGCCAACGCTGACTGCCGCGAGCACAACGGCCTCGGGGTGTGCAGCTGCCGCACCAACTACTTCGGCAATCCGTACGAAGGCTGCAAGCCCGAGTGTACCACCAACTCCGACTGCGACCGCTCCAAGGCGTGCGAGGCCATGAAGTGCAGGGACCCGTGTCCGGGCGTCTGCGGCTTCCGGGCCGAGTGCCGTGTCGTGGACCATGTCGCCATGTGCTACTGCCCCGCCTACCTCACCGGAGATCCCTTCGTCGCGTGCAACGAACCGCCTCGTACCCCTGCACGTAAGTCATACAGACCAGTTGAGAAGCTTACAGTTACATCGAATATTCATTGACGACGAATTCCAATAAGCATTTTAATTTCTCATTACTATACCTTTGTAAATAAAAAGCATAATATATGTATTGATTTTCTGTCAACATTTATATTCTGACAATAAATAGAAATGATAATAAATATCCCTTTTCGCCCCTGCGCAGCGGCGCGGCCGACTCAACCGGTGGTGGTCCAGCCCTGCTCGCCGTCTCCGTGCGGCATCAACGCCCAGTGCACGGAGCGCGGCACGGTGGCCGTCTGCTCCTGCCTGGAGCCGTATGGTGGAGACCCATACGTCGAGTGCAAGCCCGAATGCACCAGCAACGCCGAGTGCCCGCAGAAAGAGGCCTGCGCCCGCTACAAGTGCATCGACCCCTGTCCAGGCGTGTGCGGCCAGAACGCAGAGTGCCGCATCATCAACCACAACCCGATCTGTCACTGTCTGCCGGGCTACAGCGGCGACCCGTGGGCCGGCTGCCGCGCCGTGCCCGTCACTCCGGCCACGCCCGAGGACCCGTGCCGGCCGTCACCGTGCGGACCGAACGCCGAGTGCCGGGACGCCGGCGGCCGACCCATCTGCTCGTGCCGCCCGTCCTACATCGGCACGCCGCCCAACTGCCGGCCCGAGTGTGTCGTCAGCTCCGACTGCTCCAGCCTGCACGCCTGCATCGGCCAAAAGTGCCGCGACGCCTGCCTGGACGTGTGCGGCCTCAACACCATCTGCCGTGTGGTCAACCACAACCCGGTGTGCAGTTGCAAGCCCGGCTACTCGGGAGATCCGTTCAGCGGCTGCATCTTGAAGGCCACCCCAGGTGAGAAGACATAGAATGGCCAAATTATTATGTTGCGATATTATAACCGATTATTCATTTGCAAAGATATGGCCATCAAAGGATGCCTGATCATTAAGCCGAAAACGCGCCGGCGATCCTCCTTCTTCGTTTGGAAATCTATAAGATTCTAGTAAGAGCATACCCATAATACTATGTGCATTTCAAAATGAGGGCAGCAAACACGACGGAAATGCCACAAACATGTCATCGTTTAAAAAAAAATAATGCCTTTATCATCACGGGCCTGTTCTTGATTCGCAGCCGCTCCGACGGCGCCGGTGGTGGTCGACCCGTGCAGCGCGTCCCCGTGCGGCGCCAACGCCGAGTGCAGGGAGAAGGACGGCCTAGCCATCTGCGTCTGCATCCCCGAGTACTTCGGCAACCCGTACATCTCCTGCCAGCCCGAGTGTGTGCTAGACAACGACTGCTCCCGCGACAAGAACTGCGTGCGCCTGAAGTGCTTGAACCCATGCCCGGGCCCGTGCGGCAGCGGCGCCCACTGCTCGGTGGTCAACCACATCACCATGTGCTCCTGCCCGGAGGGATACACCGGAGACCCATTCTCGCTCTGCCGACCCATCCCAGTCACAAGTAAGCTACGCTACTATCGTTATTGGGAAAGACGTATAATATTAAATTTGCCTTTCGACACACCTTTATATGGCTTTTGATTTGTCGTTCAAGTGACAGCCAGCGCTAATCACCGGTCTCTCCATTCCACAGCGCCACCGCGTCAGCCCGTCCCCACCAACCCGTGCGCACCATCGCCGTGCGGCGCCAACGCCCAGTGCAAAGACAACGGCCTGGTGGCCGTGTGCTCGTGCCTGGCCGGATACCAGGGCGACCCCGTGTCCGGCTGCCGGCCCGAGTGTGTCACGCACGCAGAGTGCCCCTCCAGCAAGGCGTGCGTCGCTCAGAAGTGCGTCGACCCGTGCCCGGGCCTGTGCGGAGCCAACGCGCGCTGTCGTGTGCAGAACCACAACCCGCTGTGTGACTGCCTGGACGGCTACTCCGGCAACCCGTACGAGTCGTGCAGGCTCGCGCCTGGTGAGTGGGTGGAGCGGGACCAAATGGAACAGCACATGCGGTTTAATGAATTGCCGGCTTTTGATGGCGCAAACCAATTTGTCACTTAAGTGAATGGCATCAGTGAAATCATTCTCACCTCCCTAATTCATAGGCAACTATTCCATGCATACTTGTCAACGATCAATACTAGCTACAGCGCGCTTTTCTCTCACCTTAAAACCTCAAAGATTTAGGTAAATCCAGGTCATAACAACTTTTCCAATGAATTCCCGTGAAAAAAGCAGCGGTGTGGGCCACAGGCGCTGACGATGGCTCCTTGCCGTTACAGTGACCCCTGCGGAGCCTTCGGACCCGTGCCAGCCGAACCCGTGCGGTGCCAACTCGCAGTGCCGCAACCAGGGCGGCAGCGCGTCGTGCGCGTGCCTGCCCGGCTTCCTGGGAGCGCCGCCCAACTGCCGACCAGAGTGCCTGCTCAGCACCGACTGCGCGTCCCACCTGGCCTGCGTCGGCACCAAGTGCGTCGACCCGTGCCCGGGCCGGTGCGGCGCCAACGCCCAGTGCCGCGTGGTCAACCACCAGGCGCAGTGCTCCTGTCTGGAGGGCTACCACGGCGACCCGTTCTCCGGCTGCCGTCCGCGTCCGCTGAGTGAGTACAGCCCCCACTTGTCTGCCTGCCGGTGGCGCGTGGCCGCCCCGTGGCGGCCGCCCGCCGACTATTCGTCCAGTCAATCCCAGCTGTGCTATGAGCATGTCCAGTCAGCCAAATGATTCCAATGTGAGTCATTGGGCTTTTGACGTCAAATTGCTTTCAGTGTTGTGTGAATCGTAAGGGCATGACTGGCGAATAGTCAAAATTTGTATTAAGCATGGCATTTGTTGCCTGCACGCATGCTGTATGAACACATGATACGTCATGCTTGCATGTCAGCACTATTTGCATGAAGTGTTCTTGAATATCGATGTTATCGTATACAGGTAATAGGTATCGATGATTTTAATGGTCTTTCAGCGGCACGGTAAGTAAGAGTTCGAGGATTTCAAGACAAGCCAACAATGCTGATTGCAGTCTTTTGTCTTTCAACAATGCAGTTTCCTATGCTATAGCCAAACTATTTAACTAGTCTAGTTGCTTAATTTCTAATGTTGTACTCGTGCCTTCTTTATTTTTAAAAGCTTATTTGTGCTCTATTGTACCAATTTCGTGTTCGTTATTGTTTTGCAATCATTTTACATGTTATGATATTGGTCAACCACTTAGGTAGGCATCTAATTTCATTCTCGTGTAAGTGTATTTGTTATCTGCTCCGGCATTATAAAATACTCGATAGTGATTCGATTGCAGACATTGAATCGAAGCAATAACGAGACAAACTAGCAATCGTTGTCACATATAGCACTATTAAAACTAGAGGACCGACGGTTGGTAGACATATTGGTAATAATTACTGCCGAGAGGAGATTTTCCCAACTTTGGTCCCTACATGGTTGATATAGAAATGAATCGCAATTCAGAAGATTCCTATTGTAAATATGGAAACATAATTCGATAAAGCTTGTTTACCTAAACGCTAAATGCTTTGAGGCTAGTCATTCCTAGATGCTTTAAAAATTATTTCAACGATAGCATACCATTATTTATTTGTATTTACAGGATATGGGATATTTAATCATTAGAGGAGAGGGGCAAAGCGTACTTAAAATCCTCATCCGAAAAGAAATATAAAAAACAAGGTGCAAATGCATGATAATACCAAAGTTAAGCGAACGGTCCTGCGGCCTCTTGCACAACGATTATGTTATAGTGCATCTCACCCCTTACACCACCGCGATTGCGACATAACAACAAATATTCACTTGGTGGTAATATGTGATTAAAAGGGAAGAATTTTATTCCACCTCAGTAGGCAACAATGACATTAACAAAAACATAACTATAGTAGAAAGGAAAAGGCTGAGTCGGTTACCTTAGAGTCATACAAACAAAGCCCGTTTGACGAGTCTATCCGACTGCGTCTATCGAACTGGTCTACACCACTGCGCAATGATGCTCACGCAATGGTGGTCTTCTCCAGCAACTGCTCGTCCTCTGATCGAGGACGACAGAGACCCGTGCAGCCCCACTCCGTGCGGCCCCAACGCCCGGTGCCGGGAGCACAACGGTCTGGGCGTGTGCAGCTGCGTACCCGAGTACTTCGGCAACCCGTACGAAGGCTGTCGTCCCGAGTGCATGATCAATGATGACTGCGACCGCTCCAAGGCCTGCGAGCGCAACAAATGCGTGGACCCGTGCCCCGGCGTCTGCGGCTTCCGTGCCGAGTGCCGGGTGCACAACCACGTGCCGATGTGCTACTGCCCGGATGGGTACAATGGCGACCCGTTCACTGCATGCACGCCGATACCAGTCACACGTAAGCCATAATTCATCCTACCCATCTGAAATCGAACCGGTCGTCACGCGCATGTTTGAATGCATGCTGTACATTGTGTGCTATATGCATGTACCGTGAATGATTCCTTTGCACGTTGAATGTCGCCCTACTGCATGTCACCCTGCACCGTGCTCCCGCTCCCTTGAATGTATTGCATGTATACCCATCCAGCATGCCAAAGCAGAACATTTTATGTTCTCAGCCGCACAACCGACTCAGCCAGTGGTAGTCGACCCATGCTACCCATCGCCTTGCGGTTCCAATGCCGAGTGCATCTCCAAGGACCGCGATGACGACGACTTCGCTGTTGCCATCTGCAAGTGTCTTCCGGGCTTCCCTAAGGGCGACCCGTATACTGGCTGTCGGCCAGAATGTGTCACCAACGCCGACTGTGCTCAAACTCGGGCATGCGGGTCTCAGCAGAAGTGCATTGACCCCTGCCCTGGACTTTGTGGACACAATGCCGCGTGCAGAGTCATCAACCACAATCCACTCTGTTCCTGCAATGAAGGCTATACCGGATCACCGTATCAAGGATGCAGGCAAATACCACGTAAGAAATTATACCAGAATGTCTTGCATCAATTTTTTCTTCTTCAGAAAATACCCTATTTATTCAAAAGTATAGGTATGCGTTTTTTTTGCGAATTTCATTCTACATCATTTGATCATTTTTAATTTTGTATAACTTTGTAGTCTCTAAGTTTTCCGGTCTTGTTTACAGCGAAAGCGCCAAGACAAACGTGCTTCCCAAACCCGTGCGGACCAAACTCTCAGTGTCGCGAGCTCAACGGCCGACCTACCTGTTCGTGCTTGCCTGGCTACTTGTCCAGCCCGCCCAACTGCCGACCGGAGTGCACCATCCACTCCGACTGTCCCAGTCACCAGGCGTGCGTCGGAGAGAAGTGTGTCGACCCGTGTCCGGGATCCTGCGGGCAGAACGCCGACTGTCGGGTCTTCAATCATAATCCAGTCTGCACGTGCCGCCCTGGTTACAGGGGTGACGCATATGCCTTGTGCACTCCGATACCTCGTAAGTTCATACTCACTAATCATTTAGACATTGTTCATTGAACCGTAGTGCGAATTCTGCTTTTATGAGCTTCCGATTTGTGTGTTCGTATTTTCGGATCGTTTTCTTGAGAGATGTTGATAATTGTCCGATTATATTGGCAAAGGTTTCAGACATAACATGTATACAAAATTAAATTCCTTAAGCTTTCGAAGACATCTACATCTTCATGATCACAAGGTTAAATTGTAAAAGCACAGAGCCTAAGTTTGCTATTAGAATGGAAGGGAGAAAAACTAAATACATATTGTGCGTGATAAATTGCTAAGGCCTCTTGCAGTTGTCACATTCAGTAAACACACTAACTAATATACCTACATCGTTCCACACTTGGATGCATGACACATGACACATTTTGGTAATATGACACCCTTCTATGCACAGATACATAGATACTCTAAACGTCATATAGCCCTCCTAAATCCGATATCACTAATACCCATCGCATTGTTCAGCTCCAAAGCGTGAGTGTCGTGCACCCCGACTTGTAGAGCTGCTTGTTGATGTGAGGCGAGTACTCACGGATGTACAGCGCCTCCAACACCCACAGTCTTCGCTGGTCATGGGTAGAGCACAGTATTTCGGTATTGTCCACCAAAATTTGTCGTGTGATGTCCTTGTCATGTTCTTTGTGCATGTGATTCTTCAGTGCGCCTTGTTGTTTATGCATTGTAAGTCGTCTGGACAGGGATGTGGTAGTCGCGCCAATGTATTTATCTTTGTTGAGAAGTCTACAACCTTCTTCGGGGCAACTGAATTGATAAATTACATTGGCTTGCTGTAAGTGTCTGCCCGCTCAAGAAGTTCAAGAAGAAGACACGAGACAAGGACAACAGACACTTACAGCAAGCCAATGTAATTTATCAATTCAGTTGCCCCGAAGAAGGTTGTAGACTTCTCAACAAAGATAAATACATTGGCGCGACTACCACATCCCTGTCCAGACGACTTACAATGCATAAACAACAAGGCGCACTGAAGAATCACATGCACAAAGAACATGACAAGGACATCACACGACAAATTTTGGTGGACAATACCGAAATACTGTGCTCTACCCATGACCAGCGAAGACTGTGGGTGTTGGAGGCGCTGTACATCCGTGAGTACTCGCCTCACATCAACAAGCAGCTCTACAAGTCGGGGTGCACGACACTCACGCTTTGGAGCTGAACAATGCGATGGGTATTAGTGATATCGGATTTAGGAGGGCTATATGACGTTTAGAGTATCTATGTATCTGTGCATAGAAGGGTGTCATATTACCAAAATGTGTCATGTGTCATGCATCCAAGTGTGGAACGATGTAGGTATATTAGTTAGTGTGTTTACTGAATGTGACAACTGCAAGAGGCCTTAGCAATTTATCACGCACAATATGTATTTAGTTTTTCTCCCTTCCATTCTAATAGCAAACTTAGGCTCTGTGCTTTTACAATTTAACCTTGTGATCATGAAGATGTAGATGTCTTCGAAAGCTTAAGGAATTTAATTTTGTATACATGTTATGTCTGAAACCTTTGCCAATATAATCGGACAATTATCAACATCTCTCAAGAAAACGATCCGAAAATACGAACACACAAATCGGAAGCTCATAAAAGCAGAATTCGCACTACGGTTCAATGAACAATGTCTAAATGAAGATACTCTGCCTATCTACACAAATATTAAGACTCACTAATCAGTAAATATTCCGCTTTTTGACATGCAATATACATTTGTTGAACCAATGAGTTAATGCAATTTTAATGGAAGTGTTCAAATACCCTAACAACAACCCTTGAAATATGATACATGATTATGAAAAAACGGAACAACATTGGTAACAAGTATAAACCCTGTGCTTTCAGAGACGCCGGTTCCTACAGCTCCGGTTGTGGCCGACCCTTGCTATCCGTCACCGTGTGGAGCTAACGCAGATTGCAGCGACAAGAATGGCGTTGCGGTATGCATTTGCCGGGATGAGTACTTCGGGAACCCTTACGTTGGATGCAAACCAGAGTGTGTTCTGGACTCTGACTGCCCGCGGGACAAGAACTGTGACAACAACAAGTGCAGGAACCCATGCCCAGGCCAGTGTGGCACAGGAGCAGAGTGTCACGTCGTCAACCACATCATTATGTGCAGTTGTCCTCAGGGCCACATCGGAGATCCATTCTCCTATTGCAGACTGGTGCCGCAAACACCACCGTCATTTGAGCCTCAGTACACGAACCCCTGCGTGCCATCGCCTTGCGGCGAGAACGCTCAGTGCCGAGAGGCCAACAACGCAGCTGTGTGCTCTTGTGTGGCTGGTTACCATGGCGACCCCACTATCGGATGTCGACCAGAGTGCGTCTCCAACGCCGAGTGCGCCCCGGCCCTGGCATGCATCAGTCAGAAATGCAAGAACCCGTGCGCTGGTCTCTGTGGAGTCAACGCACAATGCCGCGTCCTCAACCACAACCCCAGGTGCAACTGCCTGCCAGGATATGAAGGAGATCCTTACCGGAGCTGTGCAGTTGCAAGAAGTGAGTAGGGCCTGTAAACTGTATTATATAAAATGTTTACCTACATTTAATATCTCTCATTTCGATGAACATAACACTCATCTGTATCTGCGCATTTCCCATCACTAAATCTTTTCTTTCTCTTTTTAGCGGACCCTCCACGGCCCCAGAATCCATGCCAGCCGAGCCCGTGCGGCCCGAACTCAGAGTGCCGGGAGGTAAACGGCGGAGCCGCCTGCTCCTGCCTGCCGGGATACAAGGGTGCTCCGCCAGCCTGTCGGCCAGAATGTGTCCTGAACACGGACTGTGCCGACCACCTGGCCTGCATCGGACAAAAGTGCCTCAACCCCTGTAGTGGAGAGTGTGGTCAGAACGCGAAATGCAGCGTTCACAGACACAGCCCTTTGTGTCGCTGTCGTGCCGGTTTTACTGGAGATCCCTTCCGCGCCTGTCGCAGAATTCCACCCGGTAAGCATTTTGGGAACTGGTACATGTATTACAGCAAGTCCTTGTTGTTGTGCACCTGTTTTCGTGAAACGTTTTTTTTAATACGTATTGAATTGAGTATTGAATACGTTTCATGTGTAGTGAAAGTTAAAACTATACATAAAAGCACTTTATTTAAAGTAAAAATGGAAATGGATATGAACTGAAGACCACGAATCACTTCAAAGCACATCCTTCATCAATGCCTTCTTTCACAGCGACGCTCGCTCCGGTTGTGGAAGAAGCAAGAGATCCGTGCAACCCCACTCCTTGTGGTCCTAACGCGAAGTGCCGAGAACACAACGGTCTGGGCGTGTGCAGCTGTTTACCAGAACATTTCGGCAATCCGTATGAAGGCTGCAAGCCCGAATGTGTGGTTCACTCTGACTGTGACCGCTCCAAGGCCTGCGAACGCAACAAGTGCGTCGACCCGTGTCCGGGAGTCTGTGGCTTCCGTGCAGAATGTCGCGTACATAACCACATCGCCATGTGCTACTGCTTGGAAGGTTATCGAGGCGATCCGTTCAGCTCATGTAACCCAGTTCCCGTGACACGTAAGTAACCATTACTGCCGTCCATGTTTTTGGTTACATTTTGTGCAATAGCGACAATCGTGATGTTTATAATACCCGTTGTTCTCGTAATTCTTAAACATTTCGTTATATGATTCAAAACACTGTATCTAACAAAGGAATACCTGTCTCTTCCATTAGAACCACCTCGTGAGCCGACGCCGCAAACGGCAGATCCATGCTTCCCATCGCCCTGCGGGCCAAACGCTGAGTGCGTTCACAAAGCCGGTGACGACGACGATAGTCGCCCCGTCGCTGTCTGCAAGTGTCTTCCGGGCTTCCGTAAGGGCGACCCGTACACCGGCTGTCGGCCAGAATGTGTCACCAACGCCGACTGTGCTCAAACTCGGGCATGCGGGTCTCAGCAGAAGTGCATCGACCCCTGCCCCGGCCTGTGTGGACACAATGCCGTTTGTAGAATCATCAATCATAACCCGCTCTGCACCTGCAATGACGGCTATACTGGATCACCGTATCAAGGATGCAGACAAATACCACGTGAGTATGCATTGCGTAACTTTACATTTTCAATGAAACAATTTTCCCTTGTTTGCGATTGTTCCGCGTAGGAATTGCAATCCAAGATAAACATATTTCGCATGTACCTATTCGTAAGAAATGTTCGGTTATCGATGACCCCATGTTTCGCTTTCTTTCAGCGGAAGCTCCTAAGGTGACCTGCTTCCCTAATCCGTGTGGTCCAAACTCGAAATGTCGGGATCTGAACGGCCGCCCGGCCTGCTCGTGTCTACCGGGGTACCTGGGAGCGCCACCCAACTGCCGGCCAGAGTGCACGGTGAACTCAGACTGTCCCAGCCACATGGCCTGCGCCGGACAAAAGTGCTCGCCGGTTTGTGAAGACGTCTGTGGAGAGAATGCCGACTGTCGGGCCCATCGTCATGTCGCTACGTGTACATGCAGACCAGGATACACCGGAGATGCCTATTCATACTGTTCGCCGATTCCCCGTGAGTGATATTATTGCGAAATATTGAAACTCGATTGTGCATAAGTTGGTACTAAAACGATAAGACTGATAAAAACGCGTCCGGTTTTATTCATAAATAAAAAGTACCAGATGTTTAGAATATTCGTCGCTTAACATGATATCCATATTTTCATAATGGTAACAAAAAATTGTTTCTGATGGGTTTGGATTTACCTTTACAGAGACCGTACCTCCAACTGCCGCTGCTGAAACGGATCCATGCATTCCGTCTCCGTGTGGTCCCAACGCACAATGCCAGAACAAGAACGGGCTTGGCATCTGCGTGTGTGAGGACGATTACTTTGGAGATCCATACAACGGTTGTCAGCCCGAATGTGTAATCGACAGCGACTGTTCTCGCGACAAGAACTGCCAGCGGAACAAGTGTGTGGACCCTTGCACTGAACGATGCGGCATTCAAGCGGAGTGTCACGTGGCAAACCACATAGTCATGTGTACCTGTCCAGCGGGCTATACGGGAGACGCCTTCTCCTACTGCACCCCGATCCCGCAAACCGCTCCGCCGCCACGTGAGCCCCAATACAGCAACCCTTGCGTGCCGACACCCTGCGGACAGAACGCCCAGTGTACGGAGCACGGCGGTATCCCCGTGTGCTCTTGCATCAAGGGCTACCACGGCGACGCGACCATCGGCTGCCGACCAGAGTGCTTCACCAGCTCAGAGTGCTCTCGCCACCTGGCCTGTGTCAACTTGAAATGCATCGACCCGTGCTCTGGCCTTTGCGGGCCGAATGCACAGTGTCGCGTCTCCAACCACAACCCGATCTGCCACTGCACAGCGGGCTTCACCGGAGATCCCTACAGGATCTGCACGATTGTCCCCTGTAAGCATGCCTGCATGAAAATGTACATACCCAGTACCTAGCATGAAATGACTGCCCTTGATTTGTGATACATTTGCATGTGAGCCTATGCATCATGCATGCCGTGTGACCGACCGCCTCCTGTCCTTCTAGCCACCCCAGAGAGGCCCTCCAACCCGTGCGAGCCGAGTCCATGCGGGTCGAATGCCGTATGCAAAGAGAGGAGCGGCCACGCCTCGTGCTCGTGTCGGCCCGGCTTCCTGGGGACGCCACCCAACTGCCGACACGAGTGCGTGCTGAGCAGCGACTGCGCCGCACGCCTAGCCTGCCTGGAGAACAAATGCCGCGACCCTTGTCAGGATCGGTGCGGCGTCGAGGCACTGTGTACCGTGCGGAACCACCAGCCGCTGTGCCGGTGCCCAGCCGGTTACACTGGCGACGCCAGCCGCCTTTGCCGGCCTGTGCCACGGGCGCCGAGTAAGTGCATGCTGCATGACGACTGGACGTTACGAGCACAACCTTACCAATTTATTTAGTTCCGAGCGAGATGCAAGGTTTATTAAAACACAACGAAATATGCACATTGCACTGCTTCTTTTGGTGCAAACTTTACATGGAACACGGAAAATATGAACGCGATAGAGCTTGATGCTAGATGTTCATGTTTTGTTGTGGTGGGTTCCATGGATGATGGGTAGATAGCTCTGAAGTTGAAGTGCAAGGACACGAATAATTAACAATCCGAAAGAGAAGACTCGAAACCATAGCGAGATATATTGAGGGTTGGGGCGAGTTCGTGAGTGAGTAAATGAGTGAGTGAGTGAGTACGTACTGTGCACTCTGAGTGACTTCAAAGAAAAGAACGGATACTCATATTAAAACAGAAACTGCGTTAACCCATATATATATATATATATATATATATATATATATATATATATATATATATATATATATATATATATATATATATATATATATATATATATATATATATATATATATATATATATATATATATATATATATATATATATATATATATATATATATATATATATATATGCGCATTACACCTATCCTTTTATGAATAAGCTGCTTAACTTTAGGCGTACAAACATTCAGGCTGGTGTCCTTCCATTACAGCAACTCCGGCACCAATTCCACAACAGCAACCATGCTTCCCGGGCAAATGCGGCATAAATGCCCAGTGTCGGGAGCACAATGGTCTGGGAATATGCACGTGCCTGCCGGAGTACTTCGGCAACCCGTACGAAGGCTGTCGGCCCGAGTGCATGATCAATGATGACTGCGACCGCTCCAAGGCCTGCGAGCGCAACAAGTGCGTGGACCCGTGCCCCGGCGTCTGCGGCTTCCGTGCCGAGTGCCGGGTGCACGACCACGTGCCGATGTGCTACTGCCCTGACGGGTACCGAGGAGATCCGTTCACCGCATGCACGCCTGTACCATTGAAACGTGAGCACACCTGTTACACTGCCTGTGAATGTTGCACGCATGATATGCCTGATATTTGCATTGCAATGCCTTCCTGCATGCGACATTTAGGATGTTGCATGTTTGAGCATCCTTGGTGTCTTTCCTCAGCCGCACAACCGACTCAGCCAGTGGTAGTCGACCCATGCTACCCATCGCCTTGCGGTTCCAATGCCGAATGCATCTCCAAGGACCGTGATGACGACGACTTCGCTGTTGCCATCTGCAAGTGTCTTCCGGGCTTCCCTAAGGGCGACCCGTACACCGGCTGTCGACCAGAATGCGTCACCAACGCCGACTGTGCTCAAACTCGGGCATGCGGGTCTCAGCAGAAGTGCATTGACCCCTGCCCTGGACTTTGTGGACACAATGCCGCGTGCAGAGTCATCAACCACAATCCACTCTGCTCCTGCAATGAAGGCTATACCGGATCACCGTATCAAGGATGCAGGCAAATACCACGTAAGAATTTCTATCAAAATGACTTATCCTAAAATACTGTCTCATGCCCAGGCTCCTCCACTACGCGATTTTCCGTGCCATTTTGCGATAACGCAAGAATGCAATACCCTTAGCGATGCCATAAAATGTTCATCAAGCGCAAAAGAATGCGCCAAGCCACAGTGCGGGAATCGCATTACCGCATGAAATATCACCCAATACCGTTCGCGCATAAAAAGTTCAGATTACAGACTACTTTTTTGCAAAATCGCACGGAAAAATCGCGCAGTGGAGCCTGGGCTTTATGGTAAAAGTGGTCTTATTAGAGATGTCAATCGGATACCTACCAACTTTTTGGTAGGTATACCTACCGATAACAAACCGCTACCAACTTGGTTTTTGGTATTTCAAGGCGAATGTATTTGGTATTTTGTGGGTATTATGGAATCCTCACTAATGTCACGCGGTCCAAAAATTTGGTTAAAAAGTTGGAATTTCCCTCATATTCCCAAGTTGGTTCGGTATCGGTATTATTTTCATTGGTAGTGTTCGTATTTCGTTTGGTATCTCGGTATCGCGATTTTCCGTAACCGACGTCAATAGACCTTATGCTAATGTTACACTATTGAAGTGGTACTGAAAGAAGACAAAAAAACATGATTTGCTTGGTCCCTCCCCTCCTGAAGACCGCGATGACGACACCGGCACCGCGAGTGACTGTACCATCCACTCCGATTAATGTTGACCAAATAATATATTTGGTCTGATTTCAGTATCATTTCAATATTGTAGCATTAGCATAAGTTTATTTTTGACACTAAAATATTCATAATAATATACAAGCGATAGCTCACCTTCAACGATAAAAATACTGTATTATTCATTCATATAAATATATATATATATATATATATATATATATATATATATATATATATATATATATATATATATATATATATATATATATATATATATATATATATATATATATATATATATATATATATATATATATATATATGCATTGTTTGTTGAAAGCGACAGCGAGCTGGGCGTTGACGATCTTCTTTTCTGTCGATTCGATCTTTCGCACTAGCTTCTTTCCGGGTTCGTTATATTCGTTAAGTAGTTCGGCGAATGTCATTGTAAGTAAAAATATAAAGCAACTGGTTGTAAGGTTCATATTTTCAACGTTTCATTGTAAATCAAACAACATTTTCAAGATCAGAACCTTGACTGTGTTAACAGTTGCATATCACGTCACTAGTGTACTCGAATATATAAAACAAACACGTGCATTGGTACGCTGGAGCATCTCTCCTTACATTCCTACGTTCATATATACATCATTACATCATGGAAATATAGACATGTGACACCTACCTCCCGTGTGGTAACATACCACATATCACCAGTGGTGCAACATCACACAGTTAAAGCGAGACGTGCACCCAGCGGTGCTCCACCGTACAGGGACAATGTTCCGCGTGCATTGACCTGCTTGTTGATGAGAGGGTCTAAGTCTCGAATGTATACCGCCTCGAGTGCTGTAAGATACCGTCCAGTGGCCCCATGTGCTAGTATTGTCGTGTTGGAGGTCAGCATATGTCTCGTCAGTCGTTGATGATGATGTTTTTCCATGTGTGTGAGTGGTCCACCGCTTTGTAGATGCATGGTCAGTCTACGTGAGAGTGAGGTCGTCGTCATGCCGATATAACCACTGTTGGGTAGAAGTGCACAGTCTTCTGTCATGCATTTAAAGTGGTATATCACGTTTGTCTGTTTGAGTGGTGAATTGTCTTTTGTCATGTTGTTACGTAATAGCAGGGATGATGTTTTTGGACTCTGATAGTATATGTTGAGCCGTACTTGGTGTGAGGGGTCTTGTACCTTACAATTGCGTTGTACTATGCTGTGGAGTACCTTTTCGTCCGTTCGGTATCCTGGTGACATGGTGTTACGGTAGTAAAGGTTGTGAACTGTCTCAGGCTTTGATGGTGCGGTTCCTGGTTGTGCGTGTCGATTCAGCCTGAGACAGTTCACAACCTTTACTACCGTAACACCATGTCACCAGGATACCGAACGGACGAAAAGGTACTCCACAGCATAGTACAACGCAATTGTAAGGTACAAGACCCCTCACACCAAGTACGGCTCAACATATACTATCAGAGTCCAAAAACATCATCCCTGCTATTACGTAACAACATGACAAAAGACAATTCACCACTCAAACAGACAAACGTGATATACCACTTTAAATGCATGACAGAAGACTGTGCACTTCTACCCAACAGTGGTTATATCGGCATGACGACGACCTCACTCTCACGTAGACTGACCATGCATCTACAAAGCGGTGGACCACTCACACACATGGAAAAACATCATCATCAACGACTGACGAGACATATGCTGACCTCCAACACGACAATACTAGCACATGGGGCCACTGGACGGTATCTTACAGCACTCGAGGCGGTATACATTCGAGACTTAGACCCTCTCATCAACAAGCAGGTCAATGCACGCGGAACATTGTCCCTGTACGGTGGAGCACCGCTGGGTGCACGTCTCGCTTTAACTGTGTGATGTTGCACCACTGGTGATATGTGGTATGTTACCACACGGGAGGTAGGTGTCACATGTCTATATTTCCATGATGTAATGATGTATATATGAACGTAGGAATGTAAGGAGAGATGCTCCAGCGTACCAATGCACGTGTTTGTTTTATATATTCGAGTACACTAGTGACGTGATATGCAACTGTTAACACAGTCAAGGTTCTGATCTTGAAAATGTTGTTTGATTTACAATGAAACGTTGAAAATATGAACCTTACAACCAGTTGCTTTATATTTTTACTTACAATGACATTCGCCGAACTACTTAACGAATATAACGAACCCGGAAAGAAGCTAGTGCGAAAGATCGAATCGACAGAAAAGAAGATCGTCAACGCCCAGCTCGCTGTCGCTTTCAACAAACAATGCATTAAGAATAACATTCTGCCAAAGTTTACTCATATATATATATATATATATATATATATATATATATATATATATATATATATATATATATATATATATATATATATATATATATATATATATATATATATATATATATATATATATATATATATAGTTGCATTATGATTTATGTACGGATTTCATTTTATACCATTTCATCATTTGTAATATGCAATTTGCAAACAATATGCGCAGTCTTCAAGTGTTCCGGTCTTGTTTACAGCGAAAGCACCAAGACAAACGTGCTTCCCCAACCCGTGCGGACCGAACTCTCAGTGTCGCGAGCTCAACGGCCGACCTACCTGTTCGTGCCTGCCTGGCTACTTGTCCAGCCCGCCCAACTGCCGACCGGAGTGCACCATCCACTCCGACTGTCCCAGTCACCAGGCGTGCGTCGGAGAGAAGTGTGTCGACCCGTGTCCGGGATCCTGCGGGCAGAACGCCGACTGTCGGGTCTTCAATCATAATCCGGTCTGCATGTGCCGTGGAGGGTACACTGGAGATGCCTACGCACTTTGTACGCCCATTCCCAGTAAGTGTATATATATATATATATATATATATATATATATATATATATATATATATATATATATATATATATATATATATATATATATATATATATATATATATATATATATATATATATATATATATATATATATATATATATATATATATATATATATATATATATATATATTATATCTGCTGCCGAAACTGTCATACCTTCAAAGTACTCTGAATAGAAGTATTGAGCGCATATAAAATATGGGCTGTGAGTTATTTTATGTATTTATTTAAAGTGTATCGTATCATCTTTGCTGGCAGTATTTCAAAGACAAAAAACTTCTACAATACAACCTTCCCTTTTCACAAATCGATGCTTAAATCGAAACAAAAGCAACCATAAACTTCAATAATCTTTTCCAGAAACTCCGCCACCGACGGCACCGGCGGTGGCCGACCCATGCTATCCGTCACCGTGTGGAGCCAACGCAGATTGCAGCGACAAGAATGGCGTCGCAGTATGCATTTGCCGTGACGAATACTTCGGGAACCCTTACGTCGGATGCAAACCAGAGTGTGTCCTGGACACGGATTGCCCACGGGACAAGAACTGTGACAACAATAAGTGCAGAAATCCGTGCCCAGGCCAGTGTGGCACAGGAGCAGAGTGTCACGTCGTCAACCGTATCATTATGTGCAGTTGTCCTGAGGGCCACACCGGAGATCCATTCTCCTACTGCAGACTGGTGCCGCAAACACCACCGCCACTTGAGCCTCAGTACACCAACCCCTGTGTGCCATCGCCTTGCGGCGAGAACGCCCAGTGCCGAGAGGCCAACAACGTAGCCGTGTGCTCTTGTGTGGCTGGTTACCATGGCGACCCCACCATCGGATGCCGACCAGAGTGCGTCTCCAACGCCGAGTGTGCTCCGGCGCTGGCATGCATCAGCCAGAAATGCAAAAACCCGTGCGCCGGCCTCTGTGGAGTCAACGCACAATGTCGAGTCCTTAACCACAACCCAAGGTGCAACTGCCTGCCAGGATATGAAGGGGATCCCTACAGGAGCTGTGCTGTTGTAAGAAGTGAGTATAATGTTGCCTCGTTGCCAATAGTGGTTTTGACGTTCTCATTGATAGGTCACGAATCAATGTTTTTGTTGTATTCAAACGACACTGTTTCTAAGATCATTGCCAGTAAAAGCTATTGTAAGTCCTAAAACTAGCTAGAGTTTTATTCAAAACTAGCTAGTCAAAACAAAACTATTCAAAACTAGCATGGCACATAAAATAAAAATATTATTCAACGAATATACCTGCAATAATGATATGCCATGCAGTACATATTTATCATACTTCTATTCAAATCCAGACTGATAGCCAGTGCGTATAGGAATTAAAATTAACAGTATGCATTGCCGTTTCAGCTGATCCGCCTCGCGACGAGAATCCATGCCAGCCGAGCCCGTGCGGCCCGAACTCGGAGTGTCGTGTCAAGAACGGCGGAGCGGCCTGCTCCTGCCTGTCGGGATACAAGGGTGCTCCACCAGCCTGTCGCCCAGAATGTGTCCTGAACACGGACTGTGCCGACCACCTGGCTTGCATCGGACAAAAGTGTCTCGATCCGTGCCAAGGACAGTGCGGCCAGAACGCCAGGTGTTCTGTACAAAACCATCGTCCAGTGTGCAGATGCGACTCTGGCTACACAGGAGATCCGTTCCGATATTGCTCGCCAATTCCTCAGAGTAAGTACATATCAGTGTTCGCCGGTGAAAGTCGTAAATAATATTTGACGAGCCTGAGGTTAGTTTGTTTACACACAGCATTTATCACTTTTTCAGCCGTATAACCTAAGAATTTGTTATCTATAAGAGGCTTCATACCGGAAGAAACAAACGTTGATCCTTAGGCCACTTTTTACAAGGCAACATTAACAAATGCCTTTTTCGCAGCTACTGTCGCTCCGGTTGTTCAAGAACAAGACCCCTGCTACCCTGGAAAGTGTGGCCCGAACGCCCAGTGCCGCGTACACAACAGCATCGGAGTTTGTAGCTGTCTACCAGAATACTTTGGCAACCCATATGAAGGCTGCAAGCCCGAATGTGTGGTTCACTCAGACTGTGATCGCTCCAAAGCCTGCGAACGCAACAAGTGCGTCGACCCCTGTCGTGGCGTGTGCGGCTTCCGTGCTGAGTGCCGTGTGCAGAATCACGTGGCCATGTGCTTCTGCCCAGAGGGATATAAGGGCGACCCCTTCTCAGCATGCACACCGGTTCCGGTCACTCAGCCACCACAGGAACCGGCAAAGGCCGATCCTTGCTTCCCATCTCCGTGTGGATCAAACGCCGAGTGCATATCCAAGGACCGGGATGATGACGACTCCGCTGTTGCAATCTGCAAGTGTCTTCCGGGCTTCCCCAAGGGCGACCCGTATACCGGCTGTCGGCCAGAATGTGTCACCAACGCCGACTGTGGTCAAACACAGGCATGCGGGTCTCAGCAGAAGTGCATCGACCCCTGCCCCGGCCTGTGTGGACACAATGCTGCGTGCAGAGTCATCAACCACAACCCGCTCTGCACCTGCAACGCTGGTTACTCTGGATCGCCCTATCAAGGATGCATTCAAATCAAACGTGAGTATAAATACTATGAGCCAATTCAAACTAAACAAATTACGTGAAATGAAAAAAAGGCATTCAATTTTAAATTATTTTTACTTTTTTCGTTTACTTTCTGATATCGCTAACATTCTAATATCACTTTTCAGCCGAGACACCCAAGCAAACCTGCTTCCCAAACCCCTGCGGGCCTAACTCGCAGTGTCGGGAGCTGAACGGACGTCCTACATGCTCGTGTCTGCCGGAGTACCTGGGAGCGCCACCCAACTGCCGGCCAGAGTGTGTGGTCAACACCGACTGTCCCAGTTACCAAGCCTGCGTTGGGCAGAAGTGTGTCGACCCGTGCCCCGGATCCTGTGGCCAGAATGCCGATTGTCGGGTTCAAAGTCACAATCCAGTCTGCTCATGCCTGCGTGGGTTTACGGGAAACGCATATGCCCTCTGCACTCCAATTCCTCGTAAGTAATTAACCTTATATGAAGCTGAAGCTAACAAATAACAATGCTATACTGTATTTGAAACAATGTGCAATTTCCTTTTTTATGGAATTACATGTCGCCTACCGTTTCATCACAAATCCCTTAAGGAATGATATTATCGGGCTTGTCTCGTGACATCAACTCATCCATGGTATACACAAAACCATTGTTTCGCTTTCCAGAAACTCCGCCGCCGACAGCACCGGCAGTGGCCGACCCATGCTATCCGTCACCGTGTGGAGCCAACGCAGATTGCAGCGACAAGAATGGCGTCGCGGTATGCATTTGCCGTGACGAATACTTCGGGAACCCTTACGTCGGATGCAAACCAGAGTGTGTCCTGGACACGGATTGCCCACGGGACAAGAGCTGTGACAACAATAAGTGCAGAAACCCGTGCCCAGGCCAGTGTGGCACAGGAGCAGAGTGTCACGTCGTCAACCGTATCATTATGTGCAGTTGTCCTGAGGGCCACACCGGAGATCCATTCTCCTACTGCAGACTGGTGCCGCAGACGCCACCGCCATTTGAGCCTCAGTACACTAACCCCTGCGTGCCATCGCCTTGCGGCGAGAACGCCCAGTGCCGAGAGGCCAACAACGCAGCTGTGTGCTCTTGTGTGGCTGGTTACCATGGCGACCCCACCATCGGATGTCGACCAGAGTGCGTCTCCAACGCCGAGTGCGCTCCGGCGCTGGCATGCATCAGTCAGAAATGCAAAAACCCGTGCGCCGGCCTCTGTGGAGTCAACGCACAATGTCGAGTCCTTAACCACAACCCAAGGTGCAACTGCCTGCCAGGATATGAAGGGGATCCCTACAGGAGCTGTGCTGTTGTAAGAAGTGAGTATAATGCTGCCTCGTTACCAATAGTGGTTTTGACGTTCTCATTGATAGGTCATGATACAATGTTTTTGTTGTATTCAAAACGACACTTTCTAAGATCATTAAGTCCTAAAACTAAATAGAAAATGAATGGGACATAGAATTAATACAATTCTTCAACGAATGCACCTGCAATAATGATATGTCATAGGTACAGACTGTATGACACATCATTGTAGGTCCAACGGTTATTCGTTGAAGAATTGTATAAAAGTATGATAAATATGTACGGTATGATACAGTCATATTTATCATACTTTAATTCAAATCCAGACTGATAGCCAGTGCGTATAGGAATTAAAATTACCAGTATGCATTGTCTTTTCAGCTGATCCGCCTCGCGACGAGAATCCATGCCAGCCGAGCCCGTGCGGCCCGAACTCTGAGTGTCGTGTCAAGAACGGCGGAGCGGCCTGCTCCTGCCTGTCGGGATACAAGGGTGCTCCACCAGCCTGTCGGCCAGAATGTGTCATGAACACGGACTGTGCCGACCACCTGGCTTGCATCGGACAAAAGTGTCTCGATCCGTGCCAAGGGCAGTGCGGTCAGAACGCCAGGTGTGCTGTACAAAATCATCGTCCAGTGTGCAGATGCGACACGGGATTCACAGGAGATGCCTTCCGATACTGCTCGCCAATTCCTCAAAGTAAGTTCTCAACAGTGTTCGCTGGTGTAATGCACTTACGCCCTTGAATATTTCTGGATCATATATGGATCAGTTTGCTTAGAAGCAGATGTATTGTCTAAAAATAAGTAATCTAGAAGCTTTATGCCAAAAGCAAAGCATTGATCCTTAGGTCTCTTATAACAATACAGCATTAAGAAATGCCTTTTTCACAGCTACTATCGCTCCGGTTGTTCAAGAACAAGACCCCTGCTACCCTGGAAAGTGTGGCCCGAACACCAAGTGCCGCGTACACAATGGAATTGGAGTTTGTAGCTGTCTACCAGAATACTTTGGCAACCCGTATGAGGGCTGCAAGCCCGAATGTATGGTTCACTCAGACTGTGATCGTTCCAAGGCCTGCGAACGCAACAAGTGCGTCGACCCCTGTCGTGGCGTGTGCGGCTTCCGTGCTGAGTGCCGTGTACATAATCACGTGGCCATGTGCTTCTGCCCAGAGGGATACAAGGGCGATCCCTTCTCAGCATGCACACCGGTTCCGGTCACTCAGCCACCGCAGGAACCGGCAAAGGCCGATCCTTGCTTCCCATCTCCGTGTGGATCAAACGCCGAGTGCATCTCCAAGGACCGCGATGATGACGACTCGGCTGTTGCGATCTGCAAGTGTCTTCCGGGCTTCCCCAAGGGCGACCCATATACCGGCTGTCGGCCAGAATGTGTCACCAACGCCGACTGTGCTCAAACTCGGGCATGCGGGTCTCAGCAGAAGTGCATCGACCCCTGTCCCGGCCTGTGTGGGCACAATGCCGCGTGCAGAGTCATCAACCACAACCCACTCTGCACTTGTAACACCGGTTATACTGGATCGCCGTATCAAGGATGCATCGAAATAAAACGTAAGTTTTTATATGCATTACTTAATACTTAACTTCTGCATTTAAAATCTTCCTTTTTAAAAAAAAGCTTCAATCAATGGAAACATTAAGGCAGAAAATTTTGAAATTCAGTCATGAAATGCGTTTTAAAATTTAAAGGTTCATAATATCTGTTTAATAATAGGTATCATTTTTTCAGCGGAGGCACCCAAGCAAACCTGCTTCCCGAACCCCTGCGGGCCTAACTCGCAGTGTCGGGAGCTGAACGGACGTCCTACATGCTCGTGTCTGCCGGAGTACCTGGGAGCGCCACCCAACTGCCGGCCAGAGTGTGTGGTCAACACTGACTGTCCGAGTTACCAAGCCTGCGTCTCACAGAAGTGCGTTGACCCGTGCCCAGGATCATGTGGACAGAATGCCGACTGCCGGGTTCAGAGCCACAATCCTTCCTGTTCTTGTCTACCTGGATTCACCGGCAACGCATATGCTCTCTGCACTCGCATTCCTCGTAAGTTCTCATCATTGAATAATGTCTTCCGTACATTCACATTCTATTAAAAAGCTGAAATAACCTACCTTGTGTGTTAAGTTTATAAAAGCTTTGATTCGATCGATCGTCGAAAGATTATCATGAAGAAATTCTTCCTTTTTCCAGAAACTCCGCCGCCGACAGCACCGGCAGTGGCCGACCCATGCTATCCGTCACCGTGTGGAGCCAACGCAGATTGCAGCGACAAGAATGGCGTCGCGGTATGCATTTGCCGTGATGAATACTTCGGGAACCCGTACAGTGGATGTAAACCAGAGTGTGTCCTGGATACAGATTGTCCACGGGACAAGAACTGTGACGGCAACAAGTGCAGAAACCCGTGCCCAGGCCAGTGTGGCACAGGAGCAGAGTGTCACGTCGTCAACCGTATCATTATGTGCAGTTGTCCTGAGGGCCACACCGGAGATCCATTCTCCTACTGCAGACTGGTGCCGCAAACGCCACCGCCATTTGAGCCTCAGTACACCAACCCCTGCGTGCCATCGCCGTGCGGCGAGAACGCCCAGTGCCGAGAGGCCAACAACGCAGCTGTGTGCTCTTGTGTGGCTGGTTACCATGGCGACCCCACCATCGGATGTCGACCAGAGTGCGTCTCCAACGCCGAGTGCGCTCCGGCACTGGCTTGCATTAACCAGAAATGCAAGAACCCGTGCGCCGGCCTCTGTGGAGTCAACGCACAATGCCGCGTCCTCAACCACAACCCAAGGTGTAACTGCCTGCCAGGATATGAGGGAGATCCCTACAGGAGCTGCGTTATCTCGAGAAGTAAGTATGAATTCAGCACAATCATCATAATTTTAAACGACTTAAAATCTACATCCATCAGCTTAGGTATTGTGTTTATGCCCCTACAGGCTTGACAATTCTGGGATCACTCATAGGTCATTGTCCAACGTCGGTACCTTCTACTTACCATTACTTTTAAGAGCGCAAATCATTTAAAATGAAGATAACATGATATTTGGTAGAATTTATGGTGAGACGACTTTTCCTGAAAAAATGTAATATTTACGAATTTCATTTCAGCTGATCCACCCCGTGACGAAAACCCATGCCAGCCGAGCCCTTGCGGCCCGAACTCAGAGTGTCGTGTCAAGAACGGCGGAGCTGCCTGCTCCTGTCTGGAGGGATACAAGGGTGCTCCACCAGCCTGTCGCCCAGAATGTGTCCTGAACACGGACTGTGCCGACCACCTGGCTTGCATCGGACAGAAATGCCTCGATCCGTGCCAAGGACAGTGCGGCCAGAACGCCAGGTGTTCTGTACAAAACCATCGTCCAGTGTGCAGATGCGACTCTGGCTACACAGGAGATCCGTTCCGATACTGCTCGCCTATTCCGCAAAGTAAGCACAAGTGCAATACTTTATTTCACTTGCCTACTCGACATCTGTGTTAGCTGATTTTTCAATCAACTTCCAGCGGCCTTCCCACGTTTATATAATTATATGGTTTATTATTAGGCTAAAGATAAATTCTTTCACAATAAATAAATTAAGAAAGATTATTCCATTCATATTGTAAAATATTACTTACCAAGTATGCATGTCTTTTTCACAGCTACCGTCGCTCCGGTTGTTCAAGAACAAGACCCCTGCTACCCTGGAAAGTGTGGCCCGAACGCCCAGTGCCGCGTCCACAATGGAATTGGAGTTTGCAGCTGTCTGCCAGAGTACTTCGGCAACCCGTATGAAGGCTGCAAGCCCGAATGTGTGGTTCACTCAGACTGTGACCGTTCCAAGGCCTGCGAACGCAACAAGTGCGTCGACCCCTGTCGTGGCGTGTGCGGCTTCCGTGCTGAGTGCCGTGTGCAGAACCACGTGGCCATATGCTTCTGCCCAGAAGGATATAAGGGCGACCCCTTCTCAGCATGCACACCGGTTCCGGTCACTCTGCCACCGCAGGAACCGGCAAAGGCCGATCCTTGCTTCCCATCTCCGTGTGGATCAAACGCCGAGTGCATATCCAAGGACCGTGATGATGACGACTCGGCTGTTGCAATCTGCAAGTGTCTTCCGGGCTTCCCCAAGGGCGACCCGTATACCGGCTGTCGGCCAGAATGTGTGACCAACGCCGACTGTGCTCAAACTCGGGCATGCGGGTCTCAGCAGAAGTGCATCGACCCCTGTCCCGGCCTGTGTGGGCACAATGCCGCGTGCAGAGTCATCAACCACAACCCACTCTGCACTTGTAACACCGGTTATACTGGATCGCCGTATCAAGGATGCAACGAAATTAAACGTAAGGCAGTACATACCATTACACACATTTATAAATGTCAATCGGATAAACGTTTGATACCGATACCAAACCGATACCAACTTGTTATTTGGTATGTCAAGGCTTATGCATTTGGTAGTTTGTTGGTAAAATGAATCGTATCTTATGTAAATATGTGACTGGTAAAACGTTGCATTTCCCCCCGTATTCCCAAGTCGATTCGGTTTCGGTATTTTCTCATGAGTATTGATGGTATTTGGTTTGGTATCGGCATCATTATTTTCCATAATTGACATCACTACTGACACATTGTCATATAACTTACTAATGAATCAGAATAACATTAGGATCATATCATATGGCTTTTGTCTTCAACTAGCTCTAAAGCTTCGCTCCTTGATGTTGATGACTGTAATGCTGGAAAGGAAATATATGGCGAGCACACACTGTTCTGAAACGTATCTCACTTAAAGTAAAATTAACAGTAAATATACTTTTCATTTGCAGAGGAGACTTCCAAGCAAACCTGCTTCCCGAACCCCTGCGGGCCCAACTCGCAGTGTCGGGAGCTGAACGGACGTCCTACATGCTCGTGTCTGCCGGAGTACCTGGGAGCGCCACCCAACTGCCGGCCAGAGTGTGTGGTCAACACTGACTGTCCGAGTTACCAAGCCTGCGTCTCCCAGAAGTGCGTCGATCCGTGCCCAGGATCATGTGGACAGAATGCCGACTGCAGGGTCCAAAGTCATAACCCAGTCTGCTCATGTCTGCCTGGGTTCACGGGCAACGCATATGCCCTCTGCAACCGCATTCCTCGTGAGTATATACGTGTACCTAGGAAGTCCAATAACGTATTATGTTTTTTTTTTGCAGAATTTTGACAAACTTTTTGCTGCAGACACACATTAGGGCTCTAATTTAAAGTTACCTTGTTGAATAATTTTGTAGGCATTAACAACTAACCTTTCTGTTTCGCTTTCCAGAAACTCCGCCACCGACGGCACCGGCAGTTGCCGACCCATGTTATCCGTCACCGTGTGGAGCCAACGCAGATTGCAGCGACAAGAATGGCGTCGCGGTATGCATTTGCCGTGATGAATACTTTGGGAACCCGTACAGTGGGTGTAAACCAGAATGCGTCCTGGACACGGATTGCCCACGGGACAAGAACTGTGACAACAACAAGTGCAGAAACCCGTGCCCAGGCCAGTGTGGTACAGGAGCAGAGTGTCGCGTCGTCAACCGCATCATTATGTGCAGTTGTCCTGAGGGCCACACCGGAGATCCATTCTCCTACTGCAGACTGGTACCGCAAACACCACCGCCATTTGAGCCTCAGTACACCAACCCTTGTGTGCCATTGCCTTGCGGCGAGAACGCCCAGTGCCGAGAGGCCAACAACGCAGCCGTGTGCTCTTGTGTGGCTGGTTACCATGGCGACCCCACCATCGGATGCCGACCGGAGTGCGTCTCCAACGCCGAGTGCGCCCCGGCCCTGGCATGCATCAGCCAGAAATGCAAGAACCCGTGCGCCGGTCTCTGTGGAGTCAACGCACAATGTCGAGTCCTTAACCACAACCCCAGGTGCAACTGCCTGCCAGGATATGAAGGGGATCCCTACAGGAGCTGCGCTGTTGCCAGAAGTAAGACACTTTCCGCTTTAAATACCTTATTGAGTCAGAGTGACTGCAAGTAGGGTAATGACCGTGGTAAATAGCTTGTCTGAAACCGAACTAAGAATCCAAATTTATTATTTATTATTATACAGTTACCAATGACGGCGACCCAATCCAATCGAATGCTTACACTGAGTCTTTTCCGCAGCCGATCCACCCCGTGACGAAAATCCATGCCAGCCGAGTCCGTGCGGCCCGAACTCGGAGTGTCGTGTCAAGAACGGCGGAGCGGCCTGCTCCTGCCTGTCGGGATACAAGGGTGCTCCGCCAGCCTGTCGGCCAGAATGTGTCCTGAACACGGACTGTGCCGACCACCTGGCTTGCATCGGACAGAAATGTCTCGATCCGTGCCAGGGACAGTGCGGCCAGAACGCAAGGTGTTCTGTACAAAACCATCGTCCAGTGTGCAGATGCGACACGGGATTCACAGGAGATGCATTCCGATACTGCTCGCCCATTCCAGAAAGTAAGTTTCGTTAGATGTTAACGAACTTTTGATAAGGAAATTCAATAGAGGAATTCCTTTGTGAATAAAAAACGTTTGGTGAATGTATCACGCTTTGAAAATATAAGAGTAGTCTCAAATCGTGAGTCCTTTATCTTTTCATAATTCTAAGGTGTTACTGCCAACCTAGAACTTTCCTTTTTTAATATCTCACTTGTTTGGAAAGTGTTAGCGAAAAATATAATTTAAAAAAAACATTGAACACTACGTAAAGAGTTATGAGGGAAAACGCTGGTTGAATCTCTGGTTTATTCTTGATTTTCTAAAAAGCAGCGCATAGCTTTTTAAGGAAAATTCTTGCTTCTACTACACAGCTACAACCTTGTTTCAAATAAATCTAAAGTTACTCTACAGTCTGTAGAGATTTTCTACATTCAGGCATTTGAATCAAATGCTATTTCAAATTATGACGTTTGCATTTTTCTCCAAGTAGGCATATCCTGGAACTAGATGTGCAATTGAAGCGTATTATTAGCCTAGGTAATGTAGTAGTTTTAATACTCTCCTTGCTTTTTCAGCTACTCTCGCTCCGGTTGTTCAGGAACAAGACCCCTGCTACCCTGGAAAGTGTGGCCCGAACGCCCAATGTCGAGTACACAATGGAATTGGAGTTTGCAGCTGTCTGCCAGAATACTTTGGCAACCCGTATGAAGGCTGCAAGCCCGAATGTGTGGTTCACTCAGACTGTGATCGTTCCAAGGCCTGCGAACGCAACAAGTGCGTCGACCCCTGTCGTGGCGTGTGCGGCTTCCGTGCTGAGTGCCGTGTGCAGAATCACGTGGCCATGTGCTTCTGCCCAGAAGGATATAAGGGCGACCCCTTCTCAGCATGCACACCGGTTCCGGTCACTCAGCCACCGCAGGAACCGGCAAAGGCCGATCCTTGCTTCCCATCTCCGTGTGGATCAAACGCCGAGTGCATCTCCAAGGACCGCGATGATGACGACTCGGCTGTTGCAATCTGCAAGTGTCTTCCGGGCTTCCCCAAGGGCGACCCGTATACCGGCTGTCGGCCAGAATGTGTCACCAACGCCGACTGTGCTCAAACTCTGGCATGCGGGTCTCAGCAGAAATGCATCGACCCCTGTCCCGGCCTGTGTGGACACAATGCCGCGTGCAGAGTCATCAACCACAACCCGCTCTGCACCTGCAACGCTGGTCACACTGGATCGCCTTATCAAGGATGCACTGAGATAAAACGTAAGCACCGTGAAAAGACAATCCTCATTTGCACTGAACTTCTGAATTACATCTTTGTTAATGTACATACTGCCTTCATGTATGATAAGATGATCCATCTTTTTTCTCAGCGGAGACACCCAAGCAAACCTGCTTCCCGAACCCCTGCGGGCCCAACTCGCAGTGTCGGGAGCTGAACGGACGTCCAACATGTTCGTGTCTGCCGGAGTACCTGGGAGCGCCACCCAACTGCCGGCCAGAGTGTGTGGTCAACACTGACTGTCCGAGTTACCAAGCCTGCGTCTCACAGAAGTGCGTTGACCCGTGCCCAGGATCGTGTGGACAGAATGCCGACTGCCGGGTTCAGAGCCACAATCCTGTATGCGTATGCCTTCAGGGATTCACAGGAGACGCCTATTCGCTTTGTACACCGATCCCACGTAAGTGTTCCTGATAGATCTCTGTAGTTATTATGGGCACATTACCTGACATGTAGGCAACGTATGCTGACTTTTTCAATCATAAAATGAACTGACGCAAAAACCACTTCAAAATCTCATTAACATAACCTCTATGTTTGCATAGTAGGGAAAGATCGACGTGTTTCACAACGTCCCTTTAAATGCTGTCGGTAACGCGTTTGGCTAAATACCATCAAACGTCAATTTTGTTGGTAAATAATGGTTCAGAAAATGCTAATAATGTTCATCCTTTCTCAGAAACTCCGCCACCAACGGCACCGGCAGTGGCCGACCCATGCTATCCGTCACCGTGTGGAGCCAACGCAGATTGCAGCGACAAGAACGGCGTCGCGGTATGCATTTGCCGTGACGAATACTTCGGGAACCCGTACAGCGGATGTAAACCAGAGTGTGTCCTGGACACGGATTGCCCTCGGGACAAGAACTGTGACAACAACAAGTGCAGGGACCCGTGCCCAGGCCAGTGTGGCACAGGAGCAGAGTGTCGCGTCGCCAACCACCGCATCATGTGTCATTGTCCTGAGGGCCACACCGGAGATCCATTCTCCTACTGCAGACTGGTGCCGCAGACGCCACCGCCATTTGAGCCTCAGTACACCAACCCCTGCGTGCCATCGCCTTGCGGCGAGAACGCTCAGTGCCGAGAGGCCAACAACGCAGCCGTGTGCTCTTGTGTGGCTGGATACCATGGCGACCCCACCATCGGATGTCGACCAGAGTGTGTCTCCAACGCCGAGTGCGCCCCGGCCCTGGCATGCATCAACCAGAAATGCAAGGACCCATGTGTTGGTCTATGTGGTGTTAGCGCGCGTTGTCGCGTTCTCAACCACAACCCCAGGTGCAACTGTCTGCCAGGATATGAGGGCGATCCTTACAGACGCTGCGTGGTTACCAGACGTAAGATATGTTTACTTCGTTATGTATATATGCATATTTTCAGAGCCTTTTTATATGCATGCTTTTTCGAAAACTGCATGATAGCATGACTTTTTGCACTTTACCGAATGATGAGCATGACATTGCATTACCCCCGAATGCATCGCATGTCTGTTTAAGTGCTCAAGCATGTTCCTCTCCTCCTTTTAGCCGAACAACCTCGCCCTGGAAACCCGTGCCAGCCGAGCCCGTGCGGCCCGAACGCGGAGTGCCGGGAGCTGAACGGCGGAGCCGCCTGCTCCTGTCTGGAGGGATACAAGGGTGCTCCACCAGCCTGTCGACCAGAATGTGTTCTGAACACGGACTGTGCCGAGCACCTGGCTTGCATCGGACAGAAGTGTTTGGATCCATGCAGGGACGAATGTGGTCAAGGTGCTAAATGCACCGTGGTCAACCACAACCCTGTTTGCCGCTGCGAGGCAGGCCTCGTGGGCGATCCATACAGTTTCTGCAGAGCAGTGCCAACAAGTGAGTTATAATTGGGAGACGATTGCTAGTGCTAAATACCGACTATGGACAAATTACGGCAATGTGAAAGGCATCAGGAAATTACCGACTCAGCCAGCCGAATTCCGCATGATTACGTATATCGATGCTCTGGTCTACATAGTGGAGATAGCCGGTGGTTTACTATGAATGGATGAATATTATCCCAACTGAACTATTCTTTTCTAAGACAACACTTTAAATACACAAAAAAATGCATCAAAGCTTCAAAATGTAGGTACCTATAACGCAATCCTTACGTATATTTATACCTAAAAAGCAGCAAAATAGAGAAAGCATTGTGGTTGAAAAAGCGGCAAAGGAAACAACGTTGAATGATTTTCGCATACTTCTTATTTATCATAAAACAATTATTCATCATAAAATAAACTGTTTACCAAACCTATTAACAACTTGAGAAGGCCAATTAAATGGTTAACAGAAGCAGCGCGTCCCAACCCAAGCACGCGTAAGCCGTAAGGTAAGCAATGACAGCAATATAATTGCCTACAATTGTTTGTGTAAAGTGCCATTTTATATAATGCTGTATCGCAATGCGACGTATTGCGAGTTTTGATATAACCTCTGTCTTTCAGCCACTCCAAGACCTGAACAACCACAAAACCCGTGCTACCCTGGCAAGTGCGGCCCGAACGCCCAGTGCCGTGTGCACAATGACATCGGCGTGTGCAGCTGTCTACCAGAGTACTTCGGCAACCCGTATGAGGGATGCAAGCCGGAGTGCTTGGTAGATTCCGAGTGTGATCGTTCCAAGGCCTGTGAGCGCAACAAGTGCGTGGACCCGTGCCCTGGCGTCTGCGGATTCCGGGCCGAGTGTCGGGTGCAAAACCACATGGCGATATGCTTCTGCCTGGAAGGATATAGGGGCGATCCATTCACTGCCTGCACACCGATACCAGTCACACGTAAGACAAAGTCATTTGAATGGTTCACGCATAGTAATCGAGAACACATTTTAGATATACTATACAGTATGCATGCATATTTTTTTACCTACCTACTGCGAGTTATCTGGAGAAAGTTGTATACATGTATTTAAAAGAGACATCGATTAGTAATCAATGGTTTCCGCTTCCATTCACAGCACAACCATCTGCCCCGGTTGAGACAGATCCGTGCAATCCAACGCCATGCGGAGCAAACGCTGACTGCATTGAGAAGAACGGTGTTGCCACGTGCAAATGTCGCCCAGGATACCCCAAGGGAGACCCTTTCAGTGGTTGCCGACCCGAGTGCATCACCAGTGCCGACTGCGCGCAAACGAAAGCCTGCGGCACTCAGCAAAAATGCATTGATCCATGCCCAGGTCTTTGCGGCTCGAACGCCCTGTGCCAAACCATCAACCACCAGCCGATCTGCCGCTGCAACAGCGGCTACACGGGAGATCCTTATCGTGTGTGCACCAAAGAAATTCGTAAGTATCAGTATTGCATAGACTCAAGACTGTTCAATTGCACATCTCTGCATTGTAACGATAAAATATGCAGTGCAGATGAGCACCGTAAATTTCCACGCAATGTCGTGTTCTCTCATATACTTGATTATTTTGAGCGGAAATAGTGCGTTTCAGCATATTAATTAATTAGTTTAATCATACATTATCAACCAAAAAGCCCTCGAAGAATGAGCATAAAGTTATTATTCCATAAGGTTATTATACACTTATGTACTCGTACTGTTTTAAGGAAATAGTGCAATACGTTTTTACAACAACAAAATACGAGGCACGAAGACATAACGCCGCTTACACGTTCACAACTTGTTTCAGCCCGCGAGCCGGTGAACCCGTGCTTCCCGAGCCCATGCGGCCCGTACTCTGAATGCCGTGTCTTGAACGGAGGTGCAGCATGCTCTTGCAAGCCGACGTACATCGGAGCACCACCACAGTGCCGACCTGAGTGCGTTGTGAACTCAGAATGTTCCAACCACCTGGCCTGCATTCAAGAGAAGTGCGTCGACCCGTGCCCGGGCAAGTGCGGGCTTAATGCACAGTGCTCCGTGCGCAACCACAACCCGAAGTGCACATGTCTTCCAGGATACAACGGAGATCCGTACTCTCGATGTGTTCGGGAAATACGTGAGTACAAATTACCTATTCATGTTATTAATTTTGATGCACATCTTTTGCATGTATTCCATAGCACTATAAGCAGTGAAAAAACCGGATCATAAAAAGCATAGGCTTAACGATGCTTACTTTTCCTTTCAGAAACGACCCCGAGACCGCCTGCTGCTGAGGTTGATCCGTGCTACCCATCGCCATGTGGTGCCAACGCGGATTGCACGAACAGAGATGGTCTTGGCGTATGCAAGTGTCGACCAGAGTTCTTCGGCAATCCATACGAAGGATGCAGACCGGAATGTGTTCTGGACACCGACTGTCAACTGGACAAGAACTGTGAAGCAAACAAGTGCATCGATCCTTGTCCTGGACGCTGTGGATCCGGCGCCGAGTGTCTCGTCGCTAACCACGTCATCATCTGTTTGTGTCCGGCCGGCTACACGGGAGATCCGTTCTCATACTGTAGATCGATCCCTGACGATCCTCCACGCCCAGAGCCGCCATCGAACCCGTGCTTCCCGAATCCGTGCGGACCGAACGCCCAGTGCCGTGAGGCGAACGGCGTGGCAGTCTGCGTCTGTCTGCCCGAGTACCGTGGTGATCCCACGACGGGCTGCAGACCTGAATGTGTATCGCCGGCCGAATGCTCATCGGATAAGACATGCGTCAACCGTAAATGTGTTGACCCGTGCCCCGGGGTGTGTGGACAGAACGCACAATGCCGTGCTATAAACCACAACCCGGTGTGCGACTGTCTGCCAGGCTTTGTCGGTGACCCGTACCGCCGTTGCACGCTGGAGGTGGTCACTCAGCCAGTCAAGGATGACCCGTGCTCACCGAACCCATGCGGACCGAACTCTATCTGCCGTGTGATCGGCGACAAGGCAGCCTGCAGCTGCGAACAGGGCTACAAGGGATCGCCTCCAAACTGTCGCCCTGAGTGCGTCACCAACCCAGAATGTTCGGCCGATAAGGCGTGCTACGGACAAAAGTGCGTGGATCCCTGTCCGGGCCAGTGCGGAACGAATGCCAACTGTCTCGTACAGAACCACAATCCAGTCTGCAACTGCCAGGCGGGATACACTGGAGACCCATATCGGTTCTGCTCACCCATTCCTAAAAGTAAGTTATGGTTATGTTGTATTACCTAGCTGACTGGTAAGATCAATATGCAGTCTAAATAAGTCATTCTAATCAACTATCAAGTGGCATATTGTTTTTTTTTTCAATGGCTTTAGTTTTTTCAGTTGCCCTTACATTAACTTTTGTTTCAGCCACTCCGAGACCCCAGGCACCACAAAACCCGTGCTACCCTGGCAAGTGCGGCCCGAACGCCCAGTGCCGTGTGCACAATGACATCGGCGTGTGCAGCTGTCTACCAGAGTACTTCGGCAACCCGTATGAGGGATGCAAGCCGGAATGTGTGGTCAACAGTGACTGCGTCAAGTCCAAGGGCTGTGAAAGGAACAAGTGCGTTGACCCGTGTCCTGGTGTCTGCGGCTTCCGCGCAGAGTGTCGAGTTCAAGACCACGTGGCGATTTGCTACTGCCCGGATGGATACAGAGGTGATCCATTCACAGCATGCACACCAGTTCCAGTGACCGAGCCGCCGAGGGAGCCAGTCAAGACCGATCCGTGCTTCCCGTCACCATGTGGACCCAACGCCGAGTGCGTTACCAGGGACAATGATGACGACGAAAAGGCAGTAGCAATCTGCAAATGCCTCCCAGGATTCCCGAAGGGAGACCCAGTAACTGGCTGTCGACCAGAGTGCACTGTCAATGCGGATTGTTCTCCGACACAGGCATGTGGATCCCTACAGAAGTGTGTGGACCCGTGCCCTGGATTGTGCGGAGCCAACGCCCGATGCAGCACAATCAACCACCAACCGATTTGCCAGTGCAACGACGGCTATTCAGGAGACCCATATCGTACCTGTACTCCTATTGTCCGTAAGTTGCAACATCAACGTCATCACAAACGCTTGAACTTAAGCTTCCTTGACAGATTCAATACGTTGATTACATGCTTGTTAATAGAGAAGGCACTAAATTTATTTCATTGAATAGTATCTAGAATTAAAGCATTTCAAATGTAGCCAAGTCGGCTATTTTATGAATCCTTTTTCCCTTGTATTTTTTCCCAAATATACTGTTGTTTAATTCACTAAAACGCTTCTGTTTTCAGCCCGCGAGCCGGTGAACCCGTGCTTCCCGAGCCCATGCGGCCCGTACTCTGAATGCCGCGTCTTGAACGGAGGTGCAGCATGCTCTTGCAAGCCAACGTACATCGGAGCACCACCACAGTGCCGACCTGAGTGCGTTGTGAACTCAGAATGCTCCAATTATCTGGCCTGCATTCAAGAGAAGTGCGTCGACCCTTGCCCGGGCAAGTGTGGGCTTAACGCACAATGTTCCGTGCGCAGCCACAACCCCAGATGCACATGTCTTCCAGGATACACCGGAGACCCGTACTCTCGATGTGTGAAGGAAATAGGTAAGTTGACTTCTGCATATCAGTATTTGCTTTGCATTGCGTATTACTGTACAATTTCATAGCAATCATGCTCCAAGGTTTATTCAAGTGTCAATCCATGACTATTGATGACATTCCGTAGAAGGAATGGAAAATATCACCGCAAAAACAAAAGGGTGACACAGCTCATTTTTTTCTTGCAGCCCCAACTCCGAGACCACCGGCTGCTGAGGTTGATCCTTGCTACCCATCGCCATGTGGTGCCAACGCGGATTGCACAAACAGAGATGGTCTGGGCGTATGCAAGTGTCGACCAGAGTTCTTCGGTAATCCATATGAAGGATGTAGACCAGAATGTGTTCTGGACACAGACTGTCAACTGGACAAGAACTGTGAAGCAAACAAGTGCATCGATCCTTGTCCTGGACGCTGTGGATCCGGCGCCGAGTGTCTCGTCGCTAACCACGTCATCATCTGTCTGTGTCCGGCTGGCTACACGGGAGATCCGTTCTCATACTGTAGATCGATCCCTGACGATCCTCCACGCCCAGAGCCGCCATCGAACCCGTGCTTCCCGAATCCGTGCGGACCGAACGCCCAGTGCCGTGAGGCGAACGGCGTGGCAGTCTGCGTCTGTCTGCCCGAGTACCGTGGTGATCCCACGACGGGCTGCAGACCTGAATGTGTATCGCCGGCCGAATGCTCATCGGATAAGACATGCGTCAACCGTAAATGTGTTGACCCGTGCCCCGGGGTGTGTGGACAGAACGCACAATGCCGTGCTATAAACCACAACCCGGTGTGCGACTGTCTGCCAGGCTTTGTCGGTGACCCGTACCGCCGTTGCACGCTGGAGGTGGTCACTCAGCCAGTCAAGGATGACCCGTGCTCACCGAACCCATGCGGACCGAACTCTATCTGCCGTGTGATCGGCGACAAGGCAGCCTGCAGCTGCGAACAGGGCTACAAGGGATCGCCTCCAAACTGTCGCCCTGAGTGCGTCACCAACCCAGAATGTTCGGCCGATAAGGCGTGCTACGGACAAAAGTGCGTGGATCCCTGTCCGGGCCAGTGCGGAACGAATGCCAACTGTCTCGTGCAGAACCACAATCCAGTCTGCAACTGCCAGGCGGGATACACTGGAGACCCATATCGGTTCTGCTCGCCCATTCCGCAAAGTAAGTTCAGAAATAAGATGAATTAGACATTACATGTTATCTTAGACGAAGACAGTGTAAATATGAAATAGATATCCATTATGAATATCATGATATTAACTTTTTATGACTTAAAACCTTATCGTCAATTTGCCTTGTCCTTACATTAACTTCTGTTTCAGCCACTCCGAGACCCCAGGCACCACAAAACCCGTGCTACCCTGGCAAGTGCGGCCCGAACGCCCAGTGCCGTGTGCACAATGACATCGGCGTGTGCAGCTGTCTACCAGAGTATTTCGGCAACCCATATGAGGGATGCAAGCCGGAATGTGTGGTCAACAGTGACTGCGTCAAGTCCAAGGGCTGTGAAAGGAACAAGTGCGTTGACCCTTGCCCTGGCGTCTGCGGCTTCCGCGCCGAGTGCCGAGTGCAAGATCACTTCGCTATGTGCTACTGCCCTGACGGCTATCAAGGAGACCCATTCACTGTCTGCACCCCTGTTCCGGCGACTCAGCCACCCAGGGAACCGGTAAAGACCGATCCCTGCTACCCGTCCCCGTGCGGTCCCAACGCCGAGTGCATTGCAAAGGACGATGATGACGATGGACAGGCTGTGGCAGTCTGCAAGTGTCGTCCGGGTTTCCCCAAGGGGGATCCCGTTACCGGCTGTCGCCCGGAGTGCACCACCAACGCCGACTGTTCCCAGTCAGAGGCGTGTGGCTCTCAGCAGAAATGCGTTGATCCTTGTCCCGGTGTGTGCGGCACGAACGCCCTGTGCACAGTGTTCAATCACAACCCAATGTGCAACTGCAAGCAGGGATACCAAGGCAATGCATACGGATACTGCTCACCAATTCCACGTAAGTTCTTTGCTTTGACTTCCTACCATTTGCTGTTGATTTATATCAACCTCTTTTGCTTAAAATGAAAATAATGTTTTTGTAAGCTTTCCAAAAAATATTAAAATAAGCTCTATGCGTTTCACTAGAAGTAGCTTACTAAACTGTTAGCATCATAGGTGCTCACCGTGACAACAATACCAACAGACTACGTATCGTGCTGGTCTCTGACTACTGCTTTCTATTTTCACAGAGGAAACACCGAAACAGGGCTGCTTCCCGAACCCATGCGGGCCCAACTCGCAGTGCCAGGAGGTAAATGGTCGTCCGACATGCTCGTGTCTGCCGGAGTACCTGGGAGCGCCACCCAACTGCCGGCCAGAGTGTGTGGTCAGCTCCGATTGCCCCAGCTACCAGGCCTGCGTCTCGCAGAAGTGCGTCGACCCGTGCATCGGCGCATGCGGCCAGAACGCCGAGTGTCGCGTTCAGAATCACAACCCACTCTGCTTCTGTCTGCCAGGCTACACTGGAAACGCTTATCAGCTCTGCTCAGCAATACCAGGTGAAGCTTTTTGATCTTTATTTAAATGTCACCCATCATAACATGTGCAAAGTAGTAAAGTACCGTTTTTGGAGTTGACGGTAGTTGATTTGATTGATAAGGCTTGTCGGTTTTATTGTTGATAACTTTTGAAATTAATGTACATTACGTTTGGTCCAAGATATTTGCTAATAGTTACATGTTTCTTCGTTCACGTCAGATCATAAGGAAAGAACAACATTTTTGTATTGTCTACAACGTATTTTGTGCGTAACGCCTTTACACGATAAGTAAATTAAAATGTTGATTGTCCTTGTAGGCACCTCATGCGAAGCATCTTAATGGTGATTGTGTGGTTTCAGTAACGCCGAGACCGACAGCACCGGTAAAGGTCGACCCTTGCTTCCCGTCGCCATGCGGCTCCAACGCCAACTGTGAGGAGCGCAACTCGATCGCGGTGTGCAAGTGCATCGAGGGCTTCTTTGGCAACCCGTACGTCAGCTGCCGGCCAGAATGCCTGCTCAACCAGGACTGCTCGCGCGACAAGGCCTGCAGTCGCGACCTCAAGTGTGTGGACCCATGTCCAGGCACCTGCGGCGTGGAGGCTGTGTGCAACGCTGTCAACCACATTGCAAGCTGCTACTGCCCTGAAGGCATGATCGGAGATCCCTTCGTCCAGTGTCGCTTCAAGCCCGCTGAACGTGAGTGGATGATTGAATTACATCGAAAACAGGCGAAATACTTATTTAATTGATTTATATTGGTACTTTATAGTTATATTACCTTTTTCCTGTCACCTTCAATAAAGTTATACATGATTGCAATTGTTGCTGCACAAGCAAGTAACCATTGATCCAAGACTCAGCTGATTGTATCGCAGCTCAGCGATACAATGCATTTGAAATTTGGAATGCATCTGACGAGCCCTTTTTTTGCAGCGGTCCGGCCCCAAGAGCCGGCGAACCCATGCGTGCCTTCTCCGTGCGGCCCGAATGCCAACTGTCGCCTGATGAACGGCGTGGCGCTTTGCACCTGCTTGCCGGGCTTCATCGGCGACCCACTCGACCGGTGTCGCCACGAGTGCGTCTCCAGTTCGGAGTGCGTCTCGGACAAGGCGTGCATCGGCTTCAAGTGCCGCGATCCGTGTGAGGGCACGTGCGGTCATCGGGCCGAGTGTCGCGTGGTGAACCACCAGCCGCGCTGCTCGTGCCCGTCCGGCCTCAGCGGCGACCCGTACCGCGCCTGCTACGACGCCCCGGTAACGCGGCCCGCCGTCGGCGACCCATGCCAGCCGAGCCCGTGCGGTCCCAACTCGGTGTGTCGCGTGCAGGACGGCCGTGCCGCCTGCTCGTGTCGCGACGAGTACCAGGGTGCGCCGCCTAACTGCCGACCGGAGTGCGTGCTCAACGACGACTGTTCCTCGGACAGGGCCTGTGTCAGCCAGAAGTGTCAGGACATCTGCCCTGGCTTCTGTGGAACCAATGCAGTCTGCAATATGCGTAACCACATTCCTACTTGCTCTTGCAACGCAGGATACACGGGAGACGCCTACAGATACTGTTCTCCCATACCGCAGAGTGAGTGCTGATACTTGCCGTCGATTGCATGCCCGTGCATAATTTACGTTCATTTACAGTACGTTTTTTTTTTCAATGCGTTCAACATTTTTCATTCTTGTGATATTACTAAAGTTTAACTGAACTTTATGTTTCAGCTACACCAGCACCTGCCGAGCCAAGAAATCCATGCTACCCTGGCAAGTGCGGCCAGAACGCACAGTGCCGCGTCCACAACGACATCGGTGTCTGCAGCTGCCTACCAGAGTACTTCGGCAACCCATACGAGCGCTGCCGGCCCGAATGTGAAAGTAACGCAGACTGCGATCGCTCCAAGGCCTGCGAACGCAACAAGTGCGTGGACCCGTGCCCCGGCGTGTGCGGCTTCCGGGCCGAGTGCCGAGTGCAGGCGCACGTGGCCATGTGCTACTGCCCGGCTGGCTACGAGGGCGATCCATTCACGTCGTGCCGATTGGTGCCACCGCCCCAGGAGCCAGTGACCAGACCGCCGGCCACACCATGCTTCCCGAACCCGTGCGGCCCGAACGCCGACTGCCAGGAGAAGAACGGCGTGGCGCAGTGCGTGTGCCGGACGGGCTACCCTCGCGGTGATCCGATCTCCGGCTGCCGGCCCGAGTGCGTCACCAACGAGGAGTGCTCGTTCTCTCAGGCGTGTATGCGCCAGAAGTGCAGAGACCCGTGCCCGGGCGTGTGCGGCCTGAACGCACAGTGCACGGTGCAAAACCACAATCCCATCTGCCGCTGCAACGAAGGCTATCGCGGCGACCCCTTCACCGTCTGCCGTCCCGAGCCTGGTAAGTGAGATAAACGTACAGTCTGTCTTGAAAGTACCGCGCAAAGTAGCGGTGGATCCATCAAGCCTGACCGAGAAAGGACTGCTAAATTTGAGTCAACGAAGCAATGGACATCCTCGTCCATTCCTCAAGTCAATTGGTTCGGTGACTTTCAAAGTATAGCAGGCCCTTCCTCGGTCAGGCTTGATGGATCCACCATCACTTTGCGCGGTACTTTAAATTAAGAGACTGGACGTATGTATACTTCATTACGTGTTCATGTCGAATCATTGCTCTCACACACGTAAAAGTATATGGGTAAAGGTAGAGTTGGAAGAAGACAGTTGTTAATGCTGTTTTATTTTGTTTTATCCTCCGTCTGATCTTAACCGGACCACCATTTTTTTCAGATGACGAGACACCTAGGCAGACCTGCTTCCCGAACCCATGCGGGCCCAACTCGCAGTGCCAGGAGGTAAATGGTCGTCCAACCTGCTCTTGTCTGCCGGAGTACCTGGGAGCGCCACCCAACTGCCGACCAGAGTGTGTGGTCAGCTCCGATTGCCCCAGCTACCAGGCCTGCGTCTCGCAGAAGTGCGTCGACCCATGCATCGGCGTATGCGGCGTCAATAGCGAGTGCCGCGTGCAGAACCACGCGCCGCTCTGTTTGTGCGTGGCCGGCTACACGGGCGATCCGTTCGTCACGTGCCGTCCGGTACCAACGACGCTGCCGCCGCGCCAGCCGGTGGTGGGCAACCCATGCAACCCGTCGCCATGCGGAGCCAACGCCTACTGCCGGGAGAAGAACGGTGTCGCCGTCTGCTCCTGCCAGGACGAGTACTTCGGAGACCCGTACTCGGGCTGTCGGCCAGAGTGTGTCCTGGACGATGACTGTGCGCGCGACAAGCACTGCTCCAACCGCAAGTGTCGCGACCCGTGCCCGGGAATGTGCGGTCTCAACGCCGACTGCCGTGTTATCAACCACGTCCCGATGTGCTCGTGTCCTGTGGGCTACACCGGCAACGGATTCTCCAGCTGCTACCCGGTCCCGTCGAGTAAGTATTCGTGGAGCAACTAGGTTAGTTGCCTGTTGGACAACCAATGATTTTAGCTACATTTATGCTAAATTTTGCAATGACGCCATTAGTATTATTCCTTCGTTGACATATCTCCACATCCCCAGTTTTCCCCGTGCATTCATATATTTTTTATCATCACTTGCAGCCTCGAAGCCGGCTGCACCCCCGCTGGTGCGCGACCCGTGCTACCCGAACCCGTGCGGCACGTACGCCACGTGCCGTGCCGTCAACGGCGTGGGCGTGTGCGCGTGTCCGCCCGACTACCTTGGCGATCCGACGGTCGGCTGCCGGCCGGAGTGTCGCACGCCCTCCGACTGTCCGTTCGACGAGACCTGCGTCCGAGAGAAGTGTATCGACCCTTGCCCGGGCACGTGCAGCGCCTTCACACAGTGTGTGGTGCGCGCCCACAACCCCATCTGCACGTGCCTGCCCGGCTATATTGGCGATCCGTTCCGAGGATGCTATCCGAGACCGGGTGAGTTTAGGGAACTTGTCACTGTGCCTGTTTATGCTCTAGCGGATCGGTAATTTTGAACCTTGATGATTTGTTTCATTGATTTGCTATACAAAAATATTCACAATGAACATGATTAAATTTCAGTGCTCATTTCCTTCATTTTATGCTCGGCGGTGAGGTCATTAAGTAGAATGAGACGAAACACACTTCACCGAACTCTCTCCGGTTCTTACATCATCGTGCGCGTTCCCTCTGCAGAAGCACCTCAGGAGAATGACCCGTGCGACCCGAACCCATGCGGAGATGACGATGACGACGCCACGTGCCGCGTGGTGAACGGCGTGGCACTGTGCATCCCGGCCGAGCCGGAGCAGCCGCGCCGCGAGTGCTCCACCAACGCAGAGTGCGCACGCCACCTGGCCTGCATCGGCTTCCGCTGCGTCGACCCGTGCCCAGGCAGCTGCGGCACCGGGGCGCGCTGCGACGTCATCAACCACGTGCCCCGCTGCCACTGTCCGGCAGGCACCACCGGCAACCCGGTGCGCTACTGCGCGCCGGTGCCCGCCTCCAGTAAGCGCCCGCCGACGCCGTCCAGCGCCGATCATCTCTGCCGGTTGTCGCCGGACCGGTCACAAGCCGGCTCGGCCTTGTATTCTAGCATGCCTGTAAAATGTTTGCACGTCAAAGTTTGCATGCTCTGTCACCAGTGTTTGTTCATGTTCACTGCCAGCATGTCGGTACACACTGTGCCGAGCATCGTGCCTGCATGTGTGCCTGCCTTGAATGCATGCTGCATGGAGCCCACCGACAGACAGAGCGCTGACCTGGCTTCGTGTCTGTTTCAGCGCCGGCGCCGCGGCCGCAGGACCCGTGCTTCCCGTCTCCATGCGCCGAGAACGCTCGCTGCCGCAATCACAACGGCGTGGCTGTTTGCACGTGTCTGCCCGAGTACCAGGGCAACCCGTACGTCAGCTGCCGGCCCGAGTGCTTGTCGGACTCGGACTGCGCCAACACACTCAGCTGCCAGCGTCAGAAGTGTCGCGACCCGTGCCCGGGCACCTGCGGGCGCAGCGCTATCTGCGAGGTGTTCGGCCACCGTCCGCGCTGCCGCTGCCCGCCGGGGTACCAGGGAGACCCGTACCAGCCGAGTGGGTGCCGACCGGTGCCGGCCACACCGCCGCCGGTGCCCGAGCAGCCGCGCGACCCGTGCCAGCCGTCACCGTGCGGCGACAACGCCGTCTGCAAGCGGCGCGGCACGGCCGCCGCCTGCGTCTGCCTGCCAGAGTACCAAGGCGACCCGTACGTCGGCTGCCGGCCCGAGTGCGTGCTCAACTCAGAGTGTGCACCACAGCTGGCCTGCATCGGCCAGAAGTGCCGCGACCCGTGCAACTGCGGCCTCAACGCCGACTGCCAGGTGGTCAACCACATCGCCTCGTGCGTCTGCCCGCAGGGTCACATCGGAGACCCATACCGCATGTGTCACCTGGCGCCAAGTGAGTACCACGTCCGACACTACCATTTCGTAAAAGTATCTGATAACGTTTAAACAAACTGCATGTAGTCATTGTTCACGTCGTTGGCTAGTTACAAGGAAAGTGACGCTTTGTCATTTTCGAAAATGTTCGCTTATCAGATCGGGTCCTACATCGTTGCGCTATCAAGATTTATCGTGAGTATTGAATCACATGCGCAGACCTGTATGACAAACGGTCTTCCCTGCCCTTCAGGTGCACCGCCCGACCCGTGCAACCCGTCGCCGTGCGGCCGCGGTGCCATCTGTCGGGTGAGCGGCACCACTGCCGTCTGCTCGTGCCCGCCCGGCCTGTTCGGCTCTCCGTACGTCGAGTGCAAGCCAGAGTGCACGGCCGACTCGGACTGCTCCAACACCATGGCTTGCGTGAACCTGCACTGCGTCAACCCGTGCATCGGCCGCTGCGGCGTGGCCGCCGTCTGCGACGTGTACAACCACCGGGCGCAGTGCTCGTGCCCGCCGCCGCTCGAGGGCAATCCGCACGTGCAGTGCCGCGAGCGGCCCCAGGCGCCTGTCGTGGTGCCCAGCGTCAAGCCCGAGTGTGAGGAGGACGACGACTGTTCACTCACGCAGTCCTGCATCAGCGAGCGCTGCCAGGACCCGTGCGCGCTCTACCCGAGCGTGTGCGCCAGCAATGCCATCTGCCGGGTGATCCGTCACCGCCAGGTGTGCTCCTGCCCGGACAGCATGACTGGAAACCCGAACGTGCTCTGCTATGAGCTCGGCTGCCGCTCCAACTCGGACTGCCCGTCCACAGAGGCGTGCATCAACCGCCAGTGCCAGGACGTGTGCGCCTTCCAGAGCTGCGGCGCCAACGCGCGCTGTCGCGCCTTCAACCACCAGGCGCGCTGCGAGTGTCTGCCGGGCACGCTGGGCGACCCGTACACCGGCTGCCGGCAGCCCGAGTGCACCTCCGACCAGCAGTGTTCGTTCTCGCACGCCTGCCGCGACGAGCGGTGCGTGCCCGTGTGCACGGACGCCTGCGGCCGTCTGGCCGAGTGTCGCGCCATCAACCACCGCGCCAGCTGCAGCTGCCCGCCCGGGTACACCGGCGAACCGACCGTCTCCTGCAGCCCCGGTGAGTGCGAACGACAGACCTGGCGATCAAGCGTCAACTGCCGCTTGAGGGTAGGATGCCATACGCACCGTTCAGTATCTTTGACTTATTCGGTAAGTGACATGACATCTCGTCGTTTCCCTAGGAGCATAACTTTAAACAAAGTCAGATACGCAATTGGTGTAAATTGCTGCAAATTTCCTCATCGAAACATTCATGTGAAAATCGTTAAATAAATATAACACCGAGTACTTACCACTGCCGATGGCCCGGAACCGACGCAGTGCTGGTGAATGTCTCTGACGCCGCCTCTGGCCGCCCGCAGTTCGGGAAGAGCCGCGCCACGAGTGCACCACCGACGCCGAGTGTCCGTCGCGGCACGCGTGCATGGGCCACCGGTGCGTGAACCCGTGCCAGGCCATCCAGCCGTGCGGCCTGAACGCCGAGTGCCGCGTGGTGGACAGCCTGCCGGCGAGGACCATGCTCTGTCAGTGCCTGCCAGGCTTCATCGGCGACCCAGACGTCGAGTGCCGACCCCGTGAGTGCCCCCCCCCCCTCCCAACCGCCGACGCTAGTTTGGACCGCCATCAGCGGCTCAGACCGTGTCCTTACTTAGCTCAACCGCAACGTAACTTGGTTTTAAGATATGTGCTTTAAATTGGGATCCTAGAGCCAATTGCAATAAGCAGGGGCCATACGGGAACCTTGTGTTACGTAAAATGTGCAAAGATGTGTCGGCAGCACCCCGTATGCCGTCGTCTATGGGTAATTGACCGTGCGTGTCTGTATGTTCACAGGTGCTTAACACGCTAACAACGCGACATCAGTAACGATTAACGAACCTTCATCCTTGTCACCATATCCCGCCTGCTCGCATATGACCAGCTGATGTGTGCTTCTATTACAGGGTCCTCAGTCCCACCCATTATCCCTCTGTGAATGTGTGAGTGTTATGGACCGCTTGGCTAACATTATTACTACTGTTACAACGATATGGAATATGGATACTTTGCGTTAACCCTTGTTACGAATGTTCATCACACTAACATCGCATCTTTCTTTCAGGGTCATTCGTCCTCCAGGCTCACCCATCCTCGTGTTAACAACATGCCACGGCTGTGCTATCGCTCGTATGTGTGCGTGTGTGGTGACCGGTCCTATTGCAGGTCGGCGCCGGTCCTGCCCAGCCCCGCTGACCGCTGTCCTGTGTCGCGCAGCGCCCACCGAGGCACCCGGCTGTACCGACAACTCCGAGTGTCCCCCGTCCGAGGCCTGCCGCAACCGCGCCTGTGTCGACCCGTGCCGCGTGGCCAACCCGTGCGCGGCCAACGCCATATGCCGCGTGGCCAACCACGCCGCCACGTGCGAGTGTCCGGACGACTACGTGGGCAGCCCGTACACGGGCTGTTACCAGGGTAAGTGGCCCGCGCACGGCCAGACGGAACGCGCAGTGCGGAATAACGCGGGCAATAAACTCGGTGACAGACGCCCGCTAAACTGTCCCGCCCGCTGCTGACCATTATGTTCAATGCTAACCGCTAACTAACCTAACCCACCCCGTTGTGCCAATGGGACAAGCATAGATAGCGATGATTTCGGTACCTAGCTCAGTAATACTAATAATTAATAATTATAACCTAGCAATATTGCACATTTGCTAGAAACTGAGACTTTAACTACCCCTCCCGCTTCTAGCCCCGACTAAATAGAAGCTTGCACCTACATACTAGCGACCCTGCAGTAACCATGCACATAACCATTAGCTGGCTGATTAATAATGCATAACCGTGTACATAACGCGCCTAAGCCAGTCCCTGCTAACTGCGTCCACTAACTAATTGGAGCAGCACACCGCTGTACCGCGCCCACTAACCGGAGTCTGCCCCGCCCGGCCGCCGCAGCCCTGCCTCGACCCAGCCGCCGGTGCCAGGCCGCCGCCGACTGCAACGACATTAACTCGTGCCTGGACGAGCGGTGCCAGAACCCGTGTCTCGTGGCCAACTCGTGCCCAGAGACGGCCACGTGCCGGCCCTACCAGCACGTGCCCTACTGCTACTGTCCCAACGGCACCACAGGGGACCCCAATGTCGGCTGCGCGCCAGGTAACGTCACTCCGCGATGTAGATACTAAGCGAGGAACAGCGTGATGGGCAGCCTGGTGATGGTGTCTTCCGTTTCAGCATGTTCAAGAGAAATGGTACCCAGCTCCAGTGCAGATCGGCAGATTTACCACATCTAATTCTTTCGGCGAATCTTAAGATTTCTTTGTGAAAGACAAAGTTCCGCGGGGTTCTCGTCTGCCGGAGCCGCCATGTGGGTTCCCGTCCGGGTGTGCCTCGCAGCTGACACTGACAGAGTGTTGTGTCCACAGTGCCGGAGGCGGAGCCGGAGTGCAGGCGGGACACGGACTGCGCCGACACCCAGGCGTGCCAGCAGCAGCGCTGCGTGGACCCGTGCCGCACCTCCAGCCCGTGCGGCACCAACGCCAACTGCCGCACCGTCAGCCACCGGCCGTACTGCACCTGCCCGGCCGGCTACCTCGGCGACCCGTTCAGCCGCTGCTACAGACGTGAGTACCGCCGCCGCGGCCCAGACGCCGCCGCCGCACACTAACACGTCCTGCCGACCGTCCTCGCCGCCCCCCCGCTCTCCTGCCCTCCGTGCCGAGACGGGTGCCATCCACTAACGCTTGCCAGCCGACCGACGGAGCCGCTCGCCGACCAGGTGAGTGCTCCGCCGGCGGTGGCCGCCCTCGCTTGTCGCCGCCGCCACGGCGCGCGCGACCTCCTCTGCCCCCAGGCTAACACCGACTAACGGAGCGCCGACGCCTGCCGCGGCTGACCCGCCGTCCTCGCCTCGTCTCTCCTTCGACAGCTGAGTGCACGCGCGACGACGACTGCCCGCGCGACCGCGCCTGCATCTCCGAGAACTGCCGCGACCCGTGCCAGACGACGTCCTGCGGCCGGCGCGCAGAGTGCCGCGTCACCGTGCACCGCGCCCAGTGCTACTGCCCGCCGGGCACCCAGGGCAACCCGCTGCTGGCCTGCGTCGACGTCGGCTGCCGCGTCAACGATGACTGCGCAGACCACCAGCGCTGCGAGACGCGCAGCGGTGCGTGCGTGGCCGTCTGCAGCACCGGAACGTGCGCCTCTCTGGCCACCTGTACGGCCGACGACCACCAGGCACAGTGCACGTGCCCGCCCGGCTACAACGGCAACGCATTCTTCCAGTGCATCAGGGGTGAGTGCCATGCCGCCGCCCGCCGCCTTCGTGGAACGAAATAACGATATAGTGATGTTCCTGCATAGTTCCGGAACTATCTCGACAAGTTTATAATGGTGATTGTTTAATTTTTTTTAGTCAAATTACCCATTTCGGTGAGTTAAACATTAGTAACCGGTATGTATATTGCGCCGTCTGACCTGTGGCCTCCCTGCTCGGTGCGCGTTTCAGACGAGCCGCGAGTGCCGGCGCCAGTGTGCGTGGTGGACACGGACTGCGCGCCGGGCCTGGCCTGTCTCGCCGAGCGCTGCCAGGACCCGTGCGCCAGCATCAGCCCGTGCCGCGGCGGCCAGCTCTGCTCCGTGCAGAACACGGCGCCGTTCCGCACCCTGGTGTGCCGCTGCCCGGCCGACATGATGCTGGACAGCTCGGGCCTGTGCATCACCCCGGTGGTGGCCGAGCCCGAGTGCACGGTCGACTCGGACTGCAGTCAGGACGAGCAGTGCCAGCGCGCCAACTGCATGCCCGTCTGCCGACCGGACCCGTGCGGCGCCAACGCCATCTGCGAGCCAAAGCAGCACCGCGCCGTGTGCCGCTGCCCGCCCGGCTACGTCCAGAGCCAGTACAACGCCTGCCAGAGAGGTGAGCCGCTTCACTCAAACGGATGTGTCTGACGGGCTTGGTAACGTCTACCCTCCACATCGCCGATAAAATACGATCAAACATTTACATTGGAGACTTGAACAGGTGCCTCAAGTGTCCGTTGCAACGTAGCTGATTGTAGAGCATAGCATGACGACTGACCGGGCCATCTCGTTTACAGAGCCGCCGACGCCGCAGCCTCCGATCGCGCGGCCCGAGTGCGTCTCCAACAGTCAGTGCCGCTTCGACCAGGCGTGCATCAGCAGCCGCTGCCAGAGCCCGTGCGACGTGCGCAGCCCGTGCGCGCCCAACGCGCGCTGCGAGGTGCGCAACCACGGCGCCATCTGCAGCTGCCCGCCGCGCCACATCGGCAACCCGTTCATCCAGTGCGTGCCGCAGCCGGAGCAGCCGCCGGTGGCAGGCTGCCAGAGCAACGACGACTGCCCGGCCCAGCTGAGCTGCCAGAACCGCCAGTGCCGCTCGCCGTGCAACTGCGGAGACAACGCCGACTGCAACGTCATCAACCACCGGGCCATCTGCAGCTGCCGCCAGGGATACGACGGCAACGCGCAGACTGGCTGCTACCAGGGTCAGTCATGGCGGGACGGCGCGCCGGTCGAGCTAGTGGAATGGAGAGGCAAAATTAACAATAGATCAGACAAAACGCGACAGGCACAGCCGCGCTCTTATATTACATCCATTTTTCAATCTGATCATCACAGTATCAGTTTCCTTGCTTTATGAATCCAGATTCAAAGAAACAACTCGGAATCTATTAACGATTTATAATTGACGATGCATCTAGAATGTATTTCTTGCCAATTTCACGACACATGGCTTCGTTTGGTTGTTCACAGTACCCCTATTGTGTTTTCAGTTGGATGCAGAGACAACAGCGAGTGTCCGTCGGACTCGGCCTGTATCAACCGCCAGTGCATGCAGGTGTGCGCTGTGCAGAACCCGTGCGCGCTGAACGCACGCTGCGCCGGACAGAACCACCAGGCCTCCTGCTCGTGCCCCGAGGGCTTCGAGGGCGACGCGTACCAGCGGTGCCGCCCGGTGGGCTGCCGCTCCGACGACGAGTGTCCGGCCAGCCTGGCGTGCCGCAGCCAGCGGTGCGTCGACCCGTGTCTGTACCAGCAGTGCGGCTCCAACGCCGAGTGCCGTGTCCAGAGCCACCGAGCGCAGTGCGTCTGCCGGCCGGGCACCGAGGGCAACCCGCTGTTCGCGTGCCGCGCGCCTGAGACGCCGCCCAGCCGCACCTGCTCCATCGACACGGACTGCGCCTCCCAGCTGGCCTGCATGTCCGGTGTGTGCGTCAACCCGTGCCTGGAGGTGCGTCCGTGCGGCCAGGGAGCCACCTGCAAGGTGCTCGATACGGCGCCCTACCGCACCATGGTCTGCCAGTGCCCGCCGGGCTACGAGGGAGATGCCTACGCCGGCTGCCGCCTGATGATCATCGCGACGCCCGGCGGCTGCACGTCCAACTCGGAGTGCGCCGCCCGCGAGGCCTGCATCAACCGCCAGTGCCGCGACCCGTGCGACTGTGGAGACAACGCCCGCTGTGACGTCATCAACCACCGCGCCATCTGCACGTGCAAGCCTGGATACGAGGGCAACCCGCAAATCGCCTGCCTGCCAAGTGAGTGTGCGACCGGTGCAACCCATGCTTAAGTCACTGGCCCAACTGCGCAAAAAGGCGTACCTACATGATAATTAATTTCAGTGAATTAATGATAGCTAGAACACGAGTCATTACGCGCATAATTTCAATACACATCAAGCCGTTTCAAAAATATGAGTCCTGTTACTGTTCTCGATCGGTTTCTCCCCAGTCATTTCTGACCGACCGTTCCTCTCTCTCCACAGGCGGCTGCCGATCAGACAGCGAGTGCGGAGACCGCGAGATGTGCTACAGTGGCAACTGTGTCAACCCGTGCAGCGTCTCCAACCCGTGCCTGCGCAACGCCGAGTGCTACGCCCAGTCGCACCGGGCCCAGTGCCGCTGCCTGCCTGGATATGAGGGAGACGGCGAGCGCCGCTGCTCGGCCGTCGGCTGCTCATCGGACGCCGAGTGTCCGTCCAACCAGGCGTGCCTGAGCCGGCAGTGCGTCAACCCGTGCCTCTACCGCAACCCGTGCGCCTCCAACGCCGAGTGTTTCGTGTCGCTGCACCGGCCGCAGTGCCGCTGTCCGGCCGGCTACGTGGGCAGTCCGCTGGTGCTGTGTGTGCCCGAGCCCAGCCCCGTGTGCCTGATGGACTCGGACTGCGGACCGCGCCTGGCCTGTATCTCGGACCAGTGCGTGCCGCCGTGCAGCACCATCGACCCGTGCGCCGACACGGCCCGCTGCTCGGTGGTCAACACGGCGCCGATGCGCAGCATGGTCTGCCAGTGTCCCGAGGACATGGTGCCCGACAGTGTGGGAGGCTGTGTGCCCATCCAGGTGACCGGCACCGTGGGCTGCGCCTCCAGCTCCGACTGTCCCAGCGACCAGGCCTGTGTGAACGGCCGCTGCCAGGACCCGTGCGAATGCGGCCCGAACGCCGACTGCCGCGTGGTCAACCACCGCGCCATCTGCGAGTGCCGCGCCGGCTACTCGGGCAACCCCAACATCTTCTGCGCCGAGGTCGGCTGCAGCGACGACGACAGCTGCCGTTCAGACGAGACCTGCGTGAACGGAGAATGCATCAACCCGTGCGTCTACAGAGACCCGTGCGCACTGACGGCCCGCTGCTACGCCGAGAACCACGCGGCCGCCTGCCAGTGCCCGGAGGGCATGCAGGGTGACCCCTTCACCCGCTGCGAGCCGATCGGCTGCCGCGCTGACAGCGAGTGCGCCATGACACAGCGCTGCCAGAACCGGCAATGTGTGGACGTCTGTCTGTACGACGACCGGTGCGCGCCCAACGCCGAGTGTCTGGCGGTGCGTCACCAGGCCGTGTGCCGGTGCCCGCCGCACCTGCCGCTCGGCGACCCGCAGTTCGACTGCCAGCCGCGCAAGACGCCCGTGGTGGCCGAGCCCGAGTGTCGCCGGGACGCCGACTGCGGCCCGCAGCTGGCCTGCGTGGACGAGCGCTGCCAGAACCTGTGCGCCGTGCTGGCGCCGTGCGACAGCTCGGCCGAGTGTCGCGTGGTGGACACGCTGCCGCGCTCCGTCACCTGCGTCTGCCTGCCCGGCTTTGTGATGGACCTGGCCGGCCGCTGCAGGCCCGTGGCTCTGCCCACACCGCCCGGCTGCACGGCCAACTCGGACTGCCCTAGCACGGAGGCCTGCTTCAACCGCCAGTGCCGCTCGCCGTGCAACTGCGGCACCAACGCCGAGTGCACCGTCACCAACCACCGCGCCGTCTGCAGCTGCCGACAGGGATACGAGGGCAACGCCAACATCGCCTGCCACGCCATCGGCTGCCGCGGCAACTCAGAGTGCCCCTCTCACCAGGCCTGCGTCAACAGCGAGTGTGTCAACCCCTGTCTGGTACGCAACGACTGCGGACTCAACGCTGAGTGCTACGTGCGCGACCACAACTCGTTCTGCCGCTGCCTGCCGGGCTACGAGGGCGACCCGCAGGGCCGCTGCCTGATCGCCGGCTGCAGGGACAACGACGCCTGCCCCGACCACCAGGCGTGCATCAACCGCCAGTGCGTCAACCCGTGCCTGTTCGACCGGCCGTGCGCGCCGAGCGCCGAGTGCGAGGCGATCCGGCACCGCGCAGAGTGCCGCTGCCCGCCTGGCTACGTCGGCAGCCCGCTGATCGCCTGCGTGCCCGAGCCGCGGCCCGACTGCGAGCGCGACTCCGACTGCGCCTCACGGCTGGCCTGCATGGACGGCCGCTGCGTGAACCCGTGCGCCGCCGACGAGCCTTGCGGCGACGACGTCGAGTGCCGCGTCATCGACTCTGTGCCGGTGCGCTCCATGACCTGCGTGTGTCCGGACGGCTACGTGGGCGGTCCGGACCGCACCTGCCAACCGCTGACGGCCATCACCATCGGGTGCCGGTCACACGACGAGTGCGGACCGACCCGGGCCTGCGTCAACGCCATCTGCGTGCTGCCCTGCCAGTGCGGCGCCAACGCCGACTGCCAGCTGGTCGGACACAAGCCGGTGTGCTCGTGCCGTCCGGGCTACGAGGGCAACCCGAACCTGGCCTGCCACGAGGTGGGCTGCCGCGCCAACTCCGACTGCCCCAGCACCCACGCCTGCATCAACGGACAGTGCGAGGCCGTCTGCGACGAGCGCCACTCGCCGTGCGGCCAGAACGCCATCTGCAAGCCCGCTGAGCACGTAGCCCAGTGCACGTGCAAGCCGGGCACGCAGGGCGACCCGCGCACGCTGTGCTTGGCCGTCGGCTGCACGGACAACTCCGAGTGCCCGCCGGAGGCCGCCTGCATCAACAGCCAGTGCAAGGACCCGTGCGATGAGCACGACTGCGTCGAGCCGGCTGTCTGCAAGGTGTTCAACAACCAGCCCACTTGTGTCTGCCCGCCAGGATTCGAGACACAGATCTCGGATGACGACGGAGACCGCAAGCCGGAAGTCAAATGCGTCCCAAGTAAGTAGCGAGACGGGATCTGGTTTGGGTTTAATCTGGGTATTACTGTCATCAATTGTCAGGCTTCGATATAGCTAACAGTTACTTAATATTGAGTCGGCACAAACGTAGAAAGATAAGCAGCACACCAGGCCTATTGCGTTCCACCCATAAGGCATCAGCTTAAACTATCACGTGAACGTGAACCAGAGAACCCTGGATCCCCTAATATGTCCTGTGCAATGTGCATCGCGCGCCGTTCTCACGTCCACCCACCCGTTTCAGTCGTGGTCGGCTGCCGACTCGACTCCGACTGCCCCTCGGGAACGGCCTGCATCGAGGGCAACTGCGTGGACCTGTGCGCCGAGTTGAACCCGTGCGCCGAGCACGCTCAGTGCACCACCGTCGACACGGAGCCCGTGCGCACCATGAGCTGCGAGTGCCTGCCCGGCTACCGCGGCAACGCCAAGGAGGAGTGTCTGCCCAGTGAGTACCGCCCCGCCCCGCTCCGCTCCGCCCCGCCCCCGCCCCGCCCGCCGACCGGTAATGCCCCCGCCTGACGCTGCCCTGTTTAACGCTTATCCGCTTGGGTCGATGCGCTTGTTCTTTCGAAATTACAAGATTGATTATGTGCTTGGATGCTTGAATTGTGTGCTTCTTCTGCATGCAGTATATAAATTATTTGCTTGAGATGCTGTAAATTACTCCTGAATGCAAGATGGTGTTGTCTGTTCTAACAAAACGGACATGTTTTTGCTTCGCATATAGGCGAACGCATTGCACAGAGCTATAGAAGTGTCCTTTTCTTGTACTAATTTCGATAGTTATTAAAATTTGATTTTCCGCAAAATGCTTACTTTGCAGCGAGTCAAAAGGGGAAGGTTTTCATAAAAACCTATGTGGCAGTTGGGTATAACATTATGGGATTCCTCTTTATTCAATGGCATGCCCGCTGTAACTAAAGCCTGGGTGAAATGTGTAGGAATTATGATGCTTTCAAAATACGGCTTAAATACCAATAAGGCTGATGTATGAATAGTGAACTACGAATCGTAATGCTTTCTATCCAACAACTGTTTCGTTTATGTAGCCAGCATGACTGCTAACGCTTTGCTGTTGTGTGAATGTCAACAAAGTGCATGTGCATCATCATTTTAACTTTATCCTTCATTTACAGGATAACACGTCTCCTTTCCGAATCCTAGTTTCCTTCAGCAGAACGTTTGGCCCATGACCTCGCCCACCACTGCACATATGAACACACTAGTGACGGCTGTATACCTACTGCTGAGAAACTGTCCAATGGATTAATGTATTATTATCAGTTGCTTAAATTTTGTCGTTGAATTCTTAGCATGATATCAAATGAAGCCTTTCAACATGGTAACGAGTCTACAACTATCAAACAATTAATGCGTAGCAACTATGTGCCGCTTTATTTCCCGATTCCGTGTCTGGCTATCGGTAACCGAGCTGTTCCGTGCGCGTGTCCACAGTCCCCGGCTGTCCGACGGAGCGCGGCTTCGTGCTGGGCGCTGACGACCAGTGCATCTGCCCGCCCACGTACGGCGTCAGCGCTGACGGCATCTGCGCGCCCTGCGACGAGACGCTCGGCTACCGGGTCGACGAGAACGGTCACTGCGTGTGCGCCGTCGAGCGCGGCATGGTGGTCGACGCCAACGGCAACTGCGCCTGTCCCGAGCGCTACGTGCTGGTGAACGGCGTGTGTACGGGCGTCGAAACGCCGCCGCCGCGCCGCGAGTGCGAGACCAACGACGACTGCGCCGAGGACAAGTTCTGCGAGACGCGAGACAACACGTGCCAGGACCCGTGCAAGTACTCCGAGTGCGGCAGGAACGCGTTCTGTGTGGCACGCGCGCACGAGCCCGTGTGCAGCTGCATCCCGGGCTACTTTGGCGACGCATACCAGGAGTGCCGCACGGCGCGCACCGACCTGCCGCCGCGCAACTTGGTGGTCAACTGCCAGCACGACGGTGTCCAGGTGGACGTCAACGTCGGCGAATTCAACGGCCTCATGTACGTCAAGGGCTACTCGCAGAACAGCGAGTGCCGCAAGACGCTCGGCACCGGCGACAACACACAGAACGTCGACTTCAAGGTGCTCTTTAACACCTGCGGTCTGATCCATGTTGATGGAGAAGCGGCCTTTGTGCTCGTCATCCAGAAACATCCCAAACTGGTAACGGCCAAGGCGCTCGCCTATCAGGTCCGCTGCGTCTACAAGACGGGCGAAAAGAGCATCAACATCGGCTTCAACGTGTCCATGCTGACTACTGCCGGCACGATCGCCAACACGGGCCCGCCGCCGACTTGCACCATGTCCATCTGCACTAGCGACGGCGAGGAGATCAACACGGCCAAGATCGGCGACCAGCTGATGCTGAAGGTGGACGTGCAGCCCCAGGACATTTATGGCGGCTTCGCGCGCAACTGTATCGCAACCACCGTGGACGACAACGAAGAGAACGAGTACTTGGTGACAGACGAGAACGGCTGCGCCACAGACCCATCCATCTTCGGAGAGTGGGACTTTGACCCGCGAGCCAACCAGCTCAAGGCCATCTTCAACGCATTTAAGTTCCCGTCATCCAACAACATCAAGTTCCGGTGCAACATCCGCGTGTGCTTCGGCCTGTGCCCGCCAGTGAACTGTAATGGTCTGGACGCGTTCGGCCGTCGCCGTCGGCGTTCGCCCATCACCAGCGAGCAGGAGGCGGTCGTCAGCGACTCGGACAGCCTCTTCAGCGGAAAGCTGCGCGAGGAGATCCTCGTCCAGAGTCCGGCCATCCTCACACTGGAGCAGAGCGAGCCGACCGAGAACAGATTCGTTGACCCACAAGGTAAGTTTCTGAAAGGTGTTCGCATTGTTAGACTATTTATTGTTATATCAACAACGACGTCACTACCAGCATTACCAGTAACCGTTCCATGCATTTTTTATGTTGCATCTCTTTTCTTATTTCTGAAGTCAATCTAACTGGTATTCTGAACAAGCGTCGCACTGCTTCCCTTCATACTCCCGTCTGGTGCCAAGTGCGGCCTGTATGACTGACACCGCCCGCCTGCGTCTGATCACAGAGCCCGAGGTGGCGCAGGCCGGCCTCGGACCGGACGAGATCTGCGTCAGCAAGCTGGGCTTCATCATCGCGCTCATCATCACGGCGCTGCTGGCACTGGTGGCCGTGGCCATCGCCATCAGCTGCTGGTTGATGGCGTACCGGCGGCGGCGCAAGGTGGACGGCCCACTGCCGCACCCTGCCGAGTTCCCCAACCCGCTCTACACCACACCGGAGCCGCTGGCCGAGCCCAGTCCCGACTACCACAGATGAGCCGAGCGACACACAACCTTAGACGAGAGTGTGTGTGAGACAGAGAGAGAAAGGATCCGCGCGCACCGCACGCACGCCAAATGTGATATAGAAAGGGCGCTGGGCGCCGGCGTGCGTGTGCAACTGAGCCGTTAGAATGTGTATGTGACTAGTGAGACAGTATTGCGCGCAGCGCCGCGGATGTAAGGTGGACCGCGGTGCTCTACTGTGAAACAGTGAGACTGCCAAACCAGTGTCCTGGTCATGTGTTTTCGTTTCAAGTGTACCCTCGCCTGATATTGACCAAATCATCTTCACGCTTACACGCATGCACACAGACATACAGAGCAAGACAGAGGCTGGCTACGCGTCTGCCACCGAATGTGTGCGACGCAGCAGCGCCGGCGTAGGGTACCGTGTATAAAGTGTGCGTACGGAGCCGGACGTCCGCTTGAGATTCCTCGGCGGTGTTGGCGCGGGCGGCGGCACGTCTTGGGGAAGTGCCGCCGCCGTCCCGAGGCCACCACCGCTGGGCTAATATCGACCGGCGCCGGCGACCGACCGCCAGCGAGCGAGAGCTACTGAGAGGAAACGGAGCGAGCGGCTGCCGGCCGTGGGTGCAGCGGCGGCGCCAGTTGTTATGTGAATCAGCGCTCGGCCGCTACCGATGTGTGACACGCGTTCTCTATCGAGGTCCGTTTGACGACGATCACTGGCTCTTTTAACTGTTCTTCGCCAGTGAACACACCGACTACACACGCACGCCTGAAGTTACTATGACTAGTGCATCTATCTACCTGTCCGCCACTTTATTCTCACACTCGAACATTCTGTGCTACCAGGCTAAGCTCCAACTTTAATGCGCAAACACGGTGTGATTCAGCTGTTCGTCTAACAAATAGGCCGCTCATTAACCTCGAACGCTGTCTGTGTAAAATATTTAATTTTTGTAATTGTTTGGTCAATACATTTTAATAATAATACGCCTGTTTATACGTTCCAAGCTCCGACCGACACAAGTCTATACCATATCGATGAAAGTAGAGAAATTACCTTGAAGTGCACAAGGAAATCCAATATACTACGTGGTAGGACCACTCGTGTGAGATTTGCGCTACCCAGGCTGTCGACGGTCAGCGATACCGGATGACCCTGGCAAATTTTTGGAGTGTCCTGAAAACTACAATGGGCAGAGATCCCGAAGCACAATATTTCCAGCTAGACGGTTCTACGGCCAATACCGCTAAAGAAAACCGGGAGTGGCTGCAGGAGCGCTCCGGACAGCGTGTGATCTCGAGGTTTGAGACTTATCCGTGAACAGCGAACTCCCCGGACTTGAACCCACCGGAATTTTTCCTGTAGGACCACCTCAAGTCCCAGGTGTACCGAAACCATACAAGAAGCCCCAAAGACCTGAAAGGTGCAGTGAGGTCGACGGTGCGAAGCCTGCTACCTTCCGTGTGCCGTGCTGCAACAGAGGCCGCGCTGCGCCAGGCTAAGCCGTGCATCGAGCGAAGCTGGGGTCATCTCGAAGAGGTCCCGCACGGCTCACTAAGGCGATCGCCGACAGTCAAAATCCCCTCAAACAAAATATATTTAACCTGGCTTTCAGGTGATACCTGATTTATTTTTGTAGGTAAGACACCGACACACCTAAAACATATGAATTATAATTTCGTCTGACTTCCGTGAGCAGCCTGTTATGTTATAATCCGTAACTACAGTCTTCAATCGACATACCAAATTTGAGATCGATATATCCTTTTTACCGAGCTATGGCGAAAACAAAATTTCAAAATTATTGACATCGAATTTTTTTTAAACTTAATTTTTAGCAATTATACACCCGTAGCGCAAAACAAAGACGAGCTGCATCGAATAAATACCAATTTTATGCAAAAATGTCAACTTTGAAATTTGACCTTATTTGACTTGACCTGACCTTCACCAGAACGTAGGTAACCTTAACTGGCCCCAAAGGTCGCTTGACCCACATAATCGCATTTGTCATGTAAAATGGACCATCAAAGACGTATCACATGACACTTTCATATTGTGACCCTCAGTAACCTGACCTGGGGCCGTATTCACGTCGACTTCGTAAGTCGATTTTCTTTCGTAAGTATAATTTGGTATTCACGTCGACACTGCTTAAGTTTTTATCGACGGAGTTCACGTGATTAAAAAAATTTACTTAAGAAGTAGGTCAAACTTAAGAAAATTCTTACGAAAATCATCGACGTGAATATGGCCCCTGGTATCAGTGACCTAAAAAAGCAATGCTATTTAGCATAATATGTGCTGGACAAACAAATCTCCATCGATGATTTTCAATAACATGCCTTTTACAATTTACTTGCTTTTACAACACGGGTTTCACAGGTAGGGTCTGGTCAAAGGTCACATTTTCACCGTTTACAGGCATTCTAAGAAATGACATCGCCCGGTTGGACCGATCTCAATTGAAATCGGGTCACATCACAAGGTATAGTTCCTCGGTTGTATAACTGAATCTGCAACTTCAAACATGTACACTGCCCCTGGACACAGCTGAATTTCCAGTAGGCTAAACCAGAGGACCGGCACTATATACCAATGAGCAGATACAGGCACTTTTCATCTACCACTACCAATGAGCAGACATGAACACTCACCCAAAGCAGAATGATGGGTCCTGGCTATAGGTCCCTCAGCTGCCCCCGCTTCCCTAAAACTGCAGCATTATGTGCTCAGTTTCATTCAGGTTCCTAACAGCCAAGGTTACTTAAAGGGACCCTCCCACCTTCAAAAAAGTTAATGAATTGGCACGAAAGTGATGTCGCTCGGTTCAGAAAGAGCGAAAACGAATATCTACCAAATTTCATCGAAAAATATTCACCGGTTTTCAAGATATTAGACTTTTACTTTTGTTTACTTTTTGGGATCTCCGCTGTTCCTAGCGACTTTATTTGAAAGTGCGGCATTTGTTGCGCGCAAAGCAGCATATAGGTACCACCGCGTGGTACCAAACGTGTTAGTAAAAGATTTAAAAATCGTTAGATCTCCGCTGACGTCACAAATTCTAAGGGGGCATACCAATGCACTAGCCCCTTAGAATCCGAAAACTGCAAGTTTGAAATTCCATATCTCCGAATTAAAGCATTTGTCAATGTTGTGAGTGCCCAAACCGGTATTTGCAGTCCATGGCCACCAATTTGGCTATCTCAACTCAAAACTAATGTTAAGGTGGGAGTGTCCCTTTAATTTGAATGAGGCGCTTCGGGAAGTCGACACGCGTCAGCTGCTTTATAGCCGTAGGGCCGAAGTGAGAGCCAAGATTCTTGCAGATAGTGAGAGCATCATGATCCGGAAGTGAGCTCGACGTTTTGGGCGGTTTTGCCAATGCCAGTGTGAACATTTTTAGAACAAACAGCAACTCATATTTTTGCAGCATCCTGCCCTTTCGAAAATAATCGCGATTCCTATTTCCTAACCCTTTAGCTACCTACCTACTACAGGGACACCGAGTTCTATGAGCATCGGTTCCAGTAAAAATATGTACAACAGAAATAAATAACGTGAAAGAGCGTTTGTATTTCAAACACGACACTCCCCAGCCACGCCGACGGCGGTGCCCGTGACGACGCCTCAAGGACAAACTGAGCAACAGACCGCCTGCCCGTGCCTGATCGGCAAGTCAGTGCGCGAGCACGGCGGTGCTGACCATCCGCCATGCTGCATGGCGCTAATAGAATATTGATGAAGTGCATTTCAATTTCACAGTAGCATCTGAGTGCGCAAAATTCCTATTCACCTTCCGATGTTTTATTTGTAAAATGTAACTGCGTGTACATTGGATATAAATGGGTTGTAGGTAGGTAAGTACCTATAGTGGATAGAAAGTGAGGACCCGGTCGCATGAATTTTGCTGATGATAAGTCACTGCGTCAGCACGGCCCTGAGCTGATAGCGCGGCCCCAAGCTGATAGCGCGGCCCTAAGCCACTATTACAGAAACGTTCCTGTAAACTTCCTCGGAAATTATCCACCGAGCTTTGTACAAAATAAAGTATAGGTATGCTATATCTAATTTAGGGGGAAGGGAAGGAATTGCGCCACCTTAAGGAAAAACGCTATAATTGTAAGAAAACTGATGGAGATATAAGCATACACTGGTAACCACTTCAAAGAGGAACTCATTAGCTACGATTTAAGAGCCTTCCGATCAATTAAGAATGTTTCGTTTGCTTCCGACAGCTGCTTTTTCAGAAACATGCAAAAGGGCGCATTTACCAACAACTGCTGTAAATTGCGCCAGGGGGATGGCGCAATTAGAATCCAATTGCGCCCTATACTTATAAAACATGGCTAAGCGAATGAGACGTAGGCACACCGGCAGTGTAGTGTCATCGCGGCTTACTTAAACATTTATAATGTTAACCCGCGCCCGGCTGGGGGTCCTGGATTTCCACGCCCTGCTGGGGGGGGGGGGTTTGAAGACCCCCCTCCCCTTCTAACTCGGCTCCTGGGCCACGTAGCGATACGCGAAAGGCGGCGTTCGAAAGAGCGTCAAAAATAATGAGGAAATCACTTCGGTCAATTTTTTGGTCAGGTCAAAGGTCAGGTCACCAGAGGTCATTGAAGGCAAAATTTCGCCGATTTCCAGGTCGAATGTCGACAATTTCCAAGAAATCAACGCATAACTCGGGAACCAATAGAGCTACAGCGCCGCAGAAAAGCGCATTCGATAGCCCTATTAACGCCCTTTCTGAGTAATTTTCTCAGATTTGACCTAACGTCAACGGTTTTGCCTCCAGGGGGCAAAAACTGCAAAAATAGCCGATTTTTTCGAAAACAGTTTTCCTGCAATAACTTTTGACCCAAGCCTTGTACGAGCTTACTTTTACCGGCATCTTGTTCCTCTCGTCAAGACGCATCGAATGAACTATAACTTGACCTTGAAAGGTCAACTTGAAAATTTGACCTCAGGTCAAGGTAATGACCTGACCGGAAAGGGTCATGTTGCATATCAGTCGATCCGTATCGTCGAGCTGAACACATCTAAGGCGTTTTCATTGCTCTAGCATGCCTCTATCAAAAGTTATTTGCGAAAAACTGTTAGATATCATTCGTGACCTAAGATGACCTCAGGGCATAAACAGGGGTCACGGACACCATTTTCATGTTCAGTGTGTCTAAACCACTTGTACTTCAGTGTTTGGGAGTGTTTATAATGTCTTTCGTCCAAAAGAGGCGCATTTCAATTTTCTCCCATTGACTTATAGGTAATGGGGAGGTCGCAAAATTGACCTGACCTTAGGTCATCGATATCAAAATTCTGAGATAAACATTTTGTACATGCTATTGCTCTTAGCAATCGCTGAAAGTTTTAAAGCGATCGGTCACTCGGTGTAGCTATGACAGACATTGAAACTTTTTATGAGGTAAGATCACTTCAAGTGACCTGGTGACCTGACCTTGAATGACCTTGGTCTGAAATTTTCACAACATGTGTAGAATTGATGTATGATAAGGTGTACCAAAACGCCGCCGTTTTTGAGATATTCGCGAAAAACCACAAGGGGGGGGGAGTGTTCAAACACCCGCCCAGCAGGGCGCGGGTTAATCAGGCTGGATAAATAATAAATGTAGATATAAATCACGATGTTTTTTTCCCCAGGTAAATAACTTTACCTAAATGTGTCCGTATGTTAGTTAAAGAGCAACGAAAACGTTTTATGTAACCGATCAGATATATGTGAAAGTATGCGCCTATACGGTTAAATTTTCAATCGTTTCTCTCAAAATTAATAATTCTTATCGTTTCGACAACTCGTTGACATCAGTTTTTACTTTTTATCATAGCTGTCACCTCTCACGCCAAAGTTCATGTTGAAAATGCCGTATTTTGTCAATTACACCACAAGTTCGCAGCCTAAATGACAGCTGCATTATAAGTTTGACGAGAGAAATAATTTGCGGACTGGCGACAGCGGGCTG